CTCTACGCATTCTCGAAGACGAGTCCGGAGCAACAGGGCGTCGACACCACGGCTGTTCCTTTGTCGAAGGACTCGTGTGGTTGGAAGCGGATGAATGCCCTGTCTTTCGCCCATAGCAACGACGTCAAAGAGCTGGAGCGAAAGATCACTGCCATTCCCAGCGATTTCCTTGGCCCTGCTGACGATCCTGGGAAATCTCCTCTCTTCGAGCATGGCCTACTGCACGACGACCCCACTGCGACGTGCAATCACCAGATCGATCACCCGCTCGACCCGGAACGCCCCGACATACGCCCTGTGTTTGAATACGTCCGTACGCTCTTTCATGAGTCGGTGTCCAAGGGCTGGCCTCGCTACAAGGTCACCGTCGATGGACGGGTCTACCTGATTGGGAAGCCGATCACGGACCCCTCTGGTCTGATTGGTCGTGGCACGCGAGGGTACGTCGCTGTGGAGTGGGAGACTCAACGCTTCGTCTTCCTGAAGGATGCGTGGAGGCCATACTATGCGGACCTTGAGTACGAGGGCGATATGCTTCAGAAGCTGAACACAGCGAAAGTTAGCTGTGTTCCTACTCTCGTCTGTCATGGCCGCGTTGAAGGGCAGGAGACGGAGGCGTCGGAGTACTCGCCGATCACTGGCCACAAGACGTCCGACGAGGTGGAGGCCCCGGAACGAGACAAATCGAAGCGACGCATTGCCGACCTTCCCTCGAGGGCGAAGGCTTCAACCTCGGGTGGCAAGGCCCGGCCCCCCGTCAAGGAGTCAGGACGCGGCATGACTAGCGAGCCCCAGATGCCTGAAGATCAGCGCGATGACAAAGGCACGAAACGCCCTCTACCAGGCACGAAAGTGGAAGTCAGCGACGGCATTGGGTTGCGTCACATGGAGCATTATAGGATAGTGGTTGCAGAGGTCTGCCTCGAAGTGACGTCTTTCCTGTACGGACAACAGCTGGCTCGTGTCATAATGCATTGCATCAACGGTGAGCAAACAGCTATGTCTATGTGGAGGGGCGCTCTAACACCTTCCGATGTAGCCCACTGGCAAGCTGTGAAGAAGTGCGATATACTGCATCGTGATGTTAGCGCCAGTAATATCTTGATCCTACCCACTATCAAGTCTGGGTGGATCTATTGGACTGGGGTTTTGAGCGATTGGGAGCTCTCCAAGTTCCTTTCCGGGGCCGGGAAGGATCTCAAGGCTCGTCAACCATTTCGAACGGTGCGTTGTCAATCCTGTCTAGGTCGGACATCGACTCATGTCGTATTAGGGCACCTGGTACTTCATGTCCATTCGCTCTGTCGCGTATCCTCACCGTCCCCTTGGTATTCCCGACGAGCTCGAATCCTTTCTCCACGTGATCATCTTCCTCGCTGTACGTCTCGTGCATAGCAACTGCGGCTTGCACATGGTCCATGCATTCATTACCAAGTACTTCGATGACGCGGAACAGCACTGGGATGGCCGGCCTATTTGCAGTGAGACAAAAGTGCAAGCCATCAAGCAGGCCGTGATCCGCTCCGGGGACACGCCCATCGCTTTCTTGACTGGCGATGAGACGCTCGATGAGGCTAACCAGCCACTCGAGGGGGATGGAGAGCCTCGTCATCCTCTCCGCGACCTGCTCGCCGAGCTGCTCAAGCTCTTTCAAGCTCGTTACGCGGTCGAGGAGTGGGAGGCTCGCTCGGCCCAAGTGGCTCGGGCGAAAGAGACGGCCACGGGATCGCTACCTTCGCGACAATCGACAATTGCATCTCGAGATGGAGCCTTTCAACGACCGCCTAGCGAACTTGAGCCTTTTGACATCGAGCCAGAGGACGCTACCACGGCCGACGTGTTCTCTGGACCCACCAAGCCGAGCGACAAGACGTTTGAGGAGGCACGGAAGCTCGACAGCCACCTTGCTGTGCTGCAAGTGTTCAAGCGTTATGTGGCCAACCCTAGATTCGTCTGGCCTCTTGACGATAAGGTCAAGGACGGACTGGACGGATACCAACCTCCCGAATTCTTTGCGCAGGCGGCCAAGAAGGCTCGTCTGACTGTCCGCTCCACCGTGACGCCGATGGCCACCATTGATGAAGGGAAGGAGGCGCGGATCCGTGCTCGTACTGATGCATGATGTATTCCTGACCTGTCAAGACCGTTGAGGTAGATGAACGTGTACAAGGATATTTTGTTTTTCTCGTGTCAGCTAGCTTAGATATGCTCATGAATGTGATCGATCTGTGATGGATCCGGGGACCTCTGTCGTTTGTTGTCTGTCGTGAGTCCCTGCCTCACACGAGCCAAGTGTTGAGCGTTCACCGGGCAATTCTACCTGCGCGAAAAAATGAATGTCGGAGGCACCGTCTTCAGGCTAATGACATGTTGCAGGGAACTGTCCACGGATGCGACTCGAATCGCAACAGCAAAGACCTCTCGCAGCACGATCGCACTGCAAGCACAACGGAGACGGATTGCAATACAATGCAGAGTGATATATATAACCAAGACACAAGATACAGAAATCGAAGACACGATCGATGGCCATTCCGCGGTGGGCCTACTTATCGTAGGTCTTGAGCACGTCACGGGCGAGCGCGCGAAGCATTCCGACCGTGACGAGGGGCTTGTCACTCATATCCGTCGCGGCAGATATGCTTGGTGGGGGAGATGTCGAGGTGTCGTCCGCATATACGTCAATGATGCCATCATCCGAGGGCGAACGACGCACGCGTTTCGAGGATGTCGAGCTGAAACAATGCATGAGCGTCGTATTCAATAGGCACAGGGAACGAGAACGAACCCGTTGAGATGCGGATCGTCGCTAGACGCCCTGCGTTTCGGCGAAGGCCCGACTGACGATGACACGGAAGCACGGAGAGCGGCGTCGGCAGCAAGCTGGCGGAGCTTGTGGACATGCCTATTGATCGCACTTTCTGTCGCGCGTTGTGCTGCATCGACGACGTCCCTGGGGAACAGCATCAGCGCCGATGCGAACCGATTTCTAACGGGACCGTATGGAAAACAAAATCCGAGAATACATGATCTTGCGCCTGAAAATACTTCGTCGCCTCTGCATTCAGGTATCGATACCAACCGGTGTACACTCATAGCAATGTGACAGAGACACGGGGGAAACATGTAAATTCTTAAAAACTGAGGTAGAGATCTCGTTATGCATCCGCCGGGAGTCGAACCCGGAGCTAGGCCATGGGAAGACCCAATGTTACCGCTACACCACGAATGCGATATCGTAGGCCATTGCAATCAGGACTGCCAAACCGGAGAGGGTTTGTTTCATCGGATTCCAGAGTCTCATCCCCGTTGCGCAAGTTGTGAAACACAATCCTAGCTCTTTGTCCATGACTTCACTTCCTCCGCCGAGCCCGCAGTGCTCAGAGCGCACTTAAATTTAGATATTAAATTTAGATATAACACGCGTTACAAACCATACCGGGGTGGTTGACAGGGGCTATCCGACATAGCCCCCGAGCTCGGTATGGCATCATTGGCCCCACTCCGCGGTATCCAGACTATATGAACTTCATGCCTCGCCTTCGAGATCCCCATCATACTTTCACCATGGCTAATTGGTAAGTGCTGTATACTCCCACACGTAGAGTTCAAAGCAGGTCTGAACAATCCCTTAGGTTCGATTATCTCGTTCTAGCCGGGGTAAGTGGTCAAAGATCTGCCATGACGCTGCATACCCCTGACATGGATTCCACTGGCACATACAGACACTAGGCATTATTGCGGCTTTCGCATACGTATTCCTCGCTGCGCGCAATGCTCTACCTGGCGCAGTCGAATCGGCCAAAGGATCGTGAGTACTGATCCAATTCTCGTCATCTACACCTGCCGTCTGCCACTCGCCTCCGTCGGAGATTGCGCTTGGTCATGATTGGGAGAGTTACGGTGGTAATACCCACATTCTCGAGCGCCTTACTGGTTGAGCGTCGGCCTATAGTGGGCGTCAGATGTAGGCATCGACAAATCTCCCGCCGCTTCGCTGCGGCTCAGCAGCGGCACGCTGAAGGCTGTTCGAGCGCGATGCAGAAGGCGGGTTCTATGCTTTAGTTGAGCATCGCCCCTGCGTTCGGTTTCGCTGTGCTGTCGTGCTGCGCAGGGCCAAATGTTCATCCAAGCCGGTCCTGGTCGGTTCGCATCGTTTGAAATGATTCATTTCAAACCCGCTCGCGGCTCCCTCCCGCCTTGCGCATCAGCGTTGTCAGTGCAATGCCCAGCACGTATCGATGTAGCGCACAACCGTACAGAAGAGTTGCATGCGGAATGGCTCGTAGGCTATCCGGCGACACGTAGAGAGAGGTGGTCAGAGAGCGACTCAACGCAAACCATGGAACTCCCGAGTATCTTGATCCGAAATGCGAAGGGGTCTCAGAAACATTCGCTTCCTACTTTTTTTGAGAGCGTAGTTTGTGTTCTGCGTGGAGCTCGTTGAAGTCGCTTCCGCGGATGCATTTCCTCTGATTTAACGATATGGCACATGATTCCAAGATGGTCGTTTCCGAAGGCCCAAGTCTCTCATTCCACTCCCGTCACTGCCTCACCAAGGGAATCTGCTGTCGAGAGTACAACGTCTATTGTTGGATGATCCGGGATCGGTCAAGGCCACACTTCCATCTCGTAAATGCGTTGATGCGCACACTCGGAGCGGATCTATATGAACAAGACATCGCTGACCGCATCCTACTCCAGTTTGAAGGGCAAAGGCGTAGACGTTTCACAGAACGGTCTCTCTGTCAAGACAGACAAGAAGTTGGATCGCGAGCAATATCTGGATGCCACGCAACGGTCAGTCCGCTTCATCTATCACCTTCCGGGACAATGCTGACGTCATCTTATGTGTGTTAGCGGGTTTATCAAGGCGTTCAACGCGTCTTCGGGTGGAAACCGTCCATTGCCTGAAAGTGCAAACGAGACACCGCATGGTAAACGGAGGTTTAGGAGGCGCGCATAGGCAGAGGCGATCTGTTCGGTGGATCTGTCTCCTTTGTGGCAATATTGGGATCTCGGACTCGTATCTCTGTATCTACTAGTCGAAGTCTTTTGCAATGCTTTCACGGATCGATGCACCTGCTCGTACGTTCAAGCAATGATTTCGCCAATTTAGCCATGCGCGACACCGTGCGCGGCGAGGTTGACGTGCGAGGCGATACATAAGTGCTGCCGCCCGCCGTCATCTGTCCGCAGACGATCTCCATCAGCTTTCGTAGCTACAGCCATCCTTCTGCCTCTGGCAGAGACTGGCACCCTGCTCTGCCCCGGTCATTCTTTCATGATAGCGTTCTCAGGGGTTGAGTTCGCTGTGGGATATCCTTCTGTTGATTCTGATTCTTTATCACGCTGCCCAGTCCGGGCAAAGATGGCGCCCACGAATATCCCAACGCTCGGCCTCCCATCGTTCTCATCTCCCTTGTTCTCGTTGTCGACGCTCCTGGGCTGTTCGCGACTCGCGTCTCTGGCGTTCTAGTCTCTTTCCCGAGTGTGCTGTCTAGCTCTGTTGGCGTAGTTCTCAGCCGGTGCCACCGTGTCACGGGCGTTTTCTTCATTTACGTTTCTGCTCAGCCGGGACAAGACGCGCGCGGCTCTCAAGGGGGTATTCACGTCGAAGCCGTTTCTTCTCTTCCTCGCATTGTTCAGTCGTACACTCTGTTGTTGTCTGAACGACCATCTGCTCGTTCGTTGCTCTGCTTCTGGAGATGTCTGAGGCACCGTTGACCGAGATCCTCTCGCCAAAGAGCCCGACGCTCGCCAGCGCGGTCTTCGGGAGCTCGCCACGCCCTCGCCGACCCAGCACGCCCCGCTCTCCGTCTGGCAGTGTCTCCCAGCCCCACACACCCTCGCGATCAGAGAAGTCACTTCCTCCTGTTCCTGCTCCTGCCCAGTCTCGATCGCCACGGTCCACGAGGAACCCGCCACCGCGCGGGGCTCGCCCTGACAAGCGGCCCGACAGCCCAGATGTCGAGACCATGATTAAGCGCACCCCGCGTCCGCGTCGCAAGTCGTCGGCGACGTTCCACTCGCCCATGGCGCGGGCGAGGTCGAACTCGTCGATGGCGATCCCGTCGAGCTGGAAGGGGGTGAAGAACGACGACGACACCGGGTCTGTCATCTCGGACTACGGCGCGTTGCTGGACAAGGACGACAGCATGGACGAGAAGCAGCTGGAGGGAGATGGGAGCGAGTCCGACTCGAGTATCGACATACACACTCCTTTGCCGTACGTCCCCAGCCTCTTGCTTGCATTCACTGCACCGCTGACTGTGGTGGGGCAGACATCTGATGTTCAGAGATGGTTTGCTTTCCCCGCGGTCGAAGCTGCTTCCGGGTGGTGGATCAGCGACACTGTCGTTGTACATAGACGATGAGGATGGTGCGGCGTCTGTGAATCGCGCAAACAGTGTCCTTAGCGTGGCGTCGACAGGTTCGTCAGCTTCTTTCTTCCGACTCTGCAGCTGCACATGGATCATTCTGATCCCGAGACGTGCATAGTGGGCAGCACGGTGACCAAATCCGGCATACATCGGGACCCACGGGACACGCAGCGAAGGAGAGTCCGCCATCGAGACCAAACGCTACTCCGCGCTGGAATGGGTCTGACCACTGGGCTGGGATGGAGTGACAGGTGGGCCCTTGTGTGTACCTCGTGAGGCGCGTCGGTCTGATGAACACCCTTAGCGAGGACGAGGATGCTCCCTCTTTGCTCACAAGACGGCTCATCAACTCGAACATCAATAGACAGCCCTCCGTGTACTCCACGTCTATGTCGCGCGTGCCTCCTGAGCTTGCAAGGAGCACCTCTGCAAGCAACCTGTCGCGTGCGCCGAGCTCCTATTCCCCCGCACCGCTCACAGCCAAGGCTCTCTCCCGCTCCATGTCTGCGACGGATTCCCAGAACCGCCTCAGCAGTGCCGACACAGACAGCATCACATCAGTTGATCTCCCCAAGCCCGCGACGCGGAGTCGTACGCAGTCAAACGCGTCCGCGAGTTCCATCGTCTCATCCGGCTCTCGCGATTCCAGCGCTCAAACGCAGTCGGTTACCAGCTCACACAGCTCACAGATACGGACCGGGGGCCCAAGGCCGCTGCGCCTACCCCAGACCGCGGGGATCCAGAACTCGGTGACGCGGTCGACTTCCATGTCAGAGTCGCGTCCGCCGGTGTCGTCTGCCAACGCGAAGATGTCAAACTTGTCCTCGATAGCGCGCGCAAGGACTCGTACACTGTCAAACCCGGGTTCCCGTCCTGGCAACACTTCCGTTCCTACCCGCTCGACAGTGTCGCGCATGGTGCCGCCGCGTTCCGTGTCCACCTCCGTCATGGCTCCAGTGCGGTCCATATCGGCGTCGGTGTTTAGCCCTACGGAACGCAGTGGTGCTGCGAACAGCGATCAGCTGCTGGACTTCCCTCTTCCTCCCCGCCTGTCGTCTTCCCAGTCTGCTGGGCTTCCCCGATCCAGCGGGAAGACGGACACGCAGAAGCCTACGAGTACTACCTCTACTGTGTCTGCGCCGGGTGGCTCCCGCCCACAGGTCGGCCTTCGACCTCCGAGGACCGGAACGGGTATGGCGTACCGCACCAGCTCGTACTCGAGCTTCTACGAGACTTCCCGGACTAGCCGGCTTTCGTCTGGCAAGGAGGTCGGCGTCATCTAAGGTGCTTAACACGTTCATTGTTCCGTGCACAACTCCCTCGTGCCGCATTGCGAATGGCGCGTCAGAGTCCCATATACTCTACTGCATTCTACTCACGTACATTCCTTGGTCTCCGTGCTGTCATCGTCCCGAATGTTCTGGGCCATTGTGCCAATCTACCTACTGCTCCTTGCTTTGGCTTGCTCATCTAGTGTGTCGTCATCACCGTCATCGTCACTATCATCATCGTCTGGGTGTGGTTGGATATTTATGTACGTACGCGTAACTGAAGTATCTAGGAGAATCCTGCATTCCAGGAGTTCATCATGCCAAACACGAGACGCCTGTGGTGAGGTCCGAAGCAAATGGAGAAACGCTAGGTATCGCGCCGTAACCGAGGAGCATCGATCAGCTCCTCGTAGCAGCAAGTCTCATATAGTTTATATGACATGTGCTGATTGTTCTCCGCTGCTGTAGGGTCCTCGACGTTCATGAGACGCAACGTTTGCCATTGCCCCAAAGTATCCACCGCGTCGGTAGTGCTTCTTCCGCAGCTCTTTCCGGTGGCGCGACACCCCGGCGAGCTGCTGGACTCAAAGGGAAGGCTAGCGTTGGAATGGATGTGACTCACAGCTCACGACGAGGAAGGTTTATCATTAGGAATGCATGGTCAAGAAGACTCTTGAACATCGGCCTCGTGGAATCGGACATTGTTTGATGGGCAACCGGTCTCCAGGGTCGAGTTAGCTCTCGTTTTTCTGGTCACTTTCGACGTGCCCGGTAATTCATCCCCACGGCTGCCTCGTGAATGCGACAGTGTTCTCGGTGCGGGAACTCTATCATCGATTCTACCTTCAGCACCAACCGCTGCGGTTTCCTAACCAGTCTTTCTCTCATCTGGTCCGAGCTCGGGTCCTTGTGGACTCCTTGATGCAACCTTCTAACAATGCCTGGTGAGGCCGGGTTGATGTGTCGAATAGGTATCCGCTTGAACATTTGCTCATTCAGTGCCCCAGCTGTGGACACCTGGCCAAAGCGAAGGGGAGACTCAAGGAGGTGGATGCCGTCGATCTCATGTTGAATCGTAAGTCGTCAGTTGCCCCATTGCGTCTAAACCATATTGACGATGTCAATAGCATCAGGGCGTACGACCTTCTGAACTCACTGAAGTTGTCTTTTTTGAAGACCTGCGTCATCTCCGAATTCACCGTCGTTCTATTTTGCAGACGGCTCTCTCTGAAGTCACCGTCATTTTCGCACACGGCTTTTGAAGCAATCGAAGCCAAGCTTTGTTTAGGTACAAGCCTAACTTGTCCTGAACTTGAGCTACCCTTTTCGGGCCTTTCGACATGCAGTCCTCCTCCATATGTCATCGTATTAAGGACGAGCTGACTCCGGAGTCCTTGCAGACATTCACCCGGGCACTGCTTCCCAATATACGGAGCAAAGGCACTGCTTTATAGCCCTGCTCATCGCTGGAGCGTTCTGGTGGGCAAGCGTTTACACCGTTGGCTTGAGGGGACTTGCCCGCGGTAAACCTGCGCCGCGGTCCAACAAGCCTCGGTCTCCGTCACGACGACGGGATCAGCGTTGAAACATCAGGCGTTGGCTGTGCATGCTCTCCTATACTGGGCCACTGGGTGGAGTGGCTTAGGTTACTGGCCTTTTCTTCTCCGCTTCCTTGGGCTGCTGTACTCTCTGCCCCCTCCCTCGGCAGCTACGCTTCTGCCGACCGTAATCGCTTCTCTAGGTCTGCTACGTCATGCTGCCGCGCTTTAGCTTCGCCGTCAGGCAGTGGGCTGTACAAACTCGCTGACGTCTCATGATTTCCTGGTTTGCTGCCCGTTGATAATATTTGCCCTCATGTATAGTGCTCCTATGTCATGACACCTGCTTCATCTACTTCTGACGGTACGAGTGCTTTTTCTACTCAGAGTCCGTATCAACGCGAAAAGTTGCTTCTCCAGTCACTAAGGCTCTCAGGCTGCCCCGGGTGCCACGGCAGGTGAGAAGGTTGCACCTGCCGTACAGCGTGCGACATGAACTTACCAGGAGACAGGAGACAGGAACCATTCAAATTCAAACTCCTTCTTCCGACTTGTCTACGGAACGCACGCAACAAGTTCGCAGCGCGTAGGATCGACATGGTGAGTGCCAGAACTCGCGGCGACGGAGGCGGCAGCCATTCGGTTTTGAACGCGTGTCTGAGGCTAGACTCGGGTTACTGCAGCACTCATCCCTGCTATAGGTCCCTTGTCATATGAGACTTGATAGTTAAGTAGTTCTCTACGGCACCGAACCCTGCCCAGATCGGCGTCCCCGTACGGTACACCAATGCACACGGACAATACAATGTCGCGATCGACCCCTGGCAAGGCGTAACTGCGGCAGAACGATATGTTGCTCGGCAACTGCGAGTAAGGAAAGCTTGCTATGAGAAGACCGAAAGGAGCTCTGTTCTTTCCCTGTGGCTTTCGAAGCCTCTAGCGGTGCGTACCAGCCTCGTGGTATCCCAAACCTCTCATGACGCTACTCGGCAGCGCACTACGTCAATCTCGCGGCTTCACACAGCCTCGAATGTCGACGCCCTGAAGATCCAACGGGGGAACACACAAATGGCCCGATATCCACGGGTAAGGCGATGTCCCTGCTCCATTCTGTCCGGAGAAGGCGGCATCCTCATGTGTGAGACTTGCCGGGCACGACATGGTCTAGACACAATCACAGTCACAAATCCTGGGGACATCGGATTACGCAGTAAGGTTTGTGGGGTCTGCAGTGCGGGGCGCTGGGGGCGCCATACGTCAACCCTCCTAGCGGAAAGAGCCCGATAACTTGGCCTCTCCAAGACGTGGCAGGGGCAAAGAGGGACCCGGGAAGAAATACACTTGCTGCTGCTGCGGGATCATAATCATCTTCTGGAAGATTCTCCCTGGAGGTACCAAAAATCAGGCATGGGTGCCTGTGGATTTACGGCAGGAGACGAGAGGCACGCCACCATCGACGGTATTGCGAATACTTACTGGAAGTCACGGGCCTGCAGTGACGTCAGTCAGACAAATCCCGAAGTCAGTCGTCTCAAAACACAAGGAAGCCGGCCTGTAGTGCATTATGGTGATCGTGGTTATTGCGCCGTCAATGTACGGTATGCTCAGCGTATGCTCGTAGCGCTTCAGAGGCAGGCTCCGCAAGATATTTACCAACAACGATTCGGGCGTGCATTTCCGCGGCTTCCGGCCTGCCTAAGCTGACATGCGTCATCACCAAACATGGTAGGCTGAGCACCCAAACCGTGATGTCAGGCACGCTTTTTCGAAGATATGGCGGCTAGCACAAAGACCTCATGAACGCTGGCTAGGCACACGGTACGTCTTCTGCCAAAGGCAACGTCGCGCGTTGGCATGTCCATTGCGTTGGACATTATTGCTAACAATAGTGGCACAGACAAGAGCGGAGGGTAGGGGGAGGCGAGACGGTAGAAGGGGCTCATGAGACTCCGTGTCTGGCAGGTGCCACAGGATGAGCCGCAATGCCGCCGGCTGGGAGACAAACGTCCCCATACGTATAGAGCGAACCGTACGCCGTGGTCCGGTATCACAAGACCCAAAGAGGAAAATCTCGTTCCTGAGTTGGAGTGGGAATATCGGAAAAACAGACTTACTGCCGCTGATGATGAGAACAAACACGCAATTGTTCTTGTTACGACTCCTCGGACTCGAACGGACTGACCTTATCGATGAGCCGCCATAGTCCTTGAGTCTGGATCTTGGCTCGGAAGTTACTGGGCCAAAGCCGTGAAAGCTTGACTGGAGGTATGTGTACCCCTGGGGGATCTCCCGGTGAATGTATTAGGAAGACGTCGCCGGATACGTCTTCACCTTCAAAATCACGCCGACCTCTATAGAATGGATGAGAATCAACGGACATCATGGTCCGCCAATTCAAAACATAAGGGCGTTGTGGCGCAAGCGTGGAAACATCTGCCACGTGCCCGGCGCTCGCGAATGCCTTCCAAGTTTCTGACGTCGTTCAGTAACAGCGCCTTCAACTCTCGGCCGGAACCATCGCGATCCAGGTCTATTCCAACATCCGACCTCGTGTCACAGCTTTGGTGACAAGGAGATGCAAGGCCTGGGCTCAACCCGAGTTCTTATGATGACCAAATGCTCGTTCGACAGGCTGCGCATCCAAAGTCTCGGATCCCGTTCACCTACAAGGTACATTGCCGATATCGTCAAAGCTAGTCAGCTTCCTTAGGGAATTTGCTGAAATCTATCTTACTCCACGCCTTTGTAGGGCATGGCACCAATAGACAGCCTTCTGATATATTTGTAATTTCGGTAAGGAGAACGCATCCGATAACGCTACTCGCACTGAGTGGTATGCGCTTTCTCGAAGCGGCCCATGCCAGGATCTGAGCTGTAGGGAGAGATATAGTTCGGTTTCTTTCAGGTATCGCCCACCTACGCTCACGGCAACGCTTTGTCTCACAGTACGATGCGACAGAGCCTGCGAATAATGCAGAATTCTGCTGATTTTCATCAAGAGTGTTGCGGAGGTACATCGGCTACCCGCACGGTTCCACCTCGCACCCACGGTCCGCCTGAGCCATGTTCGCAGAGAGCCTCTGGGCCGTCACCGCTCGCCAGATTGAGCGATCTAGGGCAACATTATCTCCTATCCACAAGCGTCTTACTTGCGCCCCATGCGAATTACTGGACGCGCTCGCCGAGTTCTGTCAATCTTCAAGTCACCCGGGGCGTTGGATCGGACATGATAGGGTGCTATGCATGCCATCCCTGCTTCTCTATGTGGGTCAACAGCAAAAATGTTCCTGTACGGGCGCTGTATCAACTCGGGAGCGAGGTACACCGGGTCCAGGATACTGATGGCTTCCGACACGCATAACAGTATAACTAGGAATCGTTTCTTGAAGTCCTAGGCAGGCAGCTTCGCCCAACCCCTCCTCACAATCCTCACCGTCAGCCGTCCACTGCCGACATGGACTACGACGCTTACGATGCCCTGCTCCACCACATCTTCAAGCAGGTACGCACCTCGTTGCCCTCACTCATCGTTCTATCACCGGATGCTGAGCGACGTGTAGACCCAAGGGGATGCATGGTTCAAGCCATCTGAGGAGAACGTGCACGCCGGTGTCTGCCTCCGCGTCGACAACGGCCTCTTCCGCGTCTTCCCTTACGAGAACGTTTACCTCGAGCCTTTCGAAGCGGCCGTGCGCGTCTTGAACCCTGTTGTGGCCGTGAAGATACGCAGCGCGGCTATCCATGCAGCGCTCGCCTCTGTGTGAGCTACCTCATGTGCCGTGATCACCGCGTGCAGCTCTGACATGGCGCCCATCGCACAGCAAACCAGATGCGGATGCCATTTACATCGACGACGACACCCGCATTCAGGTCCTGGACTCTATGCTCGTGCTGGGCAGTGCTGACAAAGAACAGTGCGGCGCCTTCATTGTGAGTCATCAACTCAGCCCTTCGTTCTTCGCGTCGTCCCTGCGAGGTGAACGATAACGCTGACAGCTATTCGGCAGCGTGATGAACGGGTGCTTGTGGTTTGGTCATATCACCTCGACACCATCATTCCGACCTGTCGGGACTTCGAGGAGAAGCTCATCAAGCTTGTCTGGGACCGACGTCTTGAATACTCGGTGGCTTCATGGGGGCATGAGTCGTCGTCGGAGGCGGCCTCCGATGTCAACCTCACCGAGAAGGTCGGGGAGCTGTCCGAGACTAAGGAGGTGGCCAGCGCTCCGATGGCCGATCCACCCAGAGCCAAGGCGCCGAAGAAGACACGTTTCTGGGGCCTATCTTACTTCGTCGCCGAAAGGAGCGACATCGAAAAGATCGCGGACGGTCCCTCGCCTCGTCCAATCCGTTTATTCGCTCCCGTGTACGATGGGCTAGGTGCAGCCTTGTCAATATGTGAGCGTCGCCTTTGATCTTTGCATTGACTATACCGCTCACGAAGCATCCAGTCTTCGTGGCCAGCGGAGTCAGTATCTTGCTTGAGGAATCCCTTCTTGATGGAAATTGGGCTCGCTTTGCACTCCTTGTCACCGCTCCTTTCTTGCTCTGTGTCTCTTTGGTACGTGCGGCCAACCAAATCGTTTCAATCGGTTGTGCCTAATCATTGATCGGTGCTGCAGTTCTTCTCATTGCAGATCATTACCAACATCTCGTACATGTGAGTACCATCTACATCTGCGTATGTCTTAAAGGCTCAACAGCATCTTAGTCTTGGTCCGGTCGCGCAATACCACCAGAACTCGAAGTATTACTCGGCTTCGAAACCAGCGCCAAACAAGCTCGTCGACACCAACTTGCCTCACGTCACCGTCCAGATGCCTGTCTACAAGGAGAGTCTCACAGAGACGATGTGAGTGTACATCATTGTCCCGCTGGCGCTCTACTTGTGGGTCCCTGCCGCCAAGAATGATGCACGGTGAGGGGACCTATAAGTTAGACTCCCTCTCACGTACGGCGCTTCATCTTGTTGACCGCCATAGCGTTGCTAAGAATGGATCGCCGAGACAATCATGGACCATGATCTTCATCCTTCATTTGTTCATGAGATAAGCATCACTCACATTCAATCTATCCCTGCAGCGCTCCTTCAGTCTACTCCTTGAAGAAGGCCATGCAGACCTATGCGCGCCAAGGCGGCACATCATCTATTTTCGTCAACGACGACGGTATGCAGCTCCTGTCAGAGACAGAGCGTCAAGCGCGCGTCGCGTTCTACGCCGACCACAATATCGGTTGGGTAGCACGACCGGCCCACAGCAGCGAACCCGATGGCTACAAACGCGCCGGACGTTTCAAGAAGGCGTCGAACATGAACTACGGCCTCGCTCTCTCCCTCAAGCTCGAGAAGCATCTGATTGCACTCGAGGAACAAGGTGCTCAGGACACGCTCGAGGAGTCGCTCGAGGATCGCGCACTGAAACTCGCTCTCGACGAGGTGTACGAGGAGAGCGGGGGAAAGTGGCGCCCGTGGGCCGAAAACGGCAAGTCGATCCGGGTAGGCGAGATCATTCTCATCGTCGACTCGGATACAATTGTGCCAGAGGACTGCCTACGCGATGCGGCGCGCGAGCTCGCCGAATGCCCCGATGTCGCGATTATTCAGCACGAGTCGGACGTCATGCAGGTTGCGCATCACTACTTCGAGAACGGCATCGCGCACTTCACCCGTCGTATCAACAAGTGCATTTCGATGGGCTGTGCGAATGGAGAGGTTGCGCCGTTCGTTGGGCATAACGCATTCCTCAGATGGTCAGCGCTCCAGGACGCGGCGTTTATCGACCCCGCGGACGGGAAGAAGAAGATCTGGTCCGAGTCTAACGTCTCCGAGGACTTTGACATGGCGTTGCGTCTGCAGCTCTCTGGTTACATCATCCGCTGGGCGACCTATTCCGACGGTGGTTTCAAGGAAGGCGTGTCGTTGACCTGCGACGATGAATTGAACAGATGGCAAAAGTATTCCTATGGTACTGCCTCTCTTCTCACCATCATGCAATATCTCACAGATGATGGTCGCAGGTTGCAACGAACTCATCTTCAATCCTCTGATCGACTGGTGGCACATGGGTCCTATCACAAAGCAACTACGGACATTCATCTGGTCCGACGCGCCTGTCCACTACAAGATAACCATGATGGCTTGTACGTCGTTCACCGCAATAGCGAATAGCCGCAGCTGACCCCATTTTGCAGACATGTTCTCGTATTGTACGTGTTCAGTCGTGTATTAGGCATTACGTAAACTCAAGGCTTCCTCAGATGGTCTAGCAGCATCGTCAATCCTTTCTGTACTCAACTACTTCCTCCTCGGTTGGGACATCGCGGTGAGTTCATAATAATCGCACTAGTCGACCTCGCTGAGCTGTCATATTGCAGGTCGATGGATTTTACGAGCACAGTTTCGAGATTTGGCTGGCCTGCACGGTTGTCTTCCCCGGCGCCGGCAACGTCGGGTTCACTTTGCTCGAGTACCGCCTTGGCCAACGTAATATTCTCGATTCCTTCATCGAGAATGTCACATGGATTCCCTTCTTGTGAGTACCTTCTCCTTCAGGACTATTCTTCGCAAACACTGACGTCGACGGCAGCTTTTTCTTCTTCGGCGGGCTCAGTATCCATCTCTCTCAGGCTCTCCTCGCCCACATGTTCTCTTATAACATCCAATGGGGCGCAACCAAGAAAGAAGTCGAGCGGTCGAACTTCTGGCAGGAGGTCCCCAAGATTCTGAAGCGCTTCTGGATCGCATTTGTGATCAGCTTCGCATGCTGCGGTGCGATGGTCATCCTCACTACGGATGCTGTCCCCATTGGCTGGCGTATCTTCGGCTGGGACTGGGCCGTCATCCTCCCGCTCGCGTAAGTCTCACATTCGACGTTCTTCGCCACCGATGTCCGCTCACTATCGGCCTCAGTATCTTTGCCGGCTGCCATATCGCATACCCGGTGCGTGCTTCCCTGTCGTGGCGGCGCCGCAAAGGCGACAACTGACATGGTGCATTGACAGATTATTCTCAACCCCTGGTTCATGGTCTTCGCTTACTGATGGTCCCCTTGGCAATTCTACTTACACATATCGGATATTGCACATCACTCATTCGCCGGTGCTGCGGCTCATCGGCTTATCCACTGTCATTCATTCGTTGACGTAGGCCAAGTGTTCCTTGATCGTCACTCACTAAGGGCTAGAGATAGAACTTGCACTGTTCATTTCATCAGGTCTACGGGGCTGTCGGACTTCTCGTATTGTATATATATCCATGGGCCGGAATTCACCACAAGTACACGGTGCATAAATTACTTTTCACGTATTCGTAGAGATTGGTTAGACATGATACCACCCTTGCCGTATATCCTCAGGTCCAACAGGACGTATCTCTGATAGCACGATATTGTCATGGAACCACGGTGTACTGGTAGCCTACCTCAAATTGCTGCTTATAGCTAAATAGACACAATGTGTCAGCCTCGAGAACAACGGCTCATACAAATGATCTCGAAGACCGGCTCTTGTTCTTTTCCTGGGAAGACAAGAGGTCCGTGAGCGTCAGGAGATCCGCTGTGACTAGGAACAGCGATAATTTTGGCATCGTGACGCAAGCGTCCCATGAAGATACGTCCAACCTCCGAGGGTAGGGAAGACCGTCGCGGCAGCTGAGTTTCCCAAAACAGGCTGTGTCGGGATAGGGGAGGCAGCTATCTCTGACAAGGAAGGGAAGTTGCGTGACGGCGCAGCACCGCCTACACATGGCACTTGCCAGCGTGCACCGCCGACGGCAATTACCATCGATAGGAACACCTGGGCAGGCGGAACACCTTGTCCCGACGTTTCGCTAGTTCTCCAAGTCGTTATTCGAGGCGTCCTTCCTGATGTGAGATAGGGGACATTCCGATACGTGTGTACTCCCATTGAATTGAAGCGGATGGATTGTTAGCTATCCTTAGCACGTCGTCGTAGGGATGCCCCTCGAGCGGCAAAGTGTGGGAACAGTATAATGACTGATCGGGCGCGACATTCCGTGAGCAACCTTCGAATACCATCTACTGGCTCCCTCGGGACGGGGTAGCCCCGAGGACCTTCCACTATGCAGAAGAACGCTGCCTCGAAAGAGCCCGAGAGCAGATGGAACGGAACCTATATTCAAGAATGTAATGTCGTCATCGAGAGCACCGTGTTAACGTACCTCAGTTCTCCATCCATCTCTCGTTCGAGTTGTCGATCCAAGGTACATAACGTATGTGAAGAGGCCTGCTATATATTGTTCCGTAAGGGCGCGAGTGTCGCGATCCCCTATATGAATTCATATAGCTCACTGCTTCGTGTGGGCAAGCCTCCCCGCCGCTCCTGAGCCCCAGTGATCCAGAAGCATCGATCCAGTAGTAAGCCATGACCTATCAGGACTAGTCAACAATCAACTGTAGAGGGGGGTTTTGACTCGTCACCAATATAGACTAATCATGAGAAAGCAAGAGGTATTTTACAGACTCCATGGGAGGTATGGAGAACGGTGAGACGGTCCCCAGTGAGGCTGGCTGCAAACCACGGTGAAGTCTGCAGTGGTATGATAAGCCTAAAGGCTGTGCTTGATGCGTTCGACGAGGAATGTAATCGGACGCTGGCAGCGGTGCCCGAGTCAGTTGCATATCGAGCAATTGTATCCTTGACTATGTACGCCAACCTAGGCTGTAAGGGACACTGGAGGTAATGTGCCAGTGAAATGTTATGTTCAGGATTCCTACTCGCTCAAGTCCACTTCAGTAACCTCCGCTTCTGGGGTAATAGTATACATCGTGCTCACGCTGGTCTTGTGTCGTCTTTTTCTGTATATTTTGTCGTAGAGCCTTGTTTACCTGTGTATATAGTGCGGCTCGCAGCGCGTAGTACCTCACGCGTTTGCACAGCGCCCAAACGCGACTCCCTTTTTCCTACAACGAGTTCATATGAACTCTGTTGGTGTGCCGTCCCCGTTGCGTTCCCGTGAACCCGCCGTCGACGGAAGTCCCATTTCAGCATTAACATATGGACCAAACGTTGAAGGAATACGATGATCAACCATGTAAACGACCGGTGAACGATAGCTTCCACCTCATGCGTCAAGTCCAACATTCGTGAAATAGACCACTCCGAGCCTGTGGGTCAGCCGAGTGCTTTCTGAAAGGTGCAAGTGTACCTGGTCGTCTTCTATGCAAGAGCGTGGAATGATCCATGCAAGTATCTACACCTCGAAATGAGAACAACTCTTACGTCGAAGCAACGTGTAATTCAAGTCCGAGCCGGACATCACATATGTGTCAACCTGGAAAGATTACCTATCTGTGGACCAGAGACGTCTATCGAGAATGTCCATTGGGTATGGTACATGTTGTCGTAGCCAAGAGAGAGTGGTGGAGAGTCCTTGATCGATGTCCACCGAAGAGGATGTCGCTCAATAAGAGAAGATCATCAGCCATGGGTTGAGAAGGATCTGTCACCAAATATCTCGTCAATGACAATCGTCTCAAGAGACTGCAGAATCTATACCGGATACAAAACATGACAGCCGACGACGATGCTACGGAATGATTGACACACGTTAGCAGATGTTCGTTAGCGAGCGCTAGTCATGATGAACGTACGCAACCGGCACGATGACAGCCCAGTCCCATCCAAAAATGCGCCATCCAATTGGGACAACATCCGTGGTGAGAATGATCATGATAAAGATCATGATGAATGAGAACGCGAAGGCGATCCAGAAACGTTTCAAAATCTTCGGCACCTCCTGCCAGAAGTTAGAGCGCTCGACTTCTTTCTTCGTTGCACCCCAGGTGATGTTGTACGAGAAAAGGTGTGCGAGGAGTGCCTGAGACAAGTGAAGGCTCAGGCCACCGAAGAAGAAGAAGCTGGCGAACAACCGTCAGAGGTGCTTCGGTAAGGCAACGAGGGAAAACACTGACAAGAACGGAATCCAGGTCAGGTTCTCGACGACAGCGTCCAACAATGACCGAGAGCCGAGACGATATTCAAGCATCGTGAATCCAAGGTTACCTGCACCGGGGAAGACAACCGTGCACGCCAACCAAATCTCAAAGCTATGCTCGTAGTAGTCATCAATCTGTAGCACGGTGTCAGGAGGATTCCGCTGGAAGGCAACGACAGCGTACCGGTAGGTTCCATCCGAGGAGGAAATAGTTCATCGTGGACAGAACGAAAGCGCCGGAAAGAGCGTCTATTGTATTAGTCATCAGCGGGCGTTGTCTTACGGCAGCATGTTTGGCACCCACAGTACGAGAACATGTCTGTACAAAGTGATCAGTCCATACTATCGCATGAGCAGGTGTGGATGCAACCTACACGACATCATCCCGATCTTATAGTGAATCGGAGCGTCCGACCACATGAAGGTACGCAACTGCTTGGTGATAGGGCCCTTGTACCACCACTGGACGAGCGGGTTGAAGATAAGCTCGTTACATCCTTTGCCCCAATATTAGATGCAACCCGGCGATTGTTCAGAATACCCCCTTGCTCACCGTAGGAGTACTTTTGCCAGCGGTTAAGCTCGTCATCACACGTGAGCGAAACACCCTCCTTGAAGCCGCGGTTGGAGTAGGTAGCCCAGCGCATGACAAAACCGCGCAGCATGAGACGAAGCGCCATATCGAAGTCCTCAGACACGTTCGACTCGGACCAGATCTTCTTCTTTCCATCAGCCTCGTCAATGAAGGCTGCGTCCTGGAGCGCAGACCATCGAAGAAACGCATTGTGTCCGACGAATGGAGCAACCTCGCCGTTCGCGCAGCACATCGAAATGCAGCGGTTGATCCGTCGCGTGAAGTGGGTGATGCCGTTTTCGAAATAGTGATGCGCGACCTGCATGACGTCCGACTCGTGTTGGATGATGGCGACCTCCGGGCACTCAGCGAGCTCACGCGCGGCATCGCGCAGGCAGTCTTCCGGTACGATGGTGTCCGAGTCGACGATCAAGATGATCTCTCCCACACGAAGGGACTTCGCGTTACAGGCCCATGGCCGCCACTTACGACCGCTCTCCTCGTACGTCTCCTCGATGGCCATCTCAAGCGCGCGCTCCTCGATGTTGTCCTCAAAGTCGTCAACGCCGTTCGCTGCTGCCGCTGCTGCTTCGAGCTCGAGGATGTGTTTCTCCATCTTGAGCGAGAGGGCAAGGCCGTAGTTCATATTCGACGCCTTCTTGAACCGACCCGCCCGCTTGTAGCCGTCGGGTGCGCTGCTGTGGGGCGGACGCGCAACCCATCCGATGTTGTGGTCGGCGTAGAAAGAGATACGAGCCTGGCGCTCCTCCTCAGAAATGAGTTGCAGGCCGTCGTCGTGAACGAAGATCGACGAGGTGCCGCCCTGGCGCGCGTACGTCTGCATTGCCTTCTTGAGCGAGTACACCGAAGGCGCACTGTTGAACAAGCAAGCAAAGACAAGCGTAGGTTAGCACTCCGCCACAGATCGCACTGTACTAAAGTCAAAAGCCAATCGCCCGCCGGCAATGCCTCTCGGGAGCAGTGACGGTGCGTAGGCTCGACCCGGAGCGCTGAACGGATTAACCAACCTCCATTGCCTCGGACGCTCAAAATAGTTTGGGCCATAGGAAAGGAACCGTGATAAAAATCCGGACTCACATAGTTTCCGTCAGACTCTCCTTGTACACGGGCATTTCGATCGTCATGTGCGGCAGGTTTTCGTCGACTAACTTGTTCGGCGCAGGGGGCACCGCCGAGTAGTACTTCGAGTTCTCATGGAATTGCGCGACCGGGCCGATGCTAGACGGAGGCAATATAGCACGTCAGTAAAGTCCGCCGCGATTGTCTCAGGGCGGAACCTAAGCCCGAGGGTCGCGGAGAATCAAGGCACTCACACGTAGGTGATGTTGGTGACGATCATGAGAGAGAAGAACTGGAAATGGAATCAATGGTCAGCTCATACGCTAGTGCGGCAGGCGGTGATAGTTCCTGCCAAGCGTGGTCTGGAACTCACTAGAGACACGCAGAACAGGAAAGGCACTGTGACGAGGAGCGCGAACCGGGGCCAATATCCGTCAAGGAGGGACTCCTCGAGCAGCACACTGACGCCGCTCCCAATAAAGACTGATCGTCGCATCAGCATAGGGGTCAGGCTGGTAGGAGAAGGCACCATCACTTACAGAGAGAGAGTCCAGCACCTAGACCACAGTACACAGGGGCGAACATCCGCATAGGCCTAGCGGAAGGGCCATCGGCAGTTTTCTCGACGTCGCTTGCGTTGGCCTTCCAGTACCCGAAGATGTTGCAGCCGCGCTTCTTGGGGGCCTTCAGTTCCTTGGGGGCGGGCACGACGGCGCCCGGCTTCTCACTCGTCGCCTCGACCGTCTTCTCTGTGAGGTTGACGTTAGAAGCGACAGTAGAGGGCGCAGCGGAGCTGGCGAGCGAGGCGAATGCGGAGCGGCGGGTCCAGACGAGCTTGATAAGCTTCTCTTCGAAGTCGCGGCACGTGGGAATGATGCTGTCGAGATCGTAAGTCCATACGACCATCACGCGTTCGTCGCGCTGGTCACGGTACCAGAGGCGTTAGAGTTGGGTCAAGAGTGAAGAGTGTACGGGGTGAGCTTACGATGAAGGCGGCACATTGCTCCTTATCCGCACGGGGCAGGAATGCCATGGAGTCCATAATCTGGATACGCGTATCGGTGTCGACATAGATGCAATCGGCATCCTCCTTGCTGAGAAAGACAAGTCTGATGAGCATCAGAGGGATCATCATGCAGATTGGCGTACGTACACAGTGCCCAATGCCGCATGGATTGCTGCGCTGCGGACCTTGACCGCGACGACGGGGTTCAGGACACGTATGGCTACCTCGAACGGCTCTAGGTACTCGTTTTCGTAAGGGAACACACGAAAGTTGTTGTTATCGACTCGAAGACAAACTCCCGCGTGGATGTTCTCTTCCGATGGCTTGAACCACGCATCCCCTTGTGTCTACGACGCAAGATTAGTTCACCTGAGCTCAGTAAGGAGGGAGATGCCGGGATAGCGCACCTGCTTAAAAATGTGATGAAGCAGGGCATCGTAGGCGTCGTAGTCCATGACGGCAAAGAAACGACTGTGGGGGAGGAAGGATGGGCAGGGAGATGCACTTCCGTACAAGCGGGGTCCGCACGGAAAGCGGCGGGCGAGGCAATCGTTGCTCTTGATTTGGACCTTATAACGGCCGACGCCGGCAGGGGTATTGAAGGCGGCGCGATGAATCAGTCGGATCCTAGATCCCTCGAAAACAGGCGATTTGCGCTGGTTCGTGCGCCATCCGTAGGTTTCGCCACTCGACGTTCTACATCCATATATCAGACGCTCAGAAGGTTCTGACAGCACCGTATCTGGAAGAACGTGTCAAAGCTGCAAGGGGCGGCTGTCCAGGGCCACAATACAACATCTCTTAGCGGCCGTGTCAGCGCGGATGCATATCAACGCTATGATTTGAAATTGTATACCTGCTGGCGTCCCGCGTATCCTGACTTCCGGGAAGTTGTATGGACGAGTTGCTTCTCGCTCATGCCGAGTCGGGATGCCCTGGCGGTCGAGGCGGGTGCGAAGATCTTGGAAGTCGATGCGACGTACGTCGGTGCCTGCATCAGAAGGGGTTTGAGCTGCCACGACTTACCGGCGGACGCCTGAAACCTGCGCGAACTAGTGGTAACGGTTCGTGCTTCGATGAAAGTTTCGGCTCACAGCCAATATCGACCGACAAGAAGGAGGCCTGGGAGGCTTGCTCACACTACCATTGCTCAGCAAGGTGACAGAGAAACATGCACCTTCGTATATTCACAAGGCCAAATCGACAGTTTTACGCGACTTTTACATGCCCAGGGGAATACGACTCAAGATATGATATATCTCTGTAAACGAACATCGCTTCAGCGTCTGGATCAGTCCATGTCAGATATGCCACACAATGTGTTAAACTCACTGTCAGTGGACGATCCGGGTCGGAAACTACCCGAAGCTCATCCCTGCGCGTTTGTCTCTCGAGTGCCATTGGCCGGCCGCCTGTAGGTGACACGGTCTGGCGGTGCAGATGAACACGTTCCGGTTCAGAAGCATGGGTACAACTTGAACTGTGCCTCTTGACCGAGCGCACGAAACCAGGAACTATAATATCTCTGGGGAGGGATCCACCTGATGCGGTAATAACGCGCGGGTGTTTCTGGAGATGACGGAAAGGCGCACCCCAGAAGCGTACCTTCCCATATGAAAGAACAACAGTTGTCAGCAGAGGCAGATGGATGAGACGGTGTGTTCAGGAGAACGGTGCGGTGGACTCATCACTGGCATCTCATGTACACGGATGGAACAGCGATACAGAGGGACGTGATGAGCCGAGAAACGCAGACCAGCTCTCACTTGAGCTGGATGAAGTCTTGCCAAATGAACGACATAATCCGTCAGATAAGAATAAGGCAAAGCGAAGAAAGACATTCGGTATTTTGGGAGTCTATATTGAGAGAACCTAGACCTGAGAATACAGAGGCATGGTCCGAGCAGATAGAAACATCTTCTGGGACGAGGGGCGGTGAGGGCGTGGTGGACGCTGCGAACAACGAGCGTGCCGCCAGGCGCAACAGGGACCGACATTCAATCGGAGTAATCCCCGAATATAGGCTCCGCCCTAGCCGTAAGCGGGCGCCTTTGCAACTTTCGTCTGCACCCTCATCTTAACTCACTCTAGGCAGGGTTAGGGAAGGCATTGCATTTCTCTGGATACCGATAATCCCTCTCATCTCTGACCACCCTCAACTCAGGAGTGCATTCAGGCAGCCGTCTGAACCCAAGTCAGGTATCGCCAAGACCAATCACACTCACTCCATCTCATCGGCGCGATCGGGCCTTCTTCGGCAGGCGACGTGCGCACCCGCCGTCTTCGTGGCTGCCTGCCGGGCGGACATGGCAGGTGTGCGCTCCAGCGCATCTGTAACTGCGTTCCAGGAACCGATCAGATGAAATGGTGAGAAAATTACATTCTCAATGTCGCATCGTGCTATGTCTAGGATCCAGGCGAATGCCTCGTGGCTAGCTTCCTCCTTCGCGGGACAAATTGTGACACCGGCCCAAGCTGTTGCACCTCATCTCTCCGTGGATGACAGCTTGTCCTGTGGCCACGGTCTTTGTGCTATGTATTGTCAGCGAAATAATATCTCTAGTATTGCTGGAGGATACGAAGCACCCCAACCATGCTCAGGATCATTGAGCCATCCTTCGTGCACGTCGGAGCTGGCGGCATCACCGAATAGTCACCCGGACGCTATGATGCCGGGTGCTGATTCAGCACGCTTGAACACTTGACGGTCTTCATCGGCTCGCTCCGTGAGTCGTCTTCGTCTGTACCATCAAGGCTTCCAGTGCGGCCATGCTCAGACCTAGGGTCGACGCTATTCTATCGCTCGGGATTCGATCGCAAATATACTCGTATCACATATAATTCCTTTATCATGGGAGCTGAATTGTGTCGATATAGTTCAGGGCAAGGGACCAGTGCGGTCGTTACGCACCGTTCACGTCTTCGTCGAGCGATGGTCCGGATATACCAAAGTCATTGATAATTGGGGAGCTACCGTGGGTTCTCTGCTCCGCTTTGGGGGCAGGCTGCAGACAATCCCCATGCTAGTACGTCGCGATTCGCCGCCCCTCAGCGACCCGCTGAAGGAAGTACAGTAGCCCTCAATAGAGCTGATCGCCCTGGAGCAACCAGAAACTCATGGCGGTATTCTCACGTTCTTCCACTTAGTGCAACTGCGCCTGCATAATGGTGTCATCACGGGCTCGACACGAATATAAACAAACGTCTTCGGATAGTGATGGAGCAATACGGCTTACGCTCGACAGAAGCCGTACCTCAAGAACTTCCTGTGCAAGTGGTCGTCCGTCATGAGCTGTCCACAACGCACAGCCGCCTTCCCGGGATTTATCGAGCCTTCTGGCGAGTCAAGGCGTGCTCGAAGGTGAGGACGAGTACTTCTATGGGCTGACAGACGGTGATTCACGTCCTGCGTTGCCGAAGGGCTGGATTACAAATGGCGCATGAAGAACGGACAAGACTGTGTCTTCGAAGAAGCCCAAGTCGGAAATACACCGCGAAGTTGACGCGGGCCGTCGGAGACCGATTCACAGGGTCTGCGATGACAGGAGCCCGGAGAGCGCTTCCTCTGCAGCGACACGATCGCTTACTGCAAGCCAAGACATGCCGCTGACGCACCGTCCATATGCATGATAAGGACCTCCCAGGGAAGAGGATTCCGTTCAAGATCGGTGAAAGATGTCCAACGTCTGACTACTTCTAGGCACAATCCGCAATTCGCCCATGGTCAATCACCTACCCTGCAGGTGTTCAGACAAGGGGGATGGCACAACGAACGCCCATAGTTGTTCTCGAAAGTGCGCAGGGGACAACGATAGGGCGTTGGTCTGGAAGGTCGTACTTCACTGGGCGGGTGAATCCTTATCTCAGGCACTGGGCCCTCGCCCATCGTCCGTGATCACCACCAAGGATTGCATGCGCTGTACGTCCGACGCACAATCTCCACAGAAGATTTTCGATGCAAGAGGGAACTGTTACAATTGCCCGACCAGCCCGCGATCCAGAACGCTATCCGGTGTGCTCGACGAAATCCGTCGGTCGCAGGCCAGTCGAGGCTTTTGTGCGGATGGTCATCGACTCTCAACAGCCCGGTCCCACGCGCGCTTGAAAGCGAAGATCACCTCCAGCAAAGTCTCGTCGGCTCCGTTCCACTCTCGCTCGGACATCTAGATTCTGTCATCTCGGATTTGTGCACACCGGCCGGGGGCCGTGTGACAGCTCCTGAACGTGACAAATTATATTCTTCCTCCGCCAATCTCCGCATCGACGTCTGGTCCATCGGCAGCCAGGCCCCCCGTCTGGCGTCCAGCGTCAGGGGCAAGCAGTCGAGTCCAAGTCTCATGCTTCCTCCTGCAGTGACCACAAGGTGAGCCTGGGATCCCTACCTGATTGGTCTGAGCCTGGCGCACCTGCCGACGGTAGTTCTCGTATGTCGCGTGGGTCCCACGTCCGGATATGTTGCACGGCGAAATGCTTTAGGCTGTGCATCGAGGACCGGCTTCGTTGAAGGTCTGAGATGTGCTCCTTTTCTTCTCTTCGCCTTCTGGTTTCCACCGCCCCCGGTGAGCGCTTCTTGCTCCGCGAATCCGCTATACAGGTGTAGAACGATAGCGAATGTGCTTCTGCTCTGATGAGGAATGACGTGATCAACTCTCTTGCTCGTCGAAGAGCCCTGTCCTGGTTCCTGACATTCAGCCGATGATGTGGAGCCAGGACATAGTGTGTGTGGGTGTCCCTCTTATGTCCGGGCCCGGTGGAAACCTGTTAGATGTTGCGAGCCGAGAGGACGACGTCGGGACCTGTCCCCGTCCATCTTGTCACTATCAAACATTCATGCTGCATAGCATGGCAAGGGACGCGAGACGGTTCCTCTGTGCCCTGGCGGCAGCAATGGCTTCCAAGAATTGGCAGACGGATTGCTCTCGGCTGAGATTGATCGGGCGAACGAATACCTCTCAGCATACTGTTCGAGTGGCCCGACGGAGAGGGCCTCTATCCGCGAATTGAGCGCCAGTCCAAGAATACTCGGATCTGGGAGCCCAGGAAAACGTGCGACACATTGCGCACGGTCTGCCTTTCTCCCGTCTTCGATTTCATTGAAGGCGCGCTATCATAGCATCCTCATAAGGGCCTGCTCGGCGGGTTTCGTCACTCGAGGCATCCCTTCCTTCGCCTTCACCTTCCCTACCCGTGCGACCGCGCTCGCTCTCATTCGGTCCTTACTACGTCCGCGCCGGTTTCACCTATTTTCGCAATGGCGGACTCTTTGCAGCCTTCCACCTCCAGCAGTGCCGCCTCGTCGTCTGAGAGGCTGGCTGCCCCGACCCCTCGGTCGTCGTCTCCAGTAGCGACCACACCTACGACGACCATGGGCTCCAAACGCCAGCGTCCCCTTCAGCCTCCGCCTTCCTTGGGTGCGGAAGACATGCGTCGCGACCCGTTTCGCACCCCCGATGCATCCGTACCGCCCACGCCTCGTTCCGTAGCCAGCAATCCCTTTTCCCCTCCCGCAAGCGTTCTCAATCTCAGCTCCGAGCAGAACATGCATGGGGTACATCAGTCTGTAGGGAGCATCGGGTCCTTACCGTACTACCCCTTCCCGCAGCCGGGATCTGCGCCCGGCTCGCGCCCGCACACCGGCGCGAGTCGCGTCTCCATCCAATCTTCGCTCCGCAACTCGACGACTGATCTGCAAGTGCACGACGTCCCGCGCGGTATGGGTCCCGGGACGCGTAGTAGGCGCAGCTCGCACGGGCCAGTCCGGAGCTCGTACATGTCCCCGCCCGCGATGCCTAAGCGTGCCACGGTCGTGCTCGAAGGCGGCGAGTCCAACGGGGGCTCGACAGCAGTGCCGACGATCCGGAGCGGGAAGCGCCATCGGTCTTCGATGCTCACAGGCGAGATCGAAAAGCCCTGGGTGACGGGAAAGGACTTCTATGAGAGGCTCTCGTACTATGTCACGTACAGCGTCGCGATGTTGGGGATCGTTGGCAGCGTCCTCCGCGTGTACTTCAGCTGGGTGCAGACTCCACGCCTCGGCAATCTCTGTCTCGTCATGGAGGACAATTTCGACACCTTCGACAACCAGTATACGTGGTTCCAGGAGGTCGACATGAGCGGGTTCGGGTGAGTTTCGTTGCCTTTCACAGCTTTCTGAAACACCATCTCACGCGCGATCTGTTTAACAGTAACGGCGAGTTCGAGATGACCACCAACTCGCCAAACAACTCCTTCGTCGAAGATGGCAAGCTCTACCTTGTCCCGACACTCACTTCCGACGTCATCGGCACGAACAACGTGCTCAACGGCTTTACCTACAACATCACCGGTTGTACTGCAACCAACTCCACGACTGGTTGCGGCGCCGTGTCGAACGAAACTGCAGGGGTCGTCATCAACCCCGTCATGAGCGCCCGTATCTCGACGAAACACAGCCACAACATCCAGTACGGCAGGGTGGAAGTAGTCGCGAAGCTTCCGCAAGGGGACTGGATATGGCCCTCCATCTGGATGCTTCCTGTCGAGGAGACGTACGGCGCTTGGCCGGCGTCGGGCGAGATCGACATCATGCAGGCACGTGGAAACGCTCCCAGCTATCCCGCTCAGTGAGTCCAAGCACTTTGTCGAACGCCTCAGATCGCGGTTTGACTGACTTGACCCATCTTCCTCAGGGGCGTCGACTACGTCCGCGGGTCACTGCAGTGGGGTCCGTTTACGTGGCTCAACGGCGTCAGCAGGACGTTCGGCTGGTGGACGAACCGGCGCCAGACATTCGCGGAGAAGTTCCACACGTTCGCGATGGAGTGGAGTCCGGAGTTTATCCGGCTCTACGTCGACTCGCGTCTCACGTACATGCTCTACCTGCGCTTCAACGAGCCCTTCTTCAAGCGTGGGGACTTCCCGCCCGTCGTCCAGAACGGGACCGACTTCATCTCCACGCCTGACCCCTGGAAGGACGGAACTCCCAACGTTGCGCCGTTCGATAAGCCCTTCTACCTGATCATGAACGTCGCTGTCGGTGGTACTAGTGGATGGTTCCCGGACGGCGCTGGAAACAAGCCCTGGCTCGATCATTCGTTGAGTACGTGTCTTCGCTTTACCCCGGCACTTGGCCTTCCCTTCGCTACTGAAGATAAGAGACTGTTGCTGATAGTGCATTTGCAGCCGCCATGCAGGACTTCGCCTTGGCCCAAGACGAGTGGTATGCGACTTGGCCTCAAAACATCGCCGAGCGCGCGATGGTCGTCGACTCGGTCAAGATGTGGCAGCGTTGCTAATCGTTGTCCATCATTGCCTCATGTCATAACAACATCGAAGCAGCCCATTCTATCTCACCCTCACCTCGCTGCCGTCCGGTTGCCGATCGGACAGCGAGCACGACGCAGGAGCTAACGCCTTCCTGACCTCTCTACTGCCATGACAAGAAGATGAATCCGCATGGCCTCCATTCCGACTCTTGATAACAAACGTATTTATGTCCGTGCTTCGCTGCCTCCCGGACTTTCTTCACCGTGGACTTAGGAAGGCGTAGCCGCTGATCCACCTCCATCTCCTGCCGGACATCTCTCCTATGCTACAGTGGTACACGAGCACTGTTCAGTTCACGTACGTATCCTGACAGTTGCTCGGCAGTCGTGATGTAACTATCGCCACCGACCTGACGTGGTTACGTCCCTTGCTGTTATGTTCTTATCGTTCTGTGACTGATGTTTCGGAGCGTGTGGCACTGAGAGGTCGTGCATTGAATACGACTACCTTCCATTCAGGTACTGATCTCCGGTGGCGTGTTGCCGTTCTTTATCCCCTCACAATTCCCTGTCGTTGCTTGTCCGTTGCCTTCTTGTAGTGACTTATTATAGACTTTCTGCTGCGTAATATCGCTATTCCCCGCATCACATCCTTGGTTATCTCGGTGCTTGTTTTCGTGTAACAACTGCTACATCATAGAGGTTTGCTAAACACGGACGCTTGCACATGAAATGTAATATACCCATTACTACCACCGCATTACGCGGGCAATGACAGCCATACATTGATGGCGTCAGCTAAGACGAAAGTGCTTGCTATGCGTGCACGTCTGCGGATTGTCTACACTTACGACGTTCTGTCAAAGTGCAGCTGAATGATGATGTGAAGTGCTCGGAGGAATGCAGACTGTAAGTGAAATTTGAGGCCATGGGTCCACGTTCTCGTCCCGCAGCATCTACATAGAGGGAAGCAGAAGCAGCATGGCGTACAGGCTTGAAGTACGTCCCGGATGTTGCGTTGTCCTATCTCCTCACATTTTGCCAAACCCGGCATCGATATCGCGTGTCACTTCGTTACTATATCACAATCGAGTCGGTGTTTGTGAGGCTTCACCAATGTCATTTCGCCTTGATTTGTAGTGTAGAGACCTAGTAATCAACGCTCCAAAGTCCTGAGCGGCGAAGGCGCAGCTCCATGTCCAGATAGTACTCCGGTGATATCGGGTTAAGGGAAAAAGGGATAGTCTGTGGCGTACATGAATGGATATACTTCGGAACTCACATTTTGAATGCCAGGTTGCCCTGCGCCTCCGCGGGGGATCGGGACGGCATCTGATGGTGTACGTACATCACCACGACAGGCTGCGTTCAACGCCACAAGCAACCTCCCCGAGGGTGCTGGCGTCTCTATTGGCGCTGACTGACTGGGCGGAGCGCGGGAGGGGCTGGATCGACGGAGATTGAGAGGAAGGGCCGTCGTGAGATTGATTCCCGGTAGCGCGACCTGCGCGGTACGCCCTACGTCAGCCACCAACCACAGCTCAGAATCCTTGTACAAGGGCGCGATTGTGCGACGAGGCTGGCAGGTTGCACATGCCTTCGCTGAAGGATGCAGCGAGTATACAGGCACCAGCGCGACCTCGGCCCTTGCCGCCCCCTCCAAGCACGATAACAGGGACTCTGACACGACGCATTGCAGAGATGTGCTGGAGAATGGTAGATAGATCGTTTTCGATGACGTTAACGTTGATGCTCGGTAGTCAACGGCGCGCGAGGTCCGACTCGAACAGGTACTCGTATGCCGCCCGCGCGGCCGTCTAGATTACATCGCATCAGGGGGAGGATCCATTTCCATGTAGGTAGATCTGAGTCATACCTCACAAGGCTTGGAGTCCATGCCGAGATAACGTCGTGTCATAAGCACGAATGCTTATTAGTCTCCGAGAAATACGTTAATCCACAATGAAGATCTGCTCATGAGGCGCGAAGGTTTTAAATACGCAGGGGGCCATGACGCCTATGAATGCTCATCTGATAAACGACTTTCTCTTGCGGCCCCACAGCAGGCGGGGTCAATTGGGTCGAGGACGCTCTAGACGTCTTCCCCCCGCTCATTTGGAGGTCTTGCAGATGCATCATCGAAGGCGCCGCTGCAGGCAGCTCGGGATCTGGGATAGACAGACACGTGTACTAGCATGTGCCGGAGATAACGAGCTCTGTCGACCACCTGGCGACAGCTTACTGAACCCAATATTTCATGCACAGGCAAATCCCAGATATTATCATAACAATCACGTTCCTCACGTTCCACCTTAAATGCGACTGGTGGCGTCAACATGAAGCAGGGTGTACGTATCTTGAACGCCGAGTCGTCTAGGGGTCAGCGGCCATCCAGGGATGTGCAGCAAGAAGCTTCGATGGATGAAGTGAAGATTTCTTTCTAAGACATTAAGCCACCGCCTTTACCTGGCCACGAGCATTACTCACTGCCAAAGGAGCGCAACCCGATGAGAGCGACCCGGAGTTATGTGCAGTCCGCAGTTCGGGCGTGACGCGGTCACCTGGGCTTATGCAGTGTTAAGACCGTTTACAGACCCAGTGTCTGGCCTTCTTGCGGCGGCTTGTGCGGTTCTCCGAGTCGGAGTAGGGGTCACTGACTCGTCGTCCCTAGATTGCCGCGAGAAATGCTGGCACTGCTCCTTGAAAGGATGGCGACTAGGAGAAGCTTATCCGGTGAAAAGTAGACTTCACCAGCGAAAGTAGGGATCACCTGCTAGTCGGTGGTTCTGGTGGTCGCTCTGCACCCCGAATTGCCCAATCGGGTGTATCGGGCACGGGTTGGCAGGTTGCATCAGCCTGCCCTAAACACGAGCGCTACGCTGTCGTCGCGGCGGCGTCGTTGAACTTGAAGCCTAAACATTCGAAGACGCCGACGAGGGGAGTGCGCCGCAGCGGATGTTACTCGTCTGTATTCACTGACTTTCTCTTGTGTTTCCTACCACTCTGCTATCTCGGCCAATGGGTTGAAGAAGTTTCGTGAAAAGCGCCCCTCAGTGTCCTTCGCTCGACTGCGGGATTCCTTCGGCCTCACAGCACCTCCGCCGGACCTGTGATTCATCCTAAGCATTCCATTGCTATGTTCTAGAGGCACATACGGTAAGCCGACTTCTAGCTGCGGCATCAGACCCTATACCGCACTGTGAATATACTCATGGGTGTCTCTTAGGGTGTAAAGGGGCCGTTAGGGACGTCATTGCCCGTCTTACCCAAACCCAAACCCTCCGTTTCGGCCTCACGACCGTGCAGTCCTTTTTCAGCCATCCGCTACGTGCACCGCAGACCGGTCCATGCAAGGGAATTTGACTGCCTTCTGAATTTCTCAGCTAGAACCTCTGGCTTTCAATGCTTCACTTCACTCCATGCCTTCCTTCGCGGCGGGGCGCCTCAAACATACCCAGGGGACGGATATCCTGTCTCTGCAGATCTTTCACGATGGCGACGGAGGTTCATCGCTCGATGAGATGGTGGCGTGCAGGGTACGGCGGCGGCTGAACAACAGCCCATGTTGTGAGGGAGTTGCATTTGGATGAATCAGTAAGCATTCCAGTTGGTTCACGAAGTCTGGCACTCTGTGCCTTGACAAGCACGAAGCATCGCGTTTACAGCACCTCATGGACTGGATCACGCATCCCGTGCAATGACGGCAGTCATGATAGTCCGGTACCTAGGGCCAGAATGGAACTAGGGCATGGGCTTCTGCATCCCATGCCCCGACTGTTGTTCGCTCCGTTCGGCACAACTAATGTAGTAGTATGTTTACGAGATGAGGGCATAACGCGGTTTGCTCTAAACGACATCGTCCTCGAGATGCGCTGCTTCCCTACATGACGTAGCTAGGTCTCCGCCGTACTCTGGCGGTCTTGATAGGCGGCTCCGGATATCTTGGCTCGAAATCTCTGTTCTCACGTCAAACAGGATAAGTTGCGGACGATCTTGTTTCGAAGGAGTAGGTGGGTTGCCCAAAACATTGTCCCCCGGCTCGGATTGTTTGACGCGCCATATGGGATTAGTTGAATCTTCCCTTGCTTTCGGCAAGCACCTCGCACGTTGCTTCCTGGTGGTAGTCATTTTGACGTGCCGCCCTGGATTACTTCGTAGCCCTCTGGTCCATGCCTTTCCTATCTGTGGCGTCTCTCGGCATGTGTCAAACACGCCGCTGAAGGTCTCAAGGACGTGACGGCGCTCCGATAGCATGAAGGCATTCCTGGGACGTCCTGCTTCCCTGGTCGAGAATGTAGGAAACGAGCAACGCTCAAGCGTCATGCGAAGGCCAACCTCTGCAGCGCTGACCTTTGTTGACAGCTGCTAATATAGGAAATCTTTCGATGGCCCACACCCTGCAAGGTATGCCGAAAAGATCTGTCTAATATCACCGCACGTTGATAGATGACGATAGGTCGAGAAGCGTACTAGCGCCTACTTGACGATGAAGGAATCCGAGATCTCCAGCCGCCTGCAGTTGCGCGTTCGTCCCATACTAGGCAGTCACTCAGCGTCCCTTACGCTTGATACGATCTGAGCCAAGTACAGTCATTCTCATGGATCCCTGGAACCCTTACACGCCGCCAACAAAATTGGGCGGTGCGCTCACGCCAGATTATCCAAACTGGCCGGAACGTTATATGCCCGTCCTGCATACGAGAGCCCCTCCAGTCCTCCACTCCCGCCATGGCTGACCTCAAGCCTTCGAGCTCGTCCGCGTCTTCGGCGTCGTCTTCTTCACGTCGACCATCGACCTCGGGCTCAGACGCCCCTCCACTCCCTTCTTATGGCCTCTCGATCTCCAACGACTCCCCGTCGAGTAGTGGCGGGGATGACGGCGCGCGCGATCCGTTCAAGACCCCCAACGCCTCCGTTCCCTCTACTCCCAAACCCTCCAGCGTTGTCAGCTTCAGCGCGTTCGCCGACCAGCCCGTGTATCGACGCCATGACAGCCGCACGTCCGTGCAGTCGGCACTACGCCAGGAAGTGAACAACGGCGCAGGTTCCTCCTCTGGTTCGCGGTCACAGCGCAACTCGTTCATGCCTCCTCGCCCTATCCGGCCGAGCACGGGTCGCAGCTCCACGCAGCTCTCGCGGATGTCGATGATGTCTCGCGTCAAGAAGCCCATGCGATCCACCATGCTCACCGGCAAGATCGAGAAGCCGTGGCTCACCGAGAAGGACACCCGGTTGACACTCGCGTACTGGATTGTATACTTCGTCGCGTTCCTGGGCGTGGCCGGCGGTGCTATCCGCTGCTACTTCGCATGGAAGCAGACGCTGCACCTTGGGAACCTGTGCTTGGTGATGGAGGACAACTTTGACACCTTCGACCTGGAGAACACCTGGACGCAGGAAGTCACCATGAGCGGTTTCGGGTGTGTTATCTTCCTGCTTATCTTCTCGCCATCTCGTCCGCCCGCACGCTCGCGTTGATGTTGCGTCAACGGGTCGGACCGAAGTTTGGCTGCGACTGCGATTTCATTCTTGGGCTGACGGAACCTTGTTTTGACGCCACGCAGCAACCAGGAATTTGAGATGACCACGAATTCCGCGAACAACTCGTTCGTGCGCGATGGGCACCTGTACATCGTGCCCACCCTGACATCCGATGTCATCGGCTACAACAACGTGCTCGGGTCTCCCCCGTACATGTTCAATCTCACTGGTTGCACCGATGCCAACTCGACCAACTGCGGCGCAGTGTCGAATGCATCTGCGAACGTCGTCATACCCCCGGTGATGAGTGCCCGCATCCACACGAAGAATCAGTATGCGATCAAGTACGGCCGCGTCGAGATCTCGGCCAAGCTCCCGCGCGGGGATTGGCTGTGGCCGGCGCTATGGATGCTTCCAGTCAACGATGTATATGGACCCTGGCCACGCTCGGGCGAGATCGATATCATGGAAGCGCGCGGGAATGGACCGGAGTATCAGGCTCAGTACGTCGCTTCGTCTTTCTCTTCACATGCCAGCCAGCGAATGCCAGTCTGACATTCATCTGTGTCTCTGTCTCACCTCCACCATCACTCCTTGGTACCGGAACCGAATTGTAGGGGCATCGACTACGTGCGCGGCTCGCTCAACTGGGGCCCGTTCTCGTGGCTCAACGGCGTCAGCAAGACGTTCGGGTGGTGGACGAACCGGCGGAAGACGTTCGCCGACGGCTTCCACTCGTATGTGCTCGAGTGGGACGAGCAGTTCATGCGCATCTACGTCGACTCGCGCCTGACGTACATGCTCTACCTGCGCTTCAACGAGCCGTTCTTCAAGCGCGGCGACTTCCCATCCGTCGTCTCCAACGGCTCCAACTTCATCGAGCTCGAGGACCCTTGGGCGAGCGGGACGCGTAACGTGGCGCCCTTCGACCAGCCGTTCTACCTCATCATGAACGTCGCGGTCGGTGGTACGAACGGCTGGTTCCCAGATGGGGTTGGGAACAAGCCGTGGTTGGACGGCTCAGACAGTGAGTGGCACTTGACTGTCTATCTGTCTTTGGCAATGCGAGGCTTACCAGCAATCTATCAGTTGCGATGACCGAGTTCGCTCAAGCACAGGAAAAGTGGTATGCGACGTGGCCCACAAATATAGAAGATCGCGCGCTCGTCGTTGATTCGGTCAAGATGTGGCAGCAGTGCTGATCGTTCGTTGGCTCGTCCTGCCATCCCTTCGCTTCTTCCCGTTCCTTTCTATGGACATCTGGGTCTGGTCACCGTGATTAATGGGTACTTGTATCTCGGTTACGGTATAGCCGCAAGATAACGCTGTCGTACCGGTCTATTAAGCTGGTCATTCTTGGGTTACTGGGCTGCTGGTGGACTACACGTACGGGTATTATAGCAATGCTAGATTTCACGTCTATACAACGATCTAAATGACATCTGTTGTGCCCGATGGTTGCAGTCGCTCTCTCTGTATCTTTATGGTGTGACTTGCGACTCTCTGGCAACAGAATGTCGTCTGCGAGAGTCAGTACGGCCGTGGAGTACTAGCTCGTTGGCAAAGGGAGGATCAGGGAAACTGACCACGTACCTCGTACCATTTCAAGACAATTGCGGATGGAGGGCCCTCAACTCGGTGAATTGTGATATTCCTGAGGTCCTACGCTCAGGAGACCGGCGCAGGGCCCTCTGGTTGGAATCCCTGTCATAAGCTTCAGACTAACACGGGAAAATACCAGGTAACACTTGACGTAGAGATAGCATGAACGGATCGATGTTGAAGGGTTCCGGTCAGGTAGGCGAAGGTCTAGCGCCGAAGTCGGTCGTGGGAACTCACAGATTGCGTCAGCAGGCAACACGTGGTGGCCAATCTACTGCAGGACGCGGCGCATGGTGGACACCTTACGATCTGCGTTCACGTTTGGGATGCCATCTGCGGCGGCCAAGCACTCACATGCCAGATATCCAGAGGTCTTTTCGTTCATGAGGTCCAAAATGTCTCCGCCTTCTTACCGCAGCTCCGTGCGACCCCTGCTTTCCACTCCCCCCCGAGCTGCTCTGCGGCAATCTCTTGGACATATACATGGCTCCAAGTCGTCGTTCGACTTCGTCCGCGCGTAGCGGAAAATCCACAAAACGTATCTGCAAAGTGAGAGGGGGTAAGACCCATGCTACTCCCACTGCGGGGATACTGCCCAAAGAAGCCTACGCTATGCTGCGAAGTGCGTCGATAGCCAAGTTGGCCTAAGCTCCGTCTACGTTCATCAGTCTCACCAAGAGATGTCTTTCAGCTTACTCAGAGGCAGAAACGCTATACCCCAACAAAGACCAGCTCGTAGAGCTGCTCACCAAGATTCACCTTATTCCCGGTTGCGAAGGGTGTGAGACGTCCAGGATCCAGGCGTACTTCCGGGAGCGGCGCAGGACGGTGGCACGGGCTGCCCGTTTCAGATGCAGTGTGTACATTTGCGTGACTTGCGAGGGCCACACAGAGCGGGAGCTTACTATACCCAATTCAGATCAAGTTACGGAAGCCAGGAGGGTGGACGTCAACCCACCTTCCTGTAGATCCAGTCCCCTCACGTCCTTTTCCGAAGACGAAGATGAGATCGGATCATCTTCCATGGTCCCGACGGAGTCCGTCACGCCATCGGACTCCGGCCCCTCATTGGACAGCGTTCCAAGAACGTTCGGCGAGCTAGGGAGGTGGCTGGAGCAGCAGAATAGGCGCCTCAGTGCAATCATGGCGGTATGGTAGGGCGAGGCGAGGGCGAGAGCGACACGCTGAACGCTCAAACATGTGACAGTGTGTCCCTTGCCACAACATGCCACAGTCATCTCTCAAAAGATACGGCGCGATCTCACCTCTTCAGGCATCGTTCGCCGCCGCTATGCATCCCTGGTCTACCCACTGCTTGCTCAACGTGAGCTTCGCTACGCGGTCGTTGGCGTCTTCGTGTTACTTTCCGTAGTCTCTGCCTTAGGTCCGTTTTGAGCGTACTTCTGATCCGTGTTCGCCTTGGTATGTTATATAGACTAGGTATGTCATGTGCTACAGTAGTCTCGTGCGGAGGTTGCGTAATTCAGAGCCGAATGTTTACCCAGCCTTGCTTGCAGGCGTTCCCTCCAACCTGTCTCACTTCGTCTCACCGATCTTTGTATGACCACTTCCATGCACGTTCTCAATAGATCTCTCGCGCCCTCAATTTTCAGATGCGGGCCAAGGCGGCACCTGCGAGCGAGTCCTAGACTGACTCCACCCCCACTAGGACACGCTTCACCCCCTTGGTAGTCTCTGTTCCTCACATCAGGGGGCAGTGGTGCGAGTACCTTCTACAGCAGGGTGGTTGGGAATACCAGGCTCCGACTCACCGGTGGGGCCGGGATGGTGGTTGATGCTCGGAAGGGACAGTAGATGAGTTATAACACGGCAGGGATTCGGATGTTTTTGACTGGAGGAAAGTCTCTGAAAAGGCGAGGCGCGAGGTAAACGATTGTAAACAAGTGGCGTTTCTGAACAAAAATCTTGTTCAACCAATGCGCGGTTGCCTTTTGCGTCTGCATTTCAGTCAGTTTTCGTAGAGACTACAACGGCGGTTTTAACCTGAAGGGCAATCTGGCCTTGACGGTTTTAAACCTACCTACCGCATGCAGAAAGAGAGCAGCCGAGCAACGCGCGGGCGCGGGCGGCGAGGTCGAGGGTCCTGCCCATGACGGCCGGAAGAGGGGAGAAACCAAAGCAACGAGTACGTAGTATGCAAGCATATAGCATGCCTTAAGGCGAGCGGGTCTGTGGCGGGACGTAGGGAGGCGGCAGTGGGAGGCGGCAGTCACGTAGGACAAGACGGGAGGCGGATATCAACAGAGAAACGGCGCTGATGGTAAGCGCGTAGGTACCATGAGGAGCGCATCAAATTCTGATGCGCTGTTGGCGCGATATCGTCCCTGGGGAGAGCAGGACGGCGGGAGGCGGGCAGAGCGCAGGAAGGAGGAGAGGGGTTCTACAGGCAAGGAGAGCGCAAACTAGCTCACAGAACAGCCGTACACGGCGGGAAGAGGGAGGGAAAGGAACCCGAGCGGTACGACGCTGGCAATGGAAGAGCCACCCCGGATGTGTGCACAGACAACTCTGGAAAAGCACGGTTGTCATCCCGTGGAGGGGAAAAGGGAGGTTTTAAACCATCATGGCCCGATCCTCCTTCGGGTTATAACCGCCGTTGTAGGTTACTCCACGGTCGAAAAGCTGCAGTGGTCAGGTTGCTTTAATACTGGAAACAATGGAAGGGCCGATGAACGAGCTGGCGTGGACCTCAGGAGCAGCGTGCCATTGTCCGGAGTGCTTTCATCAATGATTCCCAGGAAGAGTTAGTGATGAGCGATACTGGGGTTCATAGAACCTGCCCCATCCGCAAATTGCGCTGGGTCGACCATGTTTTGAGAACAGTTACGGGACGGAAGATCGTCGCTCCCTCTATGCTACTTCCATGCTGTAGTCGGTACGATATGGCTGATATGATTAAAAGTAACTCGCATACCAAGCAGTACACATTGGATGTGGGGATCTGTAGTATCCCGAAATGGTCGTGGTTACGAAGTGCGGGACTCGCCGTGTACAACGCTGGCGGGTGGCCTTCCTCAACAAAGCCCTATTGGACTCTATGGCGGGCTGCTGAGTCTCGCTACCATTTTCATCGACTTCTCTCTCCAATCAAAACCATTCGAATTCCTCACGCGCAGTCGTTGACTCAGTGGCATGTGGATTGCCACCAAGATAACCATCGATCAGAGATTCAATGTGACTAGCGCTTTGCCTTTGGGACTCTGTGATCATGGCGGTACTGCCGTGGTACGCTTAGCCAGTACGGACGGAACCAGCCAAAGGCCGCAGGAGTCATGGCTCTGCACAAGATCAATTTGGACAATGACGGCGGTGCTTGATGGGTAAAACGCAGTCTCTTTCTTTGTCTGTATTTCGTGGATATCTAGGATTGCTTCACGGCCGTTGCATGGACCGTGCCAGAGTTCACTATCACGATCACGGATCAGAGGATATGGGCGCCTGCCACAGTGTTCGTTCGAATTTGGCGCCCATATAAGTTGTTCTGCAACCACCAGCGTGGTGAGACACAATCACCAAGTCCCAATTCCTCGCCAATTCTGGTATGTTTGACTCTTGGTCCCTTTGTTTATATGTATGTGACTCATGACAATGCGTGCACATCGTTGCCTGGCCGCAGCTGAGGTCATTGCCAGACCCAAGTTCAGGCTTCAGCCCTCTTCTTATAAAAACGCGCACATCCTCACTCGAACGTTAGTATCTCTCCCATTCCCTCTCCACATTACTGCTGGATCTCACACCAATATGGAACCACAGGTCTTCCCCTCATCCTCTAAGGACAAACCTCACAGCAGTCCAGTCCAGTTCGCGCAGGACAAGCATCACGATTGGAACCGAGAGCCAGGCATTGTTCAACTACCTAACGCACCTTTCGATCGGCTCGAAATGGTTCGCGATTTGCACGGAAAGGTGGTGTGGCTTTCTTTGAAAGACTTCGTCAACAAGCTTCTTCCGATACCTCGACGCCTGCTCTTCAACAAATTCCCGCCCGAGCAGATGTCAAAGATCAACGCCGCCCTCGAAGGAGTAATTCAGAACTATAAACAGCGTGCCCAGGAGAACAAACGCCTTCCTGAGGATCAACTTGCTACTGACTTTGTAGGTGGCGTCGTTTCCTCCCGGCCGACCTTGTGCTGACTTTGTCCAGACGGATGTGATCAACAGAGATGTTCTTGCCCATTCCGCTGGAGACATCTCGAACATGGACCAACCTTCGGTTACCGTTCCCATCATCCCTGCCGACTCATCCACGCACCTCGCCAGTGGCGCAGACGAAGCCCTCGACTCCACCACACGATCCTCTCACCCGATCCAGCACACAGACACGATCGACACAGTCCCTCACTACGTCGTACGGCTCTCTCCCCACAAGTGGGACCTGAGCGATCCCGCTAGGAACAAGTCCGATGCAGCTCTCTTCAAGAAGGACGTCGAGCTCGAAGAAGGTCGGCCCAACTGGCAACATCAGCGGGCGTTCTTCGAGTTTAAGCAGGAGGGCACACAAAACGATCCTTTCGAAGACGCACAGAAGCGTGACGTGGAGGTGCTAGCGGACAAGAGACAGAAGGTACGGGGCCAGCTCATCTCCTACGCCGACCGCGTCTTCCTCTATCAACATCGTACTGCCGCCTTCTCTCTCTTTGTGATCGGAAAGGAGTTCCGTGTCATGCGCTGGGATCGGTCTGGTGTCTTTGTCAGCGAGAAGGTGGACTACCTCTTGCGCACGGACGCGTTGGTCGAAGTGCTCCTGGCGCTGATCGTCATGGACGACGAGGCTCAAGGCTTTGACACCTCGGCGACGCTGCTTCAGAAGGATTCCGACGATTATCGGTTGATGGACACCCTTGCGGACGTCAACATCTCCTTTCACCTTCCTGTGGTCAGCTCCGAAGAAGGTACCCCGCTCCCTAAGAATCTCGCCTCTGTCCCGTCTCAGCCGCTACCCACCAATACAAATACGGTCATGAACGATCCCAGTCCCGGTCTTGCTGCTCAAGCTGAGGACAGTGATTCGGAAGAAACGGTCACTCTGAAGATCCCTAATAGCGACTCATTCGTTTTCGACTACGTTCTCGACTACTTCCGCAAATCTGTCACAGACTGGCCCCGCTACAACCTCACCATCAACGACGAGGAGTTTCTTGTCGGCAAGCCGCTCTACCACACGCGCGGGCTCGTTGGTCGAGGCACCCGTGGTTACGTGGCATACCGCAAGCGGACGAGAACATTCGTGTTCCTCAAGGACGCTTGGCGGCCATTCTACGAGAATGTCGTTTCTGAAGGCGAGATTCTAGACAAGCTCAACAAGGACGGTGTCTGCAACATACCGACTCTCCTTACCGCTCAACTCTTCGACCACGAGACTCGCGTCTCGCGTTACTGTTATAAGGAAGACCTCAGAACAAACGAAGAGCGTAAGATGCAGGCCCACGAGGGCCCCTCGGACGGACCGCACGGAGTGAAGCGTACCCAGAGCGGGATGCAGGAAGAGCTGAAGTCCTATGTGCGACACTATGGCCATCACCGTCTCGCTCTCAAGGAGGTTTGCCTCCCGATAACGGCATTCCGGTCCAGCCGCCAGCTGGTCAGCGTAGTAGGGGATGCGGTTGAAGGTACGTTAGCACGTTATTCGGATCGCTCGGATGTCGCTAATGGCTCCAAACCAGCCCACTATGAGGCAACGACCAAATCAATGATGATACACCGCGACATCAGTAGCGGAAACATCCTCATTCTTCCGAAATTTGTCATACCAGACGACGGCGACGGGAATACTACACTACGGATACGTTGGCGTGGCATCCTTGCAGATTGGGAGTTGTCTAAGCCGCTACAGGACGTCGGTGCTCGACAACCCGAGAGAACGGTGCGCTTTCCTCTGAACTGTCGAGGAGCGATTCATTTATGGTTTTGACAGGGTACTTGGCGTTATATGTCAGTGGCGTCTCTCTTGGATGCCTTTCATATAGTCGGCACTGCGGACGAAATCGAGTCGTTCTTCAACGTTGTGCTGCATAACGCCATCCGCTACTGCTCCCACAACGTGGAGCTATACGTCTCCTCATTCATTGACAACTACTTCGTCCGGTTTGAGCAGCTACCCGACGGGACTATTCAGTGTCCAGGGGCCAAGGTCAACGCGATCAAAAACACCGGAGAAATCCGTGTTTCCAACAACACCAGAGTTGAATTCGGGGTGAATGGAAGGCCCAACAAGGCGCTGAACGATCTCATTACAACTTTGTTGAGATGGTTCAAGGCGCGGTATGACGTGGAGGAGTACGAGGACTCGCTTCGATCGCAGGAGACGTCGACTTCGGCGACGGATGCCGCCTCAGAGTCGAGACCCCCTCCCGCCCAACGTCAACGTGTCGATTCGAGTGCTTCCAAGACTGGCTCCCCCTTCCAGGGGACGACCTTCCGCGAGGATTCGGCCGTAAGCGGGCTCGTCAAACCTTCGACAGAAACATACAAACGGGCCGCCAGACTACACGATCACCATGCCGTTCGCGGCCTCTTCTGGGAGATCTTGCATTCCGAAGACGAAACTGATTGGCCGCAAGATGAGGTACTTCAAGACCACTTGAAAATTCTTCGTCCGCTCGAGCCGGTGCCCGAGGAGACGACCAATGGCTCCACATCGAGAGCCTCTGCCAACAGCGTGCCGAACCTCCAGCCCGTCTATTACAAGACGACAGCTAAGCGAGCGGCGACTGCGAGCGGAGTACCTAAGCCCTGGCGGGGTAAGTAGTGTCGAACTTGCTACAATTGAGAACCTCCGCACGGGAAGCTCTATTGTGCTCTGCTCTTGTGTAATCTCTCTGTTCTCATTCTCCATCGACTTCTTGTAATGAACATGGGATCCGGTGTAGCCCACGTCATGACATGTATCTAGCATCGTTCACGAACAATGTACGGACGTTCTCGATTGACCACAACCTTTTCGTCTGTCCGAACAGGTCCTTGTGCGAAGTTCTCATAATTTTGAGATAGCAGAATTTTCTATCTGGACAATGATCGATTCTTCTGGGGCAGGGCCTGGTAGCTTAGACAACGGTGGATCGCTTCCGCCTCCTCGGCGCTCAGGCTAATGTTTTCCAGCCCATGCCCCGATAATACTGTGTCGGGCTCTATGGCTGCACCACGAACACGTTCTAGCTTTGATGCGACCACAAGCCTGGCTATATTCATCCGGTGTGGGTCGGTCTGAGCGAGCAGATTGCCTTTAGAGAACAGGGACATCGCCATGCACAGCTTAAAGTTCAAAATCTGTACAGCACGAGGTATTGGTACATACATCGAACGTGGTAGACGCTTGGACGTCCGATACGACTCACGGCACATCGAGCTCGAGACTCGAGTAAACTTGAAGGCTCCAGCCAACCAACGTCGGCAATCTGCTGACGTCACTTGACCAAAACTAGCCACTACGTCCCGTCGGCGCTCGCAATACTTGTTCTTCTCAAATTCGACGCTGGCTGGCACACTCCCCGCACTGAAAGCGTAGCTGCTTCCCTCCTACGTTTAAAATCGGGCTCGTCTCTCTCAAATCCAAGACCTGTTCTTCACTGCTCGCCGTTCATGCGCATGTCGCACCTTATACGCTGGGCACAACCCCGAACTGCTGCATCTACCGCTTCAGGTCCTACGATCACAAGGTCTCCTAGGCTTCGCTTGCGCTCTTGGACGGTTCATAACGTACGTCGCCGAATGATCAACAGATTACTGCCTCACCCGAGCGGTCGGAGTGCCAAACATCGCTTTAAACCTCGATTCGTCCGCGGCCCTGGATCCCGCTGTCAAATGTTAAATTTCAACTGATGCTGCATGCATGTCTCTGTTTCTGCAGAAGTATGCACACGCGTTTCATAGTATGCAAACGTTAAATTGCTTGGCTATCCATGCAAACAGGGCAGAGAGCGTGCTCGTGAGATGGGGTCTCAATGAAGGCGAGCGGAGATTTCGCAGTGCTCGCTGATGAATTCTACCACCGGCGGTTCATCGAGCATTTTGTATGCGGTGCTAGTAGTTGGAGGCAGCGGAACACTGAGCAATTCATTGCCCATCGTATGTTGACGTTATTCAATCGACTATAGCCAACCGTCACTTCCAAGCTATGGTCGCGATACTAGTACCTCTCTCTCGATGTCCATCTGCCTGCTACTTCCTTGACCATCCGGAAATGTTTCCGCTGCCTTCATTGTACTCTCCTTGAGTCTAATTCTGGCTTTCAAATGACACCATGCTTGTACGTCACTCATTCTGCGTCGGTTGTGTTGTTCGTCTTGATGACAACGGGCTACTGCTCACCAGTCGTGTAGCTGCGAGATACATGGATCAATTCTAATGCCAGCAGCTATCGAAGCTCTAAAGGATACTCTGATAATACGGAATCGATGCTCGCTCCCAGCTTCGCTTCTCTCAAAGGCATACGTTGATTCGCGCGGCTCTCCACCATCTGCATTCAAACCGCACTCGGAGTGTGAATAAATCGATCAAAATTGCAAGCCGAAGGACGAGGCATACTTCAGACACTGCGTGAGGGCTACTCGAAAGTGAATAGGGTATGGTATTTGAGCAGGTGGCTCCTTTCCTATGATTGTACGTGTTTTTCTCTCACTTGCAGCCCGCTGATTTTTGCTATATGTACGCAGGCCGGCATCTATCTATCTCACATTCCGGATCACCCGTGAACCATTAATAGAGCTCATCCTGCGCTGATGCATTTCAGTTGTTTACTGAGAACCTGGCTCTCACCGTCTACCCCTTCCGAAACGCCCCAGTCACCGTCTTCCGCGATTTGGCGGCGTAGCTGTATAGAAACCGCTCCTCCGGCTATTCACGTCTACGAACCGCCACATGATTATGCTATCCGCCCAACTGTCTTGCGAACGCAGTCCCGTGCTCGTATGTACCGTTTTCCTATCTCTGCGAGCATCCTTGTGATCTGCGATGAGGCGACTGTCCTGCTTGGAGCTCCTGTATCCTTGTTCTGTCCACCCTGCAATTAATCTTCTTATGTATCCAACCCATTTCTAGCATGTATAGCATCCAGGATTCCTTAAGTGGACTTGAAAGATGCTAGATCGCTCAGCCTAAGGATTGCTAGCGCCTCACACATTGCACATCTTACGTCGTAGTCGCCCCCACATCTCAATTGCGGGCATGCACAGGACAGTCACGAACTGTAGGAAGTACGTATTCCCTGTTCCGCGCCTTTCCACGACATCGATGACCACGGATCATTGTGTTGACATCTGACATCCGTAGGCAGCTTCCTGTGACTACCGTCTGGTCACAGCCTTTAGATCCGCAGTTATGTCCCCAGTGTTTCAAGAAAATCCTTACGCGCAGCTGCCTGGACCACTACTCCATCAATCTACATTGACTGGCATCATATTCTACCTGCTGTTCTGATTAACCTATGATTTGTATTACGCCGCTGCTCTGCTGTCTCGCACCTGGCAATACAGGCCTGGTAAACTTCTCGTTTCACGCTTCGCTCATCTTGATACTACCACCTGTCCATCTGAACAGCATCGTGAGACTCGCATCTATTGTTGTATTGTAGTACCGCAGCCCCTCACCTCTCAACCCACCGGAGTAGCACAGCTGTCGGTGTTTCGAGATTTGATGCAATGCTCGGACTCGCACATGGCGTAACATGATCTGTTAGAAAGTTTACCGCCGCTGTGCTCAAACGCGCCACTGCCGAGAAGTCCTCCGATGTGTACTAGAGCAACAGGTGGCCAGAGTTGTACTATGGACGGCATTTGATACTATCTTCACATATGTATTTCTATTGGCTTTCTTAGCTCAGCCCGACTTAGCGCACTTGGAGCTTGCCTTGAAGTCAGCCGATACACCCTAGCACTTGACTAATCACTTGTACGCAAGCTCCATTGCTCGTCATCTCAGTTGAGGCTTAATCGCATATCATGATTTACGATCAATATTCCGATGTATCACTGCGCCATCTGACTGTTGCACTGGGGCGAAGTCTAATATGCACTGACTCGATCACACAAGACTGGATAAGTCACACAGATATCCCGAGCGGTTCCTCACGCATATAAACGGCTTTCCAGCCCATGACTGATTGTCAGTTGACCTCAACAGTCTTTCCTCTCATATGGCTTCCTCATCTACAGATGAAGTTGTCGCTTCCTATGCGATTGGGTGCGGACAAAATACTCTGAAGATGACATCAATGTCTTACTGTCTCTTACAGGTTATTCGAAAATTACTGCGATGTCACAGCACCCAGTACGTCCCAAAATCTTATGCATCAATTCCTCGTCTGATGTGGGCTTTTCTAGCTGTCGTTGTGTATGACTGGCTGCTTACATTCCCCCGAGAGGCACAGTTGATGCTCAGGGGACGTGCTCGACCTCTATCCGTGGCTTTGTACCTTGCAAACAGGTATATCAATCTCCTCGACGAAACAATGGGACTCCTTGGTTACAACACCTCGTTGTCTACCAAGGTACGTTTGTTGGCACACGAGTCGAGGGGTTACCAGTTGCTCAGAAATATGCTCTTAGAGGTGTAGTTTTGGGCATTCCTGTTTCATCTCAATAGCTGTGCTGACGTTCACAGCTGCACCGGTATAGCTTTTTCAAATCTTGTCCTTACCTATCTATCCTTGTTGCCGCCTGCCTGTAGGTGCCACTTCAACTTGATCACGTTCCCACGAAACATCTGTCCATCTGACACCTGCAGTGTTTACTGGTCTCAGGGCCTTTGCGCTCAGCTCGGACTGGAGGATTTCCTCCTTGATTTTGATCCTCTCATGCCTGCCCTTTGCAACGAACATGGTAAGTAGCTGTCTTCTTGGTTTGCCCCTAGGGTCACCCTATCCTATTCACCAGGTGACATTCGGCTACCATCTTAGTGGTCTTGAGGACCCGATCCTGGGATGCTTGGATGATATCGTTCAGCCCGAATCCCTTTTCCGAAAGTAGGTCACATGTCAAGTCAATGCTTTTGTCTGGCTGATAATCGATCCTTGTTAGAAGTGTGTAGTGCTGTCTCTCGGATTAACCTCGGTAGCCTAATCTCATCTCTCAACAGTCGGCAACATCAATAGGACATGCACTATTGCTGCCGATACACTACTCATCGTACTCACTTGGCGGTCTCTACGTGTGCAAACTATTGGACAGGCCGCAGGCGCAATATCCGAGAAGGGTCTTGTGGGAGTGATGCTACGAGATGGTGAATTCATCCCCTATATGTCCTTGAATCCGAGGCTGATGTGGTATGCTTAGGGATGCTTTACTTCGGGTGGGTTATCTGTGAGAGCTACTCAGGAATATATCTGACAGTCGCACATCTCAGTATTCTTCTTGTTCTCAATATCGCCCAGCTCCTTGTGGAGGAACTCTCGGTTGGAATTCATCATCCCTTGCGGATTGAACTATACTCAATGTGCGTGACAGTTCTTCGATACCCTAGGAGATATTGTGGCGGTATTCAGTGCCCCGTAAGTCTGAGTGCATGGTTTCATAAGGGGGGTCAAACACTCACGCGACAATCACAATCTCTGAGCAGACTGTCCTCCATTCTTGTATCACATTTTATGCTCGACCTCCAAGAAGCCTACCAAAGGAAGGTCGTCGGCTTGGCTTCCAATGATCCGCTCCACACTTCGCACACTATGAGCGTCCCTTCTTTGAACTTCGCAAATGCACTCGGTTCGATCGCCACCCACATAGACCAGCCGAAATCTGACCTCCAAAACCCCGGATGGGAGGACTATGAGGTTGAAGAACCAAACAGCTTCTCGCCGAATGCTCAAGATACGTTTGATGCCGAGAATGCCGAGGCAGTACAGAAGCATACAGTAACTGCTACAGAGATTCAGCAAATCAGTGAAGGCGGGGCGGCTGCTGAAGTGTGAAACCTTGAAAGACTATACTCAGGTCAGTACGTTGACCGTGTCCGATTGATTCGGCTCAAATATTGCATGATTGGCTGATATTCGACTCGCACTAGGTACTCGTGCACACCAATGGTGCTCTCGTCATCATGTTAGTTGTGACATCTCCCCCTCCCAGGTTCTAGACCCTTAGATACTCTCTCTGTATGACGTAGCTTCTAGACTTGTCTCTATTCAAAGACAGCTCTGCGGGTGTCCCCTCTCTGATATGTCCTGTAGTCTGCTGGACTGCGTCCTGTTCGCACGCACTTGAGTCCGATCTGCCTTTTATTGGTGCTGCTTTCTTGTGGTAGTTGCGAAAGGGATAGTCTACTCCAGCATGGGTCAGAAAATACTCACTAACTCAATAGCACAATGTCGGGTGTGGTGAACGAGACTGCAGGCACGCCCATACTCAGTAAACGTAGGTTCTCTGTCTTGCACGGGCCGCCCTTTGCCCACGATGCTTGTCGGTCGACGCGATGCCCGTGAACACGTCGATCTTGCTCATGGATAGTACATTGGCCTACCGGCATCCATAATCATCTAAGGCGCGGCGATACATGATCTGATAGACCGCACGGGTTCTCCCTCGACTACGTGGCCAACAGCGTCGCAGAGGTATGCGCCGCGTAGTGCCGAGCTACATACGCATCGGCAGGAATGGTGAGGAGAGCGCGGTTGACGTCCACCTCTGAATATGATGGACGCTGAAATTCCAACTTGTGTGGGCAGGCGAACCGTTGTCCAGAGTTCGTGGAGTCTCAGGGCAGCTTACCCTCTTGAGCAGGGATGTGGAGAGCCGAGTGCCTGGCGAACGCCATGTCTTCCTTGACAGGAGTCTGTGTTGTCGCATTCCCCACACCGGGGATTGATTGTACAGCTGGGCGACCTCAGCGCAGTGCTTCTTGACTTACAATCAAGATAGGATTCTTTGGGTCGGGGGTTCCTTCGAGTTTCAGAGACCTGAACGCCCAACCGGACACTACTTAGAGACCTGTCAATTTGTTTTACTAATGCATGCTCTCGATCATAGTTGTCTATAGGGCCGCTCAATTCTTGAGGACGCAGGACGCAGGACGCGTTCAGAGGCCATTGATGGAGGTGATGGGCTAAGAGAGACTAGCCGACAAGCTCGCCTTCGAAACCCCTCGAGCGACGATAACACTCCTCCCCCCTCACAAAGTGCCTCAAGGGTAGTGTCAATCGACGTGGAAGGCTTTCGTCTTCAACATACTCGCGATTCATATTTTTATGTGAGGTTTGGGACACGACAGACCTCTTGGAAAACAACGGGCACGAGAAATGAGGTTGGTATCTTGCCGTATGCGGCAGGTTCAGCTAGCCCATCACATCCATCAAACGAGCTCTGAGTGCGTCCTGCGTCCTGCGTCCTCAAGAATTGAGCGGCCCTTATGGCGATCAATGTGCAGTTTATGAATTGATCGCATCGCGGTGCAACATTACGTCGTGGAGACAGGACCACGAATAGACGTCCACGCTAAGGCTGGGAATAACCGCTGCCATGCCGATCACCCCAGCGTGCATCGAGCGCGAGAGAGTGATTGAAGCGTAGAAGTAGCAGGAATGTGCTCAAGAGCGAGTTGCATGATGCTATGTGAGAACAGGCAGCACTCGCCGACCAGCCGCCGTTATATTAGAGTTTTAATTAATTTATTACCTGACGCCAAATCACTCGATGATGCGTGATTCTACACGAAAGCAACTGTCAGCACTGCAAGTCACAGGTAATACGCCAGTCAAATTCTAGCAGGACTTACATAGATCTCCACATATATACTCGAATGAATCCGGCATCTGCAATTATACACACCCTTGTCCCGAGCGAGCGTAGTGTTCCACCTGTCTATCCCACCTTATCGACGCCCGCATCACGCCCGGTGTTTGGCCAACCGCACGCAGCACCGTTTCGCGCGCAACTCATTCGCGCACTCCTAAGATCTGCGTATATCCGCAGTGGACCTCGTAACCGTCCAAGTGCGTCCACTTCTCACCAGGAGGCTGTCAAGAGGGCGCCGGAAGACAATGTTGCCGCAGACGCAGACAACGGTCGAACGCAAAAACGAGGACCTATGGGGACAAGCCGTACACAGGCGTTGGCGGGTAGCTCAAGCCATCCGAGCCCTTGTTCGTAGTGAAGGAAGCATTCCATGCCATTGACAGGACTGAGGTTTGGCATCCCTGACGAGCAATGAAAGTCAGCGCGAGGTCGTCTCAAGGTGTCGCAGAAGAAAATGCCGCCCGCGGTGACGCGTCGCACGCACACGGTGCATGTGCAGTGTCGACTGGACTTCGTGGGCAGCGTCACGCACAGAAGCAAGACGATGCTAGACTCGAAAATCTAGAGCCTACGACTCGCTATTCTGCACGATGACGCCGCGCGCAGTACGCGCTACAAATGGGGAGAAAGGGGAGTAAAAGGAGTCACTCACTGCGTCCCGTCCGACCACCAGTGCAGCTGTAGCAGACGACCGCGTCCAGCAGCCGGTCAGCGGTCCTCGCATGCGCCAGTCCCACTCTAAATTGGCAGCACCTAGAGATGAAGGAGTCGCCTAAGAGACGCAAGCAGGGCATACGCGGAGAAATCGCCCGCTGCGACCCCGTCTGTCCCTATCGCGCTGTACCGTAGACAATGCTACACACCTGCAGCTATGCTCATGTCGATGCCTGCTTGATGGGGTTCTTGGATACCAAGCCCATGAGGGCGCGCGCGTCCCGAATGGTCGCGATGGCGATCTACACATCTGGGGCCTGGGCGTGCGTTGTCTTCGGGGACCAAGATTGAGGGTAACCTTGAAGCTTATCGCAGAAGGGACAGAGAACAGGGTAGCAAGAAGGTGTCGAGCAGCATGTGAGGCCATGAAGTTCACGGATGCAAGTGTCGGACGGCGTGGACGGTGGGACCTCGTGGGACGCGATGAGCTCGAGGTTGCGACAGGCGCGCGTCTTCAAGCATCTCGCTCAGCACTCCCACCTCTGTCCCGTATCCCGCAAACTGAGGCAACAACATACACTCGAGGTCAATGACATGATACGGAGTGCGTGATCTGCGTCGGATACTACCACTCACCCTTACGCAGCTCTCCAGAGAGACAGTTCCGGCTCATGTAGGTTATCTAGGCGACTTCGAGACATGTATCCGGCTCATGCATGCGCTTCCCCTGGTATGTTGCATATTCGTGTTTGTAATTTTTTCGCTGGCCTGGCCAACGAGCGTGCCGTACAGCAGTAGGTGAACTCTCCGCGCCTTCATGACAGCAAAATGCTGTTGCGGGTTTCCAGCGAGGTACGTGTCTCGACACACTCATCATTGAGTACGGGCAGGTCCAAGGCTTCATAGCCATTCAATGTCTCATAATTCATCTGGGGTTGGCCAAGTACTCACATGTCAGACATCTAGAGGTCTGTTCATTGGTTATGTCCAAGAAGTCAACCCAATACCACTGCTGGGTGCAGCTCCTACTATCTACTTCCCTCCAAGGTACCCTTTACTCTATCGGACATGGCCTGAAGTCATCATTGCGCCTCATTCGCGCTTAGCAGGAAGTCAGCCACGCGCGTGTACAACGCGACTGTACTGGGGTAATGTCCATGGCGCTTCCACCGCCGGGATACTACCCAAAACAGCGTACGTCATGCTGCGAAGTGCATTAATAGGCCAGTATAAACTTTCAAGTCGTCGACATCTTCGATCTCAGTCTCACCAAGAAATGATCCATAGGCGATTTCCAGCAACGTACATGCTATGACCATGTAAGGCCAGCTCTTGGAGCTACCCACCAAGACTCGCTGCATACCCAGTTGCGAAGGGTGTGAGACTTGAGGAATTCAGGCGAATTGCTGGAAGCGGCAGAAGACGGAGCCGCGACTCGCTGCGCCTTACATGCTTGGTGTGTACGTATGCTTGGCTTGCGGGCACCACACGACGCAGAGGCTCACTTTGCGCGATCCAGATAAAGCAGCGGGCACTAGCGAAGTGGTCGTTAGCTCACTGTCCCCTACATCCCGCCCCTGCAGAGCATTCCTGCGAACCCGAAGCTGAGTTTTCATCGCCTCTCACGGCGACGACGGACTCCGTCATCTCATCGGGCTCCGATGTATCATTGGACAGCATCCCAAGAACGCTCGGCGAGCTAGGGAGGTGGCTTGAGGAGCAGAACATGCGCCTGGGTAGCGGTATGGTAGCGCTAGTGTGACACGCGAATTGCGCACTCAGCCCTGTGCCATCTTGCTTGTTCATCGCTTACCTCTGAAGCATCGCGTGTCGTCGCGTGTCTCTGTTACACATCACTCGCGCGGCATGCACCACCCCACCCGGTCTGTAGCATCTTCATGTGACGCCTCCTACTCGCAGCCTTTAATCTATACTCTGATCTGTATCGTTCGAGCATAATCGAGACAGGGTTCGTCTAGGTAAGTTGTGGCTCTCGGGTCGGGCACGTCCCTCGGACATTCGCCACCGTGAGGTGATGCGGCCCGGCTCGGTCCTGGACGCTCCGCGGTACTGATGCAATGTGGCGCTTTCCCGCCTCGACTCGCAGAGACACTGCTGGATGGCCAAATGTCAGATGTCGGTGTGACAACGCCTCGCATCCTCGTAAATCATGCCGAACATTGATAGTGAATGGCGCGTAGTTTGCCACTGGGAGGATGTGCCGCATCCCCGCCACCTACTGACGAGACCAGCCACTGACCAAAGGACATGGGCGTTTCCGACCTGTTCGATCGAACTTGGCGCCCATACCAGTTGTTCTCCAACCACCAAGATCGTGAGATACATTCACGAAGTCCCAAGTCAAATCGCGCACATCCTCTCTCGAGCGTTATTGACTCTTGTACGTCCTTTCTCAACAACTGCTGCTAAAGGTGCAGTTATATACTGAAGGTTCTTTTTTCTCTCCCAGAGACGGATCCTTTCGATTGCAGCAGGCGAGAGCTAGGGGTTTCAAAACACCGAACGCGACAGCGATCAAGTATGGATCGCGATCTGTGCGGGAATGCGGTGAGATTATCGCTATTGGGCTTCCTCGACAAGCTTCTTCCGATACCTCGACGCGTGCTCTCCGATAGATTTCCGCCTGTGCAGATGTCAAAGATCAGCATCGCCCTCGAAGACGTCTTCCAGAACTACAAGCAGCGTGCCGAGGTCAGCAACCGCATCCCTGAGGATCAACTTGCCTCAGACTTCGTGAGTGGCGCAAGTTCTCTGAAGCTGACCCTGTGCTGACGTTGTCCGAGGCGAATGTGATCAATGCAAACGTTCTTGGTCATTGTTCATGGGGCATGGAGCACCCGAACACCACTCTCATTGTTCCGATCGACTCCAACTCCGCTGCGCCGTCCTCTCAACAGACTCCGCGGCAGACGGGGATGGTCGACGAAGTCCATCGCTATGTCATACGACTTTCTCCTCACAGCCACGATCTGGGCGACGCTGAAAGGGACAGTGCCAATGCCGCTCTCTTTAGGAAGGATCTCGAGCTCGAAGAAGGTCGGCCAAACTGGGAGTATCAACAGGTGTTCTTCCACTTCAAGCAGGAGGACTCTCAGAACGACCCCTTCGACGAGGCACAGGAGGGAGAAGAGGAGGCCCTAGAAGAGAGAAAGAAGGTGTGGGGCCAGCTCATCGCCTACGCTGATCAGCTCTTCCTCTACCAACATCGCACCGCCGCCTTCTCTCTGCTCGTGATCGGAAGGGAATTCCGTGTCATGCGCTGGGACCGATCTGGTGTCTTCGTCAGCGAGAAGGTGAACTACCTCTTACGCACGGACGCGTTGGTCGAAGTGCTCCTAGCGCTCACCGTCATAGACGACGAGGCTCAAGGCTTTGACACCTCGGCGACGCTGCTTCAGAAGGATTCCGACGATTATCGGTTGATGGACACCCTTGCGGACGTCAACATCCCCTTCCATCTTCCTGTGGTCGGCTACGAAGAAGGTACCCCGCTCCCTAAGGCACTCTCCCCTATACTGCCTCAGCCGCCGTCCATCGATACGAACACGGTGAACGGTCACAGTCCCGGTCTCGTCGCTGAAGCTAGGGACACACAGGTCACTTTTCAGGTCCCGAGCGATGACTCTTTCGTCTTCGAGTACGTTCTCGACTACTTCTGCCAATCAGTCACAGACTAGCCCCGATACAATCTCACTGTCGACGACGAGGAATTTCTTGTTTGCGAGCCGCTCTACCACACGCGCGGACTCATCGGTCGAGGCACCCGTGGTTACGTGGCATACCGCAAGTGGACGAGAACATTCGTATTTCTCAAAGACTCCTGGCGGTCAATTTATGAGAACGTCGCTTCTGAACGCGAGATCCTGGGTAAGCTCAATACGGACGGCGTCAGGAATATACCTAGTCTCGTTCGCGCTCATCTTTTTCGTCGCCACGAGACCCGTTTATCCCATTATCGGGTGAACGAGGTCTTGGGAACGAAGGAGGAGCGTAAGGTGGATGTCGTTCAGGATCATTCGAACGAGCCTCACCGGGTGAAGCGTACCTACAGTGAGATGCAGGAAGAGCCGACGCCCTATGTGCCACATTATGGGCATCATCGCCTCGTGCTCAAGGAAGTCTGCCTTCCGATAACTGCGTTTCGGTCCAGCCGTCAGCTAGTTAGCATCATTGGGGATAGCATCGAAGGTGCGTGCATTGCGCCTTAGAACGTCTCACTGACTCACGAGATCAGCCCACTATGACGTGACGGTCAAGTCCAAGATACTCCATTGCGACATCAGCAGCGGGAACATCCTAATCCTTCCCACATTCGTTCTTCAGCAGGAGGGCGACATGACCTTGCGCGTGACTTGGCGAGGCATCCTGGCGGACTGGGAGCTCTCGAAACCCATCTCACGAGGAGAAGAGGTCAATCAGGCTCTGCGACCGAAGAGAACTGTACGTCCATATTGATGATACCACGAATAACTCCTGCTTACCAATAGGATAGGGCACGTGGAGGTACATGTCTGTCGCTTCTCTCATGGATGCCCTCCACATCGTACAGACCGCCGACGAGATCGAGTCCTTCTTCAATGTCCTCCTCTACAACGTTATCCGTTACTGTCCGCACAACATGGAGTTGTACGTGCCGGACTTCATTAACAGGTACTTCGTCGATTTCAGGCGACTGCCCACAGGCACTTTTGAATGTCCCGAGACGAAAGTCTACATCATCACCAGCGACGGGGCTCTCAAGTTCGGCAACCGAATCATCACATTTGGTCGTGCTTCGGATGAACCCAACGAAGCACTGAACACTCTCATTCTCGAGTTACTGGACTGGTTCAAGGCGCGGTACGAAGTCAAGGCCTATGACCGCTCGCTTCGATCCGGTAACTCGTCCGCTCCCTCTGATCCCAGCGATCGTCCTGCTCGCCGTCGGCGTATCAAGGCGGAGGCCTCAAGTACAGGTCCTGCGAAGTCTGGCAAGGTTTTCGGGAAGAAGACTGCACGAAGAGTTTCGAAACCTTCGGCGGAGACTTACGAGCTCGCTTCCAACTTGAAGGATCATACTTCTGTTCGGGACCTCTTTTGGCAGGCAAAGAGCTGGGACTGGCTCGAGAACGAGGTGCTGCAGGATCACCTGGACGTCCTCGGTCCGCTCCCGCCTGTGCCAGAGGAGTCCTAAGACGGTATCGACGGCTCGGTGAAGAGCGTACTTGTAATTTCCGCTCGTATATTCTAGGACGGCCCACAGGCGGGCAGTGACCGCAAGCGGATGGCTGCCAGTTGCCTCTCGACGCAAGAAACTACCGGCCTCGCAGGAGCACAAAGCTAACGAACGTCCTCGATTCTCGGCACACGTCAGACTGCTCTAGGCTGTCTGGGGCTGTATTTTTTCCAATCCTATCCCGTAGTTTCGTAATGAAGGAAAAATAGTACATCAGTCTCAATGTGATATCATGCAGCCGTGAATGCCGGATATCGCTGTGCGGAGATGGTAATTGAGGGCAAGTAGACCCTGAATTGGTGTGTTTCATATAAGCAACCCTAGTGTATCTGCTGACGTCACGGCATCAAATTCGTCTACCTACATAGCCCACTGATCCACGACCCCTGCTCCGCAGCCACTGGATGCTCCTCATACTGATCGTCGTGCCATCTGGTATGCATTCCGAGCAGTTTCCGCACCTTTGAGTCTCACAACTTTTACAGTCGCTTCGCCTACCGAAAGCCCACAACTGCTGATTTCCCGCACTGTCACTGTCAGGCACCGAGGAGGATCCAGGAGCTCTTCGCGAAGCTGATTGCACTACCTGAATCCTGATTAAATCCGTTGATATGTCACCACCTTGTGCGAATCTCCCTGGGATACGAGCGCACCTAGTTCTCACGTCCTCCCTTCTTCGTCGACTCTCAAAGTCTATGTGGACGGCGAATGTAGCGTCCTCTGTGCAGACCCTCGCTTCCTTGCGCACACCTTCGCTCTCATGTAGAGCCACGTCCACGAACTCGATCCCATAGGCAGTATGACTTTACTATGCCCTTACTGCTGTCGCGATACATCACCTCACATTTCATGGCGGAATATCCTCTAAGCGTCAGTTCCTAGATTCCGTACCACATTTAGTACAGCGTATCTCAGTTCAGGCCTAGGATCTCACGTCTTGTAACGCCGCACATCTATCTCATCCTCAAATTTGCCATACTTTTTCTACCTCTCTATGATACACAGGTGTCGATGCTTTGAGGCTTGGGAAATTTCACGTAGCCCTTCTCGATCCGTTCCCATACCGCTAAGAGGCGCAGTCGCTGAGCAGCGCTCGAACGTTCGGTGGTCTATATAAAGCCCACACGATTAGTACTAGGTCTATATACACTTACGAGACCCTGAATAAAGGTGACGAAGAGGTACGTGTATCAGGCATCTGTGTAACCCTGATCTCCGGCATGAGACCGCAGCTGCAACGACCTTGGCACTGCGACTGACCTTGCTTGTCGGTCCATTTGAGCGGAATCCTCTGTCGCTTGATTTAACTATCACCGTCGGTGCGAAAACGCTGAATTTTGCTTATAGTCACCTTCCAGTCAATATGCAGTGATCACTGGTCAATATTCGAGAGGCTTGTATTTGAGCTTCGAGGAGACCCTGAACGGAAGAAGTGACGTGTGGGAAAGGTGAGCGCTGCATTGCCATCCGCAGACGGTATCGAGTCCATTGCTTCTTCGAATCGGATGTCATACCGAGGAATGTCATCAAGCTCCATCCCTTAGGAGTTCTACTGGCATGCGGTCTGTGAAGGTTGTCTTCGGCTTACCCATGCTATTTTGGCTAGTGGGCGTTGAGCGGGCATCTGTCTCACCTTCACCAGGCTACATAAAGAGGCGTTCATGAGGCCCGGCTTAACTGAGGACGCAGGATTCCATCTCTGAGCCATGAGTCTCTCAAATGAAGCGCTGAGTGTCGCGATCCTAGAGACAAAGTGAGTAGTATTTCTTTCAGTTTTGTAGCCATATGACACAGCTCTGATCTCTGCAGTGTTGTCATGAATTTCATCATTGTGGCGACTGCAAGTTCGTGCGCGCAAGTCAATGTGAAGGACCGACCAATACTAATGAAAACATTAGCACTCGTCGGATACGACTATCTCACGACATTCCAGCAGGAACTGGCGCTTTTCTGGAGGAGTCGGCCCACTCTTTCCTCAATCCTCTTCTTTTTCAACCGATATCTGGCTATTGTTTACTACATTGGCATGGCTCCAATTCGGTTTTTCCCCTCAGTGACTGCAGTAAGTGAGACATACATGCCAGAGTTCTTTGATTGAATTCTATCTAGGAGTACGACTACGTCATTTCATTGCTGGCACTCGCTAACGCAAGGACGTACAATAGCTGCACGGTTGCACATTACTTTGAAGACATTCTCAGGAATCTAGGATACCTTCCGTTTGCGAGTGCGTAGTCATCGCCATGATTTCAGTCAGTACAAATGGGTTACTGACAACCTCTGAAGTTTTCTCAGCTTTACGGGCCTATGCGCTCAGCAATCAGAGCAGAGCTCTCAGTGTGATCATATTCATTTTGGGGTCCGTTCCTTTGATTCTCAACTATTATGTACTTCGATATCCCACCTTGATTCAACCAAACGCTCACCGGCTTTGCAGGGAGACCTTCATCACGTCACGACTAGATTCGACCCCATCCTAGGCTGTACCACAGATGTCAATGTCGCGACGCACACAAGCAATTTGTGAGTACAGAACGCACTATTTTGTGGGTCCAGACGCTTACGCACATGCAGGGGTATGTGGGAATGGCTCTTCCGAAGAGCTTGTCGTTGACACCTCACAGGCACCGCTGCTATAGCTACATGTCTCATTCTCTCTGATACATGTGTTGCTTGTCTTACCTGGCGTGCAACCTATAAATCGCATGGTTCACAGAGCGGGTTGCCCTCCCTTCTCAGCGTGATGTATAGGAACGGTGCGTGCGTTGTCCTTTTTGTTATCAACTCTCCTAATCGGTTCCTAGGAACCATGTATTTCTTGTGAGCTCCCTATTACCGAGGAGGTTTGGTCCGGACGTTGCTGAGCGAACACAAAGCATTCTGTCATTCCTGAACGCTCTCCACTTGACATTCTCCTTTGTGGTGGGCTTGATTCCATCTCCCATTCCCCACCAGATGTCCCTGACACAGCTCATAGAATACACCAGTACGTCCGATTGGTACTGGGACAACATATATCACGAGATTTTCCGAGCCGTGAGTCAATTTGACTGGCCAGCTACCTTTCGCTCACAACTCTCAAGGATTACGAGCGTCATGGTGTCGCACTTTCTCATCGACCTGCATGAGGTCAACCTAAGGATGACCCACCAGATGTCTTTCTTATCGCTGGACGTCATGAGCAGACTGGATACTCCACAGTCTATTGTATTTCGGGCTCCATCTGGTAGCGATTCGAGCGATGCTTCTACGGAGGACTACGGAGAGGATTCAGTGAGCCTCAGGGATGTATGATACTCGGCTTCTACCTTCAGTGCACCAATCGGATTCTACTGTGTATTCTTCGGTGCAGTCCGGATGTGGCCCGGGAACATCATGAAGCTATGGACACGGTCCTGCACATTTGCGAGATTTTTTAGAGTACAATCCCAACGCAGAGTCTTTGATATAGGACCTCGATGCGCTTTCTAGGGCATGGGAACCGAGAAGATAAGCATGTGCGGATGTGCAGAATACCGTGACATTGCAATGGCATGACAGTCCTCGCAGTACTGCTATCGTAAGCTAGGGTTAAGATGATCGACGAACGGCGGGAAACCCGCCGGGCGTACTCCTGACCGCAGCAAGAAGCGAGTTCCAGGGGCGCAACCGTACCCATTGGGCGGCAGGTTTATAACCCGTACCTTTGCCTTCAATGGCCCAGGGTGGACGGGCATTCGCAACGCATAGGTACTGAGCCCCCTACCTAGCACTTCACCATTCGTATAGCCCAACCCCCTCTCCCCTCCCGCTCATCGTCCAGGCCTTCCCCTTGCACCTTTCCTCACTGAGTCTCCCTCCTTTCCCCCTAGCTTGCACGAGCCTTCAGCTCACTGTTGTACAAGTCGATATCCCTGCCTTCCCCATGTAGACAGTCAGAGTCTTGGTCCTCGAATCTCCTTTAATGAAAGCAATAAACTCATCTGACCTTGATGTTCACGCATGCGCTTCCCGAGGGCTTGTCATTGGACATGGGTGACTGACTCGTCCGCTGCAAGGCTCCAGCAGATATAGGCGCCCGAAGCTCGGGCGAATCGGCATCACCATTTGCTGACGTCATTTCACCGAAGTGGGCTATCCGTCCTCGCCAGCGCAATAATTGATTCATCATTTGTCTCTTCCGCCCAACTGCCTACTGCACTTGTCAATGCATCTCGAACATCCCGAGTATCTGCAGCTGCTTTGCTTTTCCTGCTCCCTTAGGTAGTGCCCGAACTTGGACATGGACGACTCATTCTGGGGGACCGATATTGTATCGTTCGTCTTGTAAACACTACTACCACTGTCCTCATGGTCGCGAGAAGACTGTATGCCCTATGAACTGTCCCAACAACTTCTCAGTCCACAGGATTCTGGCGCGAGGATGAAACGCGCTCCCAATGCGCCCCGCGAAGGAAGCGTGTACAGCCCAATCGGTTGTCACCATCAGCGCATGAGCCGTGCACCAAGCGTGAGTTGCTACAACCCGTTGGACAAGACAGAGTAATCAGACTGCAGAGGCTACGGTATGTCCCTTACTTGGACGGCAATTGAGTAGGCTGTTTGCTTTCTCGGGCCGTGCGCAATCCACTAGTCGTGCGCTATGTTTAAATTGTTGCCCGCTCGCGCGCGATAGCCTAAGTCTTCCTCTGTTCCCACGAACAGCGCAGGTACACCTGATTGGAAGACGCTCCTGACGACCCCGGAAATCATCCATCGCTCAGCTTGAACACACTTCGGAACCCTGCCGATGCTTACTTTACCGAATCATCTTGCGACGTCGTCCTGCGCTTGTATGTATTCTTCCCGTCTACTTGGTTGTTACCCTATCTCCTCTACCGGCTAGAGACACTGTCTCGGATATAGGGCTATTGAGACGCAAAGATGGGCTCTTCATGATTGTCTGATACGTCCCTGTTCGTACAAGCCTCCTGAGCCCGCGTATCTATGCCCCCAAGATTGACTGCATCGAATACGCTGGCGGCGGCCCTCATCTTCAGTCAGTAGTCGATCTGATGGGTCCGTTTAGTTTGCCCAATACATCGTCGCTTGATTGGACCTGATTGACGCTGCTCGCTCAACCTCGAGCTCATCGTGCCTCAGTCACCACCGTCTGGCGGCAGCCTCGGCACGCCCAGAAATCTCATCAACTCCGGTAAGCCAAATCTTCTTGTGCGCCTCGCTGCCATGTTCACCGTCGTGGAACCCCATGCTGACATCTGCTATTTGACGTCCGTAAGGTAGCTTCTTGGGACTACCATCCGGTCAGAGCCTGAATAGCACCCTTCCGTCGTAGATCGAAAGACATCGGCGTCTGAACCCAACGTGGCGTTCGGTCGAACTTGGCGCCTATGCGGGCTGATCTCCAGTTCCAACTTCGTGAAACACACATCCACGAAGCCTAAATTGCACACAAACATTGGTATGCTTGATCTCGTTCTATTTGCCTAACCGTCTGTGACTCATGACGCCATGGTGAACACGCTGAGCTTTCTGCCGATAGAAAACGCACATCCTCTCTCATGTATTCCGTAACTGTCGCTCTCTTCCCCTTCTTATCCATGTTCTGCTCCAATACGACTATGAAACCACAGGTCCTTCTCCCATTCTCTGTAGCCGGATCCTATCTCCCTCACAACAGTCCTTCCCAATTCGCGCGGGGTCAGCGTCGCGATTGCAGTCGAAAGCCAGGAATCATTCGACCGCCTAACGCAGACGTCATACTCGTCATGGGTCGCGATGTGCACGGAAAGGTGACATGGCTGTCGCTATCCGACTTTGTCGACAAGCTCCTCCTAATACGCCTGCTCTCCGACAATTTCGCCTGCGTAGATGTCGAAGATCAATGTCGCCCTTAAAGACGGCCCTCAGAACTACAAGCAGCATGTCGAGGACAGCAACCGATTTCCCGGGAATCAACTTTCCGCCGACTTCGTAAGTGGCTCGGATGCTCTGAAGCCGGCTTTGTGCTGAACTTGTCCCAGGCTACTGTTTATAGCGACCACGGTCTTGACTACTTCGCATGGAGCGCAACGTGTGCGAATATCGCTCCTATCATTCCTGTCGATGCCATCTCCGCTTCACAGTCCTTCCAACAGATGTGGCAGACAGGGACGGCCCACAAAGTCCCGTGCTACGTCATACGGCCTTCTCCTCGCCGCTGAGACTCGAGAGACGATGGTAGGAACGTGTCCGACGCAGCGCTCTTCCGGAAGAACGCCGAGCTCGGCAAAGGTCTGCCCAACCGGCAACATCAGCGGGCGTTCTTCCAGTTCAAGCATGAGGGCACACACAACGACCCCTTCGACGACGCAGAAGAGGGAGAGGTGGAGGCCCTAGAAGAAAGGATCATGGTGTGGCCGGTGGAGATGTGCCGTACGTACTCTGCTCACAATATCAAGGTGTATCAGCGCAGAACTGGAGAGGAGGAAAGAGCGATAGTGTAGGTACATACAAGGACTCTCCGAAGGCACCATATAATTTCTTGTACCTGCTAATCGACAGACGGTCAGCTCAGCATGGAGCTTATTCGATCGAAGTACAAGAGGGTATCAAGACGACACATGAATGCTGTTAGATTCAGGTGCAGAAGAGCTACCGGTCTGTGACTTTGCTGGGCATGGTGAGTACCGCTGGCCCAGACTCGGACGTTGGGCCAGCACTCAGAGGCGCCGAAGGGCCGGGCCAATTATAGCCGACGTTAGTAGCTAAATCCGGCGACTTCGATCTTTCAGATTTCATCTGTCCTTCTCCTTCGATAGCAGGCTCACGCTTCGGTACTATTGGCATGTGCGAGTCCGAGCCAAGGAGGGGCTCCGATGCAATGCGTGCATACTAAGACTCCTTCGTGGATCGCCTCCCTGTCTGTTTCCTTGCAACTATCAACGTGGTCCTACGTTCGAAGCTCACAAGCACTGCTCTTTGGGCCACACCGTATCTGTTAAGCTGATGATAAGCTGGATCCGGCAGCTCTTCTTACAAGTGTTCGCATCTACTCGCTATTGACTCCGACCTATTGAATAGGTCACAGCCCTCCTAAGCACTGCCCGACGCTCGCTTGTATCATGTTGCTACTTGTCTACCCCGCATTCGGCCATCAATGTCAGTGGACTTCCTATATCCTCTGTCAGGCTTTACCGTTTCCTGGAGCTCAGTTGAAGCTGACCTCCAGCACACTACGTGTTACGCGTATCGTAGCCTCATAGCCCTCATGATGGGTCTAGAACTTTGCCAGATGTCGTTCATTCCGCCCCGCCTCTGATCGCTGTGTTACTGATCCGATCACTCGTTCACCTGACGAACTACACTGGCCCCTTCTTTTTTACAACGTGGCGGTATATTATGGCGGTCCCTTGACAGACGAGTTTGTATGGTTACTCCGTTGAGCCCACTGGCGACAGTCTGAAACCTCGTGTCGTCCCTCAGGCTGTCCATATCAGCATGGGGCTTCAGACTTCTGAGTAGCCTTTACAATGCTACCTCTTCCTCGGGTCGCATAGGCACTCTTCACATGATGAAGCTCCCGATCACAACCGAGTCCAATCTCGCGAGCAAGCCAGAGCGACGAGATGATTGACCATTGAAGCAATGCTCGGAGCTGTGCGGCTTTCACGCTGCTTCTTACATGCGTTCTGGCTTGTTCGTTGCCATACTGATGCACCACAGTCGAGGAGAGCTCTAGTGCCTGCTGATCCACTTGAATTCTTTCGGGTTCTGCGAATCTTTGTTGATAGAAATGCAGGGAAAGCGACGACACAAAGCACAATCATTTAGCTCATATACACAGCCTTAGTTCTATTCCTCAACTGCCGAACGTAAGTCGCGCAATTTCATTTCACTATTGGGTTTTCTTCTACTTTTCCGAAGTGAAGAGTCTGGCCCTGCCTGTGCCATGTTGTACAGCCATTACGCATGTTTTCTGACTTCGTGATGGTCGGGAGAACTGAATCCCGAAGATGAGCCGCAATGTGAATGCAGAGTAACATACAGATCTGGGCATCTGTGTTTGCCAACGGCCCTCAGTTGCTCCTCTCACGGAGGTGCTATGGCGTCTCGTCGTACTCTAGAAGCTAGGGAAACAACATGTTGTCTGGCCGCCCTCACAGGTAAGCTCTATTCACCTGACTACTTAAGCAGCCAGTTCCGAAAATGTCAGGCTCCTGTTCGTTAGGAGTCATGGCTACCCCCAATATGGCGCACATGGTCGCCGTCCTTGAGAAAAAGTACGCACGACTCTCTGGGTATAGCAGCTGGTGTCTGTAAATTGATCAACCTTCGAGCAGTCAGATCATGAACTTCATTGTTGTGGCCGTTGCGAGTCAGTCAGTGACGTCATGATCGGTGGACAGCATGCTAATGAAGGCCCTAGCGATTGTTGTGTTCGACTACTTGATGACTGTCCAGCAGGAACTGGAGCTCTTCTGGAAGAGAAGGTTGAACCTGTCCTCCATACTATTCCTATCCAATCGCTATGTGGCTATCAGTTATTATGTTGCCTTGCTCCCAATCAGATTCTTTCCTTCGGTCACTCAGGTCAGTAAATGAATGCCTCGATCATGGTGATGCTGCTATGGTGTTTCTGACGCTTCCCAGGAGTACGGCCCATCAATGTCACAGCTACAATAGAAGCTATTGACGTCAGGCAATTCTTAGATGCGTTGTGACCCATTACACCGAAGATATTCTAAGGTTTCTAGGCTACCTCCCATTTGCAGGTACATGGTGTTGGGTATGGCGTCGTACAGGTCTTGCTAAAGCTTTGAGAAGTGTTTTCAGCTCTCCGTGCCTACGCTCTTAGCAATAGGAGTAAGGTGGTGAGCGGGCTTGTATTTGTTCTAGGAATCATGCCCCTAGTTCTCAATTATTATGTAAGTCATGACACTCCTTGAGGGAACCACATATTTATGCAGTTTCAAGGGTGACTTGCATCACGTTGACGAGCAATATGATCCTATCCTAGGCTGCATCACAAATGTAAACACGTCGACAGCCTCAAACCACTTGTGAGTCAAAGCTCATCAGATTCACGTTTCGTAGGCTTACAATAAAGCAGGGGTAATTATCCAATCTGCACCGCCTTCACCATGCAACTTACAGTAGACGGCTCACAATACAGGAACTGTTGTGATCCGGACATGTCTCATTCTCTGTGACGCAAGTGTTGTATGCCTTACCTTGCATGCAACCTGGAAATATCGTGGTACACGAAGGATGTTACCTTCCATTGTGGACGTGATTTACCAGGATGGTGTGCACGTTGAGTCTCACTGATGTCTCCTGTATCTGAACACTATACAGAGACCATGTACTTCTCGTGGGTATAATGATGGCAATATGCGAAGCGTGGCTGAATAGTTCACAAGTGTTCTGTGCCTACTGAACGCTCTCCACCTCACATTTACTTTCCTGGTCAGTCTGATTTGTGCATAGAAATACTCATAGCACTCTGAGATATTTCACAGGATACACCTCTGCGCCCTGTTGGCAAGAACACCACTTATATCACACGATTCTCCGAGCCGTGAGTGAAGTGGTTTGATACAGTCTTTCAGCCTGCTATCATTGACAACGCTGTAGTTTCACTGCCATCATGGTATCCCACTTCCTCATTGACTTACGTGAAGCCGATGGGAGGAGGATGCATCGAGAGTCATTCATATCCCTTGATAGTATCGGCAGGCTGGAAACTCCCCAGTCCATGGTATTCTATAGACCATTTAGTGACGATTCAATCCGTGCTGTTATCGAGGACGATGACACAGAATCCATCTCTTATAGCATATAACATTGGAATTACACGTTTATTTCAATGAATATAGTAGCACATACCCGTTACTAAGTTAAAGTCGAGCAAAGCGCGCTGCCCGTAATTGACTATCATTGCAAGACCGCTTAGAACCCGTCCTCCTGTGACAAGCCACAAAGTCGCAGAGCATTCAGTACATACACCAAAAGTACCGAGGGTCAACGAAAGGTGCCATACATCACGATACGTGTGCGAAGCTACTGTGATCTGATCCCCTTTCGTCCTCCTCCCAGCCCCTCTCCGGGAATGAGAGCGCAAGCCGCTACAGCGCAGCGCACGTTGCAGACACTATCTCCTGAATGTTTCCTTGAAAGTCATGAACCCAAGGATGCTATGCACATTAGACCATAACGATAATTGCGGTGCGGTCACGCTTGCTCGTAGACGAGATTCAGTGCGGGGATGAGAAGACACATGGAGATAACGGCGGTGGAGATGTGGCTTAAGCACATGGCTGGCATTCAGATACTACATAGAATAGGACATACGTCACTCCAGATCTCTTCCTGTATTCTTGACCTCGGCTGCGCAGAAGAGGACAGGTGCACCAAAACATCCACCTATGTTCTGGCCTCCGGTTGGTTGGATGTTCGCGTTTGACTTGTGGAACATCACCCTGATGTAAGCCCCATGTTCTCCCTGTGAGTAAGGCTGTAAGAGGAGAGGTGAAATTGGTGCAAACGTACGCAGGCTTTTGAGTACCCGCCCGGTGCCCATCAAGCGACGAGAGAATGCGAAGTTAATCAAGGGTTCTGAATCATATCTACACGCCTAAGTGGCAACATGAGTAACCTGTCCCATTTAGGTATATTAGAGGAGCTGAACTGACCCAAAGGCATATTACATTCCCATAATCCTCCTGCAGCCTGGAGGATCAGTGATTCTACAGAAGTTCGTACCCGAGTGCCCCAGTAGGGTTAAGATCAAGACGACTAGAGTCTTGCCGTTCCAGCCTAGGAGTCGGGCACTGAAAGACAAAAATTGTACTGACCTTTCTCAGATTCATGTATGCAATTCCCGAGTGCTTGCTGAATCGCGCATTTCAGTTCTAAGGTTGGCTTGAATGTTGGGGCGGGACAAAGGCGCCCGAAGCTCGGACGAATCACCGCCCGCCATTTGCTGACGTCACCTAGACCGGAATTTGGCTGTCCGTCCTCGCAAGCCTGCGCATGCCCGCACATCGCCATATCTCTCCCTCTCTCCCTCAACCCTCCCGAGCTACATCTATGCATGCATCTTTCACATTCTGAGTACCTTTAGCTGCTTCATATCTGCTCTTATCTAGTTTCCTGCTGGCTCTAGCTTGGACACGATACGTTTTGTGGGGCCGACGCGCCCACTACCACCATCCCTATAGCCGCGAAAAGAACGCATCATGTACGAACCGTCTTCAAATCGTCCACGACACGGGACGCTACATGCCAACATGACCCGCGCTTCCATTACGCTCGTCTCCGGGAAGGGAGCGCATACGATTGCACCAGCCGATCACCCTCAACGCTCGAGCTACCCTGCACGTGTGAGTTGTTATAACAGGAGGACACGCTAAAGGGGTAGGAAGAATACAAGGGCTAGGGTATGTCCCTCGCTTAAATGTTTCTTCCAACGACGAATTGACCAGGTACGGGACTCGAGCAGGCGGTTCGCTTTCTCTGGCCGTACGCCGTAGTGGGTCTGTTTCTCCCGCATTCCGTTAGATGGTTGAAGTATATGAGCAAGCCTAGACCATCACTATCGCTTTTAATACCTCCTGACACTCGACCCCTCGACCGCGAAATCTCCACCATTATCGGAACGGAGCAGGCATACCTATCTTGGCATCGCTCCTCCCGCCCTGAGCTATCCTGCAGACGTCGTCCTGCGCTTGTATGTACGTGCCCTCCCCCTATCCACTTGGCTAATTGATCCTCGCAGTGTAAATGTAGCCGTCAAGAGCTCGTTGTGAGGATGGTCCTGTTGCGTGGGCAGGTAGCGAGTCTGGTTAGGTTGGCTCTTATCAGATTCTCGTCCGGCTTTCTTGACCACTCGCGCTTCAGTATTACTAGTTGGTAGTCCATCTCATGTGACCGTGCAGTTCGCCGAATACATTGTCGTTCGATTGGACTTGGTAGACGCTACCTTGCTCGACCTCGGGCTCATCGTGCCTCACCCACGTATACGTCACCGTCTCGTGGCGGCCTCGGCACGCAGACGAATCTCACGAACTCCAGTAAGTTGAATCCTGTCGTTCATCGCTGCCATATCAACTGCCATAGAGCCTCATGCTGACATCGGCTGTTTGACATTCGTAGGTAGCTTCTTGGAACTACCATCCGATTGTGGCCTGAGTAGGGCCTCGGCAATGGACGTCCTGTGCACTACGTCCTAATTCATCATAGTAGCGTCACGTCCAATTGATGCCCTTCGAAGCTACCTGTACGCCGCATGATCAGACAACACCGGCGTCAGACCTGAAGGTGGCGTTCGGTCGAACTTGGCGCCCATACAGGTTATTCTCCAACCGCCAACGTCGCGAGACACACATCCACGAAGTCCAAATCGCACACCAATATCGGTATGCTTGATATCAATTGCTTTACCTAAGTGTCTGTGACTCATGATGCCACGATGAACACTGTTGCCCTGCAGCAATAGACACTGCTCTGCGCCCTCTGCCGATAGAAAGCCACCATCCTCACTTGAGTACTCCGTGAGTATCGCTCTTCCTTCTAATACATTCCTGCCCAACATACGACTACGAAACCACAGGTCCTTCTTCCATTCTCTGTGGACGAATCCTGAGTTCCTCATAACAATCCTTCCCACTTCGCGCAAAATCAGCATCACTATTGCAGCCGAGGGCCCGGGACTGTTGGACCACATAAAGCAGAGTTCGATTTCGTCATGGTTCGCAATATGCACGGAGATTTGACGTGGCTGTCGCTATCCGACTTCGTCAACAATCTCCTCCCGACACCTCAACCCCTGCTCTCCAATTTCCCGCCCGAGCAGATGTCAAAGATCAACGCCTCGCTCAAAGACGTCATTCAGAACCACAATAAGCGTTCAAATAATAGCGACCGCCTTCCTGAGGATCAGCTTGCCTCCGACTTTGTGAGTGGCGTGATTTCTCTGAAGCCGGCTTTGTGCTGATTTTCTTCGAGGCGGATGTGATCAACAAGCACCTTCTTGACTACTGCGTACGGAGTATCACTCCCATCATTCCTGTCGATTCCGTCTCCGCTACACCTTCCTCTCAACAGATGTGGCAGACGGAGATGGCCGACAAAGTCCCGCGCTACGTCATGCGGCTTTCTCCTCGCCTTTGGGACCCGAGAGACGATGATAGGAACGTTTCCGACGCAGCGCTCTTCCGGAAGGACGCCGAGCTCGGCAAAGGCCGGCCCAACTGGCAACATCAGCGGGCGTTTTTTCAGTTCAAGCAGGAAGGCACGCACAACGACCCCTTCGACGAGGCACAGGAAGGAGAGGCGGAGGCCCTAGAAGAGAGAAAGAAGGTATGGGGGCAGCTCAGCGCCTACGCTGATCAAGTCTTCCTCTATCAACATCGTGCTGCCGCCTTCTCTCTCTTCGTGATCGGGAGGGAGTTTCGCGTCATGCAGTGGGACCGGATCGGTGTCTTCGTCAGCGAGAAGGTTGACTACCTCTTGCGTACGGATGCGTTGGTCGAGGTGCTCCTGGCGCTCATTGTCATGGACGACGAGGGTCAGGGCTTTGACACCTCTGCGACGCTGATCCAGAAGGGGACTGACGACTACCGGTTGATGGACAAACTTGCGGACGTAAACATCCCGTTCCATCTTCCTGTGGTCGGCCATGAAGAAGGCACCCCGCTCCCCGAGACTCTCCTTACTGCCCCGTCCCAGCCTCTACCTACCAATACGAACACGGTCATGAACGGCCCCAGCCCTGGTCTTGTCGACAGGGATACGGAACAACCGACCACTCTGCATATTCCTGATGGCGGCTCGTTCGTCTTCGAGTACGTTCTCGACTACTTCCGTAAATCTCTCACAGACTGGCCCCGGTACAACCTCACCATCGACGACGACGAGTTCCTTGTCTGCAAGCCATTCTACCACACGCGCGGAGTCTTTGGTCGAGGCACTCGTGGTTACGTGGCATACCGCAAGCGAACAAGGACGTTCGTCTTCCTCAAGGATACCTGGCGGCCGGTCCACGAGAATGTCAACTCCGAAGCCCAGATCCTAGACAAGCTCAATAAGTACGACGTCTGCAACATACCGACTCTCCTTACTGCTCAACAATTCGACTATAGCCTCTCACCTGACTGCAAAAGCGAGGACCCGAGCAAGAATGAAGAACCTCAGACCGGCGCACGCGAGGGTCGTTCGGACGAGCCTCACGGAGTCAAGCGTACCCACAGCGAGATGGAGGAAGAGCCGACGCCCGACGTGTGGCCATATGTCCATCATCGTCTCGCTTTCAAGGAGGTTTGCCTCCCGCTCAAAGCATTTCAGTCTAGCCGCCAACTGGTCAGCGTCATACGGGATGCGATTGAGGGTAAGCTAGCGCATTTCTTGGGTCGCTGGCATGTACTGACTGCTGAAACCAGCCCACTATGAAGCCACGAGCAAATCGAGGGTTATACACTGCGACGTCAGTAGCGGAAACATCCTGATTCTTCCCACCTTCATCGCATCAGACGACGACGACGGGAAACGTGTTGTTCGTATACGTTGGCGTGGGATTCTTGCAGATTGGGAGTTGTCTAAGCCGGTATCTGAGCCTGAGCAGGATGTCAGCAGGCAGCATCCCAAGCATGAGATCAGAGTGGTGCGCTCCGCTCAACGTTGTGGAACGAAGGAATCATTTACTATTTGAACAGGGTACCTGGCGTTATATGTCAGTGGCGTCTTTCTGGGATGCTTCTCATATCGTCAGCACTGCGGACGAGATCGAGTCTTTCTTTAATGTCCTCTTGGAAAACGCCATTCGCTACTGCTCCCACAACATGGAGCTGGAAGTTCCCTCATTCTGTGACGACTACTTCGTCCGATTCATGCGCCGACCCGACGGGACCATCAAGTGTCCTTCTCTCAAGGTCTGGGTGATAACCCAACTCGGAGCTCTGGAGTATGATGGCGTTGACATCGGATTTGGGCTGGACGGACGGCCCAACAACGCACTCAACATACTCTTTTCCACTTTGTTGGGATGGTTCAAGGCGCGGTACGACGTGAGGAAGTACGAAAACTCGCTTCCATCACACAAGACGCCTTCTTGCACGACGAATGCCGCGGCAGAGTCGGAACCTCCTGCCCGGCGCCCGCGCGTCGAATCGAGTAAACCCAAGATCGGCTCCCCCTTCCCAGGAATGACCTTCCGCAAGGAGCTGGCCGCCAGCGGGCCCATCCCTCCTTCGGAAGAGACATACGAAGAGGCCGCCAACCTCAAGGACCACGACGCTGTCCGCAACTTGTTTTGGGCGGTCTTAGATTCTGGGGCAGAAGAATGCGAGTGGCCGGAAAACGAGGTACTGCAGGATCACTTGCACGTTCCGGGTCCACCTGAGCCGGAGACCGAGGAGTCGGTCCATGACACTCGTTCTATAGCGAAAGTCTTTGCCAGAACTGTGCCGGTATTCCAGACGGTCTGTACCAAGACGACGCGTAGGCGAGCGGCGACTGCGAGCGGAAGGCTACTTATCAAGACCTGGCGACGTAAGTAGTGTCGATTTCTCTGGATGTGAGCCCTCGCACGTGCGTGCAGCTCTGTTGTGCCTCCAATCGTGTGTACCTCTTCCTTATATCTGTGTCACGATCTTTTGTTAGGCCGAGCCTTCATCATGTACCTGGTATCGCCTATGCACATGTTCGCAGACATTCTCGAGTATCATGTCCTCGTCCTCCGTCGAGCAAGGTGCTTGCTTGGGTGAGGTCCTTATGTTTACAAGATAGCAGAGAGAAATCCTTCCTCTAGACAGCGATCAATGTGTATTGACGGGGCCTCAAATCCACCTGACTTCAGTGACACTCGCGTGTGACTTTGCACATCTAATCTTAGCCTTGCTCTGCTAAATTCTCCTGATTAGAACCCACGAAGTGTCACAGAGAAGATTAGGATGTGCCAAGCGGTCCGGTGCCTGCTACAGACTGGAAGCACCAATCGCCGCTCGCTGTTTAACGCTTGTCCATGAGCAGCTGAGAATCGAGCATCATAATCTGACTATGGGGTCTTCATTCGCTACCCAACGAGCTTTCCTTGGCCACGTCATACAACAAACACTGATATTTGAGAACTGAACCCTGCAAGATGAAGACATACATGAGTTAACCTTGGCTTCGGCCGATGACACCGGATAGCTTCTGTGTTTGAGAGGTGCGACAGCGACTTGCGGGTTTCACGGATCCCCATACTCTGATAGAACTTCGTTTTACAATTGTTCCGAGAGTTTATATCTGTCCTGTACGGCTACTTAAACAGCCGATCTGGCTATCCTCGACGCTACTAATATGAGCCATGACCGCCATGAGTACTGAGGACATCCTTACTACTCTCAAAACGAAGTAAGTGCCAGTCTATGTATATTCCGGCTGGATTCTTATCCTAGATTCTCGATTGAGCAGTGTTATCATGAACTTCGTCATCGTTTCCACTGCTAGTCAGTGATGGAACTACAATCCCAGCCAAAAACTTTCTAACGGGACCGCAGCCCTCATTTCATTCGACCACTTGATAACTATACAGCAGGAGCTAGATCTCTTTTGGAAGAAACGGGTGACCTTATCCTCCATACTCTTCTGTTTCAATCGCTATACGGCGATTGTCTACTACGTCGTTATGCTCCCCATCCGTTTCTATCCTTCATTCACTCACGTCAGTAACACTTATGTCTGGAATCTACTGGTGCTCACACACAAACAGGAGTATGGCCCGTTCACGTTTCAGCTGGCCGCTCACGTTAAGCAATCTCTAGATGCCTTGTAACTCATTACTTCGATGATATCATGAGGTTCCTAGGATATATACCATTTGCGAGTAGGAGGTGTGACCCACAATCTCGTAGAGATCGTGCTGATATGGTGAATAGTGTTCTCAGCTCTCCGTGCCTATGCTCTCAGCAACAGGAGCAGAGCGATTGGCGGAATCGTTTTCATTTTGGGTATAGCACCCCTGGTTCTCAACTACTATGTAATATCATCAAATCCCTTGGAAGAATGAATCGAACACTTACATACTTCTTAGGGAGATTTGCACCATGTCGATGAGCATTATGATCCTATTCTAGGCTGCATCACCAATGTTAATGTCACAACGGCAACACATCATCTGTAAGTCCAAGGCAATCAGTCAGACTAGTTGCGTACTCATAGTATTATAGGGGTAAGTTCTTGTTTGCGAGGCCTTTATCATGCAGCATACGATAGACAGCGCACAACACAGGAGCTATTTTGATCTGCACGTTTCTCATTCTCTCCGATACAACCGTTGTATTCCTCACCTGGCGCGCAACATATAAGTCTCGCGGCTTACAAGGCACTGGGCCTGGGCTTGCAGATGTGCTGTACCATAACGGTGTGTACATTCGGTCTCAATGTTTTCATTTGGTCTAAGCACGAGTCAGGGACTCTGTACTTCTTGTAAGTATGATGCGGTAAATCGAGTTATGTGACACTGATTCTCTCAAAATCAAAGCCTCCTGTCTGTTCTAAATGCTCTACACCTCACGTTTACCTTCGTGGTGATTACAACTACAACTCCTATCACCAGCCTTTATCAAGCATCTCACGCGCTGAACAGAACACACCAGTGAGCCCTGTCGGCCTGAACACTACCTACATCACAAGATTCTCTGAGCCGTGAGTCCCTTAGTATATATCAACACACCATTGCTAAATTCTCCATAGGCTTACGGTAGTCATGGTGTCTCACTTCCTCATTGACCTACACCAAGCCAACGAGAGGATGATGTATCAAGTATCATTCCTCTCCTCGGATGTCATGAGCAGACTCGAGACTACGGAGTCCATAGTATTCAACAGGCGATCCGATGGTACCGATACAAGTGGTGCCACCACCGACGAGTATGACATGGATATAAGGAATCGATACAGCGTGCGGCGTTGACTTGCACAGTTATTCCGCAGTCCCCGATGTACACACTAGCCAGAAGATACAAAGGAAGTTGCACTAGCTTTAACTTTCATGAGCATATATCGCATCACGGCAAAGAGGAGACTTAAGCATGAACTCCTAGTATCGTGATATCGGAGACTCCGTGCTCCTATACACACATCTGTGCATCACCTCAACCCCACCCGAGCCGTGCGTTCGCCTGGACTAACATCGTACACTACGACGGTGTGGCCAATTCTAGTATCAAGCCAATGCAAGCAGTATTATACCGCAAGTGCCCGTAATCTCAGCTCATCTCTGCTGGCTACCATCGTCCTGGATCGATAGAATCTACCCAAGCATAGCTCCCTGTTATATGCACTTTCACCTACGTCCTGCCCGGAACAGCCGGTGATGATAAATAGCTAATGAACCCTGTGTAGGACAACCCGGACCCTGTCGAATAAGATCCGAGCGCACCGCGTGTTGAAGTTTCTGGACGACGGCGCAGATCAGCACTGGGAGCTCACAGGAGACGTGCGCGCACGTTCCCAATGCAACTTACCTATAACTTCACCCCCTACCTCGATCCGACTGCGACCGCCCCATCGCTTCGCGCAAGCGCAAACTATTCAGGTTCGGTCCGCTCCCGCTGGGGTATTCGTTGGATGGGGGTACATCTTCTCTGCATGCCGCGACGAAAGACCAGCCGCCGTGACCATTAGTGTTCGAGAAAGGGCAGTGGCGACAAGCTATGCGGGTAGCGACGATAGGCGTGAGATAGATGCATGTTGTCGGCTGTGGAGAAATATCTCAATGACATGAGTAGAATCAAGGATCTGCATACCTGACGGACACGGGTGTCGGCAAAAATCATACAAGACGTTGAATGCAAAGGACGACTCCACACAGGGCTATGTGCTCGATGTATGCGGGTTGTCGGTATGGGATGCACTCGTGGATTTGGACGAACTCCGTGCCCCCATTACAGACACGCGTGAACGCACTAGGCACATATACTTCGAATTCGCGACATGCGCTAGTGCTACCAACAGCGTCCCGCATGTTCACCGCACGCTATACTGATTACTAGCCCCAGGAGCATCTACATGGCCTTCGACATCTCTCGACTGCCACATCGCACTTCACGTGCTCTCGCTTGGTCCACGGCGAGGACTCTATCTGATGATGAGCAGGATTCCAAACCCCACAGGCAGAGGATTCCACCCGCATATGATCTAGACCAGCACGCACATGGCGAACTGCGACCCTTCCGCATCACATGATGGCGGGGGAGAGTGGTTACGACGTGGGAGCGAGAGCGAGCGAGGGAGAGGATCGACGCACATCCTATCCTAGTACCGGTATAGCCGCCGCAGTAGACCGCGTCCAGCAGCTGATCAACTGTCGCATGGTTCAGTCTCAATCCCAACTCCTCTCCAGGCTGAGGCTCCGCAGTCCAAGTCTTGCTCGCGAGTCCGGCCATAAGACCCATTAGCGCTTTTATACGCTCGATGGATAGGTCTGGGGCATCCTCAGACGGGTATCGTCCAGGAACGTGCGACTGAGGACCGCGTTCACGAGGACCTCCGCAGAGAAGTCGCTGACAGTGAAGATCATGTATCACCGTTGCTAGGTGCCTTGAACATAATCACTCACCGATAATTGGGGTCCTATTGCCCTCTGTCGACGCCTCCTACCCAACGAGCTTGTTGGATGCCGATATCATGAGAACGTACGTCCTTCGGACGGCAACGATGGCAATCTGGCATAGGCGTGTGCAACGTCATTGGTTCCGATGGCCGAGAACAATCTCAAGAGGCAACACAGACGCGTACAGCAGGGGAGCGGTGAGCGAGTCAGGGGGACAATAGGGGACAGTAAGGGGAAACGCTCGGAACTGGAAAGGTCAGTGAATTCCGGGACACAGCGTCAGACTCCGGCAGAGTCCGGTGAACAGCGTCGGAGGTGGACGGACTTCGACGGATGCCGCCGGACTTCGTTAGGCAGCGATGAACACCAGGATCGGCCATCGGGTTTCAAGGACGGCCATCAGATTGAAGTTCGGGTCCACTGGTGTTGATATCATTCGGTAAGTACTGGTACGCCCCCGCACACGCTTACTGCCAGCTACATGCATGCTCGAGACTTGGGACAGCGGTAATCTCATTGTCCTGAGCAAGTCCGCACGACCTGCACGCCCGTAAGGCACACGTTCCTCACCGACGCATCGTACCCCGTGTCTGCCCATTGTACAGGTCGTCCGCCGTGCTCACCTCTGGGGGCGGCCTGTCAATGTCCGAAGCTGTCCGCATCGTAACGACACGCCCAAAGTCGACGCGGCGAACGAGTGTCCCGAGCACCGACCCATCCTCCTGCTATATAGTGCGGTACACGCACGTGCCGTTCGTAGACGTAGTCGTGTTCTCGGATGCACCTCCCAGGAGTGCGCCGCTGCACCACGCGTCCGACGTTGCCGTATCACACGCGAGCACGCGTGGCGCCCCGAGCGCCGCAGCGTACTGTGGCTCGCTGGTGTACACTAGCTGTACCGCTGCGCGCTCGCAGTGTCGTTCAGCTCGGCTCTCGCGCTCGGGCAACGGCACGCTGACGCAGGGCGTCGTCCGGCTCGAAGGCCTCCGCGCGGGAGATGTAGGGTGGCCACTGGCCCCGTGCGGTCCTGTGGCACATATCCGATGGGAAGCCAGTCTGGGGTCTCGCGCCCGTCGGCCTCGTGTTGCATCGCGACCTGCACCGAAAAACTTGCGAACGCGACCTAGCCCTGCGTGCCCTGCTCTGGGAGATGCCCCGTCGCCGGTGAGAAAACAATTGGACTGGGTGGAGGGTAGAAGAGAGGGGACGTAGATAACACCGCGTCGATTTCGCCCTCGTCCGGCAGGTGTCGGCCTTGGCCGTGCATTGGACGGCAGGATACCGCCGCGAAGGATCAATGCCGTGACGTTGCGTGTGAGGAGGTCGAACTCGGGGATGAGGATCAACGCATTGGCCTCAATAGTGTACATTGGACAATGTTGAGACGAACGCGTTAGAACACGTATACAAGAATGTACTCACCAAGTCAACGATGACGACCTTGGGTGCTAAGGGCTCTGTAGTTGCTCCCGCCACCACGACCTGGATCGCAGACAATGCGAAGAGTCTGAAAAAGTACGCTCATGATTTGACAGGCAGGACTTAGCTGGTTGATCGGGTGCGAGAGAACGCAGACACCCAATACTCGTACGATACGTTACCACACTCGAGATTCGGGAGAACACAAGAATTTGCCGCAGCGCGGTCCTGCCACAGTATAGATGGTAGAACCGGCGCTACGACAAATTTCAATGGCTTGGCTCCTAACAAGGCATGCTAGGGGGCACGCTGAACGTGAACACACACCTTATGCCTGCCATCGCTAGCCTTCGCATCCACTCCCTGGTGTGTTTTCAGACCGGGCAACCTTGTGTGGACGTGAAGGAAGGTGCAGAAAAGGGGTTTTAGAAGCGACGATAGCATCGAGATCAACAGGCGGCAGGGCGAAAGGTGGGCACAGGGACCCATGCGACACGAGTCTCCATGCCAAGGGGGGGCAGTCACAGGGCACTTCAACTCATGTCGCATTGAAGGAGAAGAGAGGAGGTTAAGGGGAGGAAACAAAGGCGATTGCGACAGCCCAGAGCATCCGGTGCGCGAGATTACAGAGAACAGGTAACATGCCTAGACGGCGTGTGCAGAAATAGAGGTCAGGTCAGGTTGAGAGCTGAGCAGATGGAAAGGTCAGAGGGGGCACGGCAACATGACATGTTCCTGGAAGCGCAGAAGGGTAGTCGTACAGCGAGGAGACGTCCCAAATCCGCAGGGGAAAGAAGATGAGAGAACAGAGCGCAGCTCAGAGCTGGCCACCGCCAGCGTGGTCCCAACAGATGCACGTGACCGCCACCACACATACCTCCGATTGGGCCACTGTAAGCGCTCTTGCCCAACTGAACGTCGGCAACTTGACATTATTATTCCCTCTCATTGACCCTTGTCCTTGGTATAATACAATTTGGGCTGCTGGTCCGCTATCTCCGCCATCGAAATGTTGCACCTTGCGGCGCTACTCATTCGTCCCTCACTTAATACAGCCGTCGCCTTCGCGAGAGCCGGCGGAGATTTCGCCGTTGGTGAAGCGGCTTCCTGAAGCTGAGTAGCATGCGCGATGCTCCTCCTATGTCTTCCAGTTATCCCGTTGCCATTCTGACAAGATGCGCCACGGTTGCAGGGCGCCTGCATGCTCGTTTGCGCATCCAATCTTAACCTTGTTCTGTCTAACTCTGCCGATCAAAACGCACAAACCTTGACCAACGTGATTAGAACTGCTCATGCTGTATGACGGCTGGCACAAACCAGGTACACCGATCGTCTTTCATGGTCTAAAAGTTCTCTACCGGCCACTGAAAATGACTCAAATCACCACTTCCTGAAGGAGAGCTACAGTTGTGACATCAAAGTCCGCAAGGGGCCCCAGTTCGTCTCCTCCGATGACTCCTCATTGCTTCTCTGATTGAGGGGTGATGTAGGGGAGACAATCGAACCCCAAACGCTAATATAGCCTTTGTTGTGTATCTATCGCCGAAGTGTGAACTCTGTCTCCCCCGTATACTTAAGCAGAAAGCCCTAGAAAGCGCTATCCTCGAGTTCACCATAAGCCATGGCTACCTCGGGTACAGGTAACATTGTAGCTCTTCTCCAAACAAAGTATGTCATAGTCCTCGTATCTACCCGCTAGCTTCTCACTCCGTCTTCCTATGAGCAGTTCTATAATGAACTTCGTCATTGTTGCCACTGCGAGTCAGTGAGGACGCCTCAATCCAAGCGAATCTCGTGCTGATGTACCACTAGCACTTGTTGGGTTCGACCACTTGATAACTTTCCAGCAGGAACTGGAGCTCTTCTGGAGTAGACGGTTGAATCTGTCTTGCATGGTCTTCTTTTTCAATCGCTATGTCGCTGTCATCTACTATGTAGCCATGGTCCCGATCCGGTTCTTTCCTTCAGTAACTCAGGTCAGTGATGCAAATTCCTAACCTGGACCGACGCTGATACTGTTCAGGAGTATGGCCCATTTATATCTCAGCCGATAGCTACTGAACTCAAGCAATCACCAGCTGCATTGTAACCCACTTCTCCGAAGATATCCTGAGGTATCTGGGATACTTCCCATTCGCAGGTACATGGTGTTCACTACGGCGTTGTCGAGGTTGTACTAATATCATGAGAAGTGTTTTCCGCTCTCCGTGCCTATGCTCTTAGCAATAAAAGCAGAGTGGCTAGCGGAGTTGTTTTTATTCTGGGAATAGTGCCCCTGGTTCTCAATTATTATGTAACTCATGTCGCTCTTCCGGATAATGCATCACTTACAAACAGACTTTCTAGGGAGATCTCCATCACGTTGACGAGCACTATGATCCTATTCTAGGCTGCATCACGAATGTGAACGTCGCCACAGGGACGAGTCATCTGTGAGTCCAATACACACGGTTGGACCACTTTTGTTTGAACTCACAGTCCTGAGACAGGGGTATGATTCTGATTTGAAAGGCCTTTACGAGTCAGCATACGATAGACAATGCCAATACAGGGACCATCGCAATCTGTTCATGCCTCATCCTTTGTGATGCAACCGTTGTATGCCTTACCTGGCGTGCAACCTATAAATCTCGCGGCCCACGAAGAACAGCACCGTCTCTTGTGGATGTGATGTACAAGAATGGTGCGTAGGTCTTGTCGAATTGGTGTCTGTTAATCTCAATCCCAGTCAGGAACTATGTACTTCTTGTAAGTGAGATGCAGCCAAAAGAGTAATGCGCCACTGAGGAATACGAAGTGTCCTGTGCCTTCTGAACGCCCTGCACCTCACGTTCACCTTTCTGGTGAGCATGGTTTCTATCAGACATCGGCATAGACTCTCTGAAGTACTACACAGGATACACCTGTGCGCCCCTATGGGATGAACACCACCTATATCACAAGATTCTCCGAACCGTGAGTTGAGTTCATCTGTAGTCCAGCACATCGATTTTGAGACCTCTATAGGCTTACGGCCGTCATGGTATCCCACTTCCTTATTGATCTCCACAAGGCGGACAAGAGGATGATACATCAAACGTCTTTTCTCACCTTGGATGTCATGAGTCGATTGGAGACTCCAGAGTCTATATTGTTTCATGAGCCGTTTGGTAGGAACGATACGAGCGGTGCTTCTACCGACGATTACGGCATGGATACGATGAACTCTTACAGTGTATGATCGTTAACTTGCACAGTTGTTCTATAGTCCACATCCGAATTATTACCTACTAACCAAAGGATACAGAGTGAATGCGCTGGATACAGGAGAAGTATATGCTAGGCGGAACGGATGCTCTTTCCCTGTCGTGATTGGCAATATACAGTAGTTACACCTGAGTACAGGCGAGTATAGTCCTGCAATCCCTCTTCTGATCGTCTGAAGCACTTCCCTGATGCAGCGCGGGCTAAAACAGTGGCATAAAAGCACAGATGTTGACCCGGGTCAACTGCAGCGCTGCGACCTTGTTGACAAATGAGAGTATTTGAGCCAGAAGCCAAGGAGGAAGGGCCTGTACTTGAGAAGCTGTCCATCTCACAGTCTATCGAGTCGAAGGAGGGTACAATACGTACGAGCACCTTCTAGGATGCCCTTGGTGATGCCATTCACGATGGACACAGAACGGACGGAAAAATTCGGATCCTCTCCAGCCGACACACGCTCGCATCGCAAGCCGAGGCGGCTGACTTTTCAGCCTGTAGTAGATATATAGAACAGATATTCTGATCAGAGAAAGGAGCTTCGCCATACTTGTTGCGCAGCCTGCGGTTGTATAGATGCTCGTGCCTCAGTGTCCCAGGAAGCTGACGCACGCCATCCACCGCTCTGTGCAATGTCGTTAGTGGATATAAATTGAAGTGAGCTCCGAGGAAACAATAGCGGGAGCAGTAACTGCAGCATATATGTAGCCAACTATACTGCGTTTGAGCGATATGTAGGCGGAGCGAGCTGAGAACTGTTGCACGACGTAGGACGCAACGAGCTCGTGCAAGCAGCAGGCGCGCGTAACCATGGACAGCCTGCGTCTGCCCGGGCCGCCAGGCTGCGGCGACTATGCGGACATAGGGAAGAAAACCGCGGCGCGCCCCTCTCAGACCTAGCGAGTCCCTGCACTAGTAACCCTCCACAAGAAACTTCGTCCCCTTCGTTGTTGCGCTACTATTCATCCCATCATGAAACGTAGTCCTCATCTGCTTCAACTGCTTCTATCTCTAGCAGGATGAGAAATCTTCCCACCATATGTGAACCCCCACCTTGCTCCTATTACTCATGAACATTCGACCCGCTCCTGAACCTTCCACCATCAGATCATCAGGGCTAGAACACTCCTCCAGACTCCCGTCCAAGTTGCCTAACCAGAGGCAATCCTTGGTTTAGCCTCTAGACGGTACGTCGAAACCATGCTGGTCGCTTCCTTTGTCTTATATAGCTCATTATAGCCTGACATCGACGCACCGTGTGTAGGGATCATCTATTGGGGAATGCTGCATGGCGGCTATCTGTCAAAGCCTCATCTGCCAGAGTCTATACTTACAGCCCCTGAGAGCGAAACCTTGCTCATCGAGCCACTCTAGAGGCACACTATTAATAGTATGATGGATCCGTCACGAACCCAAAAGCCAGGTGAAACACTCCGAGGTATCACTGAATGCGAAACCGCTGATCCATTTTTCAGTTACCGTAGCAATGCCGGTGTATATAGCGAGGCGCGTTGAGAGTGTTTGCGCTTCAAGTGGAGTGGGGCAGGTAGATCCCATACTTCCACCTCCTTTCCAATATGTCGTCGATACCTGAAGGTGGACTAGATGATATCATCTCGTCCTGTTACTGGTCGTGAGTGGCCTAGCGACCCTAATGCAGCACCTCTAATAGTCTCTCTCAGATCCTTTGTCGACTATTGGGAGGTCGCAATTCCAGGTATCGCTGCTCACATCCATCACAACACTCTAATATTCTTGAATACAGTGATGGTTTTCTACGACTGGGCTGAATCCCTCCCTCGAGAAGTAGAATCGTTTATAGCAGGGAATTCAAGGCCTCTGTCTGCTTGGCTGTACTTCTTCAATAGATATGCCAATCTCGTTAGCTAGGTGATTGGATTGTTGACGTATTCCAGGCTATCTACCGAGGTAAACGTAATAAATTCACTGAACCATATACGGATGGCTGATTGAATCTACTAGGAGGTGAGTTGCAGTCACATCAAACTGGAATCTGCACCAACCCCCCGTCTACTCAGCTGCGGTAAGATCCAGGTCGCAACTGATCTCCTGCAGTACTTGTCAATGATCGCACCCGCATGTGAGTATCCCGCCCGTGATGTTCGCACTTGTCTTTCCTCTGACCCGAGAGCCGCAGTATTCACGGGACTGAGGGCGTTTGTACTGAGTCAATCGTGGACACTATCATTTGTTGTATTCGCCTTGTCATTCCTGCCTTTTTCAACGGAGCTGGTAGGTTTCCCTTCTAGAATAGTCGCTCCTCCTAATCTATATCAATCACCAGATCACCTTTGGATACCACCCCTCTGGAGTCATCGACCCACTTTCAGGTTGCACAGAATCTGATGATTATCCTCTGTCTCTGGGGTACAAGTATGCCATTCTCTTACTCAATGACTTATTCGTGCATGACGACAGCTATTGCAGAAGTGTGTGCTGAACGAATAATCGCGTATCGGCCTATTCACGTGATTCTACGGTAGTCACCATCGTCAACCGAACATCTACCATTATTGCGGATATCATACTTATCACGCTGACTTGGTGGTCACTTCGCGGACGAAGCGTAAGACGGGCAGCAAGCTTGTTTACAAAGACAAGCCTTATGGGAGTTATGCTTCGAGACGGTCAGCGCATCTCAGACATCTGTGCTACAGCATGCTGAGACGAGACAACAGGGATCGTGTACTTCATGTGGGTTGGTATGCCGTACATCTAGATCCTATCCTGACTCCTGCATCATCAAGCGTACTATTGATGTTGAACGTCGTACTACTGATCTTGCTACAATTATCACCGGTATGTTTTGCTCACACTGTCGCTATATACAGATCTAGAGCTAATGTAGCCTTAGGTCAACGCCATACTATCCGGTGGTGACCAACTGTCAACCCTTATGGCTCCGTAAGTCCGGGCCTTTCCTAGCAACGAAGAATGACCCTACTGACCTCTCTTCTTTCCCCTGCTCAGACTGTCCTCTATCCTTGTCTCGCATTTTATGCTAGATCTTCAAGAGGCGTACCAGCGAATGAACGTCGGTTTGGTATCTGGCGACCCTATGCATACATCCCGTACCACAAGCTCCCCTACATTGATATTCGCTCCCGCGCCTGGCTCGCTTGCCGCGCGTATTGATGCTCCATTTGTAGATCCACTAGACACAGACTGGGATCAGGGTACTTCAGAAGATGTGGGCTCAATGACTGAAACTCATGTACTAGGTATTATCACGCGCAGAGAGGAGAGGATAGTATGAGGTTCAGGTCTGGCTGAAGAGGGTTCACATAGCATCCATTGGCGTGATGCAGTAAAGGCCTGATGACGGACATACCATCGGAAAATTTAGGAGTTGAGAAGCGTGGTCGCAATGCACCCATTCCACGCTCCTTGATCCGGTACGATACGTGTGGGCATCTGTTTGAATCTCAGTGGCTTAGATCCTGGAAGCGATTGTATGGGCATGAAGAGAACGATACTACGCCCCTTCAATGGGGATTCTGCCCATGGGATAGGTACAAACAGAAGCCCTAGCAAAGTCAGACGAGATGCCTCCGCTCTTCGGTGTCATGGTCTCGGAGACTCCATGGTCCCAAACACGTTTGCCTGCACCGTGCAATGCAGACATATCGCACAATGCTCTGGGTGATAACGCAGGTTAATTCCCTACATGCGTGTTCAGAGTAAACGTGGATGGCAGTTACCACACTACGGCATGCTCGCGACCCTTGACATGATAGTGCTCAAATATACTATGACCAGTAATTCTCGCCCAGCGTCTGCACAAGACCGAAGTCGAGCGGCTCGCCTCTGCGATCCGGGATGTTACTGACCGCGCGGCCGACGAGAACAAAGCCCGTCGCGGAATTCTAGACGAAAGTAACCGGCAGCACCGGGAGCTCAGAAGCGATGTTCGCGCATGATCCTACCAGCACTTACCCAAGTATTCTACTCCGATAGGATCTCCGAGCGAGCTAGCGCACGGATGTTCGCTTTCAGCCATACCCGCGTCGCGCCCGGTATCTGACTAACAAGCTCGCCAAAGCTTCATTTCGCGTGCGCTGAGCTCACGCTCTCCAAGACGTCCGGCGTGAAGGTCGGGATCGTCAGTGTCGTCCGCTCTCACCGAGAGAGTTGTTCGGCGGGAGTAGATATGGGACCTGTCCGCAGACAGTGACCACGATCCAGTAGTGGGAGCCAGCCATCAAGGTTCGAGACAGAGAGGGGGATTTGCAAGAAGAATGACGACAAGCTACATGGTCGCCGACGATGAGGGTAAAGCCGACGCATACTGCTCGCTGCAGAGGAAGCCCGTCGTCCAGTAGATATCATGAAAGATCCGCGAGCGTGATCAAGAATTAACATCAGCAAAGTCATGCACAAACATAGTCGTCAAAAATGAAGGACAACTCCGCCGAGGGCTACATGGCAAGTCCATGCGCGTGGTCGGTATGGGACGCGCTCGCGGGCTGAAAAAACATCATACCCCATACCAGGCACTACACAAGTGAACACACTAGGTACATAAGCTCCGCGACATGTGCACGTGTCGCCAACAATGCATCGCATGTCGTCAGGACAATATGATGATGACTAGCAGCAGGGGCCTCAACTTGGCCTTCAACGTTTCTCAACCCCCGCATAGCAACATGTCTCGTTGCGGGATGCATGGCGAGGACCCAGTCATGCCACGGGCAGTATCTCAGACTTCACAGGTAGAGGGTTACACTGAACCGATCTCATAACATTGTTCCGCATGGTTCCGTGCGCAATGCGCGGCGCATATACTAGTAGATCCCATATTCGCGCACTCTGGCAGTATCATGAATAAAACTGTGATGATAGACCTCGACGACAACAGCCAGAGGATGAGGGCACTTCTGGGCGACATGACAGGGAACGCGAGTGGATACGACGTAGGGAGAAAGAACAGAGGGAAAACAGAGTTACTCACGTCCCGTCTGAGCAGTACCCATGTAGCTGCAGCTGTCGACCTCCAGCAGTTGATCGATGACCCTCGCATGGTTCGGTGCTACTCCCTAGTCCTCTCGGGGTTGGAGCTCCGTGGCCAATGCTCTATTCACGAGTTAGGCGGCAAGATCGCTGACCCCTTTTATCCATACTCGACGCGTAGGTCGGGAGCATCCTCATTGCCGAAGATTAGCTGGTCCGAGAAGGGGCGATTGAGTACCGCGTCAAAGAGGACCTACGCAGAGAAGTCGCCCACTGCGAACACCATCTGTCTCCATCACTCGGTGTCTCAGGCGTAAGGACGCACCTGTAGCCAGACTCATAATGTCCCTTGTCAACGCTTGCTACTTGACGAGCTCGTTGGACGCCGATGCACCAGTGGCATAAGTGTGCGCAATGTCCTCAGCGGCTATGGATGAGAGCCATTTTGGGGGCTTATCGGAGAGGCGGCAGAAATATAGACAGTAGGAAGGCGTTGAGTAACACCTATGGTGCACGAGTCAAGATGAGAAAACTGGCGGCAACGTGGGACACGATGCGCTCGAGCCAGTAATAAGCGCGGGTTCTCGAACATCCGCGCATGCGCTTGCTCCGTCGCATACATACCTGGGTTTCTCCCAAATCATGCACACTGGGGTAGCAAAGCAGGATGATGGCGTGCGCTGAGACATGGGATATGCGCATGATCTGCTCTGAACATCAGTACTCACCACCTAATCCCACTGGGCTGCTATCCAGAGAAATTGTCTGAGTCCGAGGTGTCTTCCGGCTCATGTTGCTGAGCGGCTTTGAGACGGGTATTCAACGGTGCGCCCTTCCCATGTTTTGACAGTCTTTGTGTCTGTGGCTGTCATACCTCGCTGGCGAGATTGACGAACGAACCGCCCAGCATTGGATGGACTCCTCGCGCCTTCACAACATCAAGCTTGATGGCGCGGGATCCCGACGAGGTACGTGTGCGGACACCGGCTTGACTGAGTGTCGACCGCATCTGATCGGATGCCAATGCATCCCCTCACCACCAGATTCCGTTGCATCCACAGTTATCTCAAACTCATACGCTCAACTTACGCCTCCGCTCTCATTACGCATGCGTCCCACATACCCTCCTTCATCTTGACTGCATTGCATGTAGTCACTGACGACTACCAGGTCTGCACCTCGCAACCGCGAAAGTAGTCATAGCCGTCACTGTTGTACTGTGCTCGGAGGCCCTCGACGCTCGCTCCGACTCTAACTCGGTACCCCGAATAAGCAGCGACCATTGTGCGACTCGGGATATGAGAGCTCGCCACTTCCGACGCCAGAATGGCTCGATCCGCCGACAGGAAATGCACGATACGGCGGTGGCGCCACAGGCCCAGTGTCTCGGACCGTAAATTCGCCCGATGCTTGGCGGGTGGAGGGAAATTGCAGCAATGTTGCTTGAATGCGTCCGACCTTGGAAGAGAATGGGTGGCGTATCGAGGTATGTTTCCATCTCTATGCACTGCTTCCCCCTCCTCTCCTGTTGCCCGTGATTCGTGACCATGGCTTGCTGCAAATGGCTCCCACAACGAGAGAGTCATGGACATTCGCGTCGCTCGCTCTCTTGCCCTGCGACGGCCGTTGCGCCTATATTATGTTCAACCTCCCCGTATGCGCGGTACAAATTACAGCGAACTTCTGTAATCTCTCTGCGGTACCACTCACCCAGTGCGAGATTACCAGAGCAACCGAACAGTGTGGCTCTTTTGCTTCGAGGCAACCGTCTTCAGCCTGATTAATGATTCGGGGCTATTGTGAGCTGCGCGTCGCGTCAACCCTGGGTAAGGTTGTACGGGCCATCATTCCCTTCGCCGTCGCCGCGGCAATCGATTCTCATGCGCTAATGCGCGATAACTGATAGGTCCGTCTGCCGCAACTCTCCCTTCCAGTCTTAAGTCCGCGTTTGCGCCCCGCCCGAAAATAGACCCAAATTAGAATCCTGCAGGCAACTCGCGAGTCGAAATGAGGGTACGAGGCTCCCTCAGCCTCTTCGTACTCTTGTTCATCTCCTGTTGACCCAGATTCCGAGACCGCGGCGACGCAGCTAAGGTCAATATGTGACAGGAACCGGAGCTCCCTCAACTACCCCAGCAAGGGACGACCGGGGCTCCCTCACTCCCTCGCGGGCATGGCTTGCCACCCATGGCGGATTCACGACGCGGTCGCCTCACGACAGGAATCAGAGGACGCAGGTCATAGTAGACAGTACATGTAAACCACGCCTACCATGAGGCACGGCCTCGCAGGGTAATAAACAGGGATCTAGAGAGAGAGAGAGAGAGAGAAGACGCAGGAATGGGACCTCCCTCCTGTCGACGCGCGAAGACTACGCGTGCGTCGGCGACAGTGGTGAGGCCGGCGTGCACCTCTTGCTATGATGGACGTCTAACAGGCTGCGCTTCGACTCCTGGGCCCCTCGTTATGGTGCAGAATTCCACGACGCCTTGATCGGGGATCATCTGTTGCTGAGAGGGAGCACCAGGTGCCTGGTGATGCCATGCCTCCCTCGACATGGGCCTGCGTTGTAACAGTCGACGCAGACGCATCTTCCTACCAGCTCGGACCACCCCATGATGCTCCTAGCACTCCGTTGCGTGCTGCTTCGTATGCGTGTTTTTGTGCTTTTGTGGCGGATACATGTCTCTCACAATATATCGGACCCATCTACGCTCTTCATTTGGATTGGGCACTGTGCACCGGCGAGAGAAACCAAAGCATCATGAATGATCACGGCCTAAGCGCATGATGTACACGGTTGCTTGCAAGACTCATTCTACAGTCTTTCTATTTTACTTTTCCTTTCTTTTTTCTGACTGGAGCTTCCGATCAGAGGCGCATGCCATGTAACCCTCACGATGTATCCACGTAAGTCAAGATGGTGGGACCAGAGCACCTCCAGCGCGCACTTCTGGCGTGCGAGCCTTAGGATCGAGTTCGACTACGACTGTTCAGGTCAGCTTCATGCATCTGCTGGTCCATAACATTAATAAATTTGAATCATCTGACTCCATGGTACAGGACCGCCTCTGGGGCGATTTTGGACCTGACGGAATCGGATCGTCGGCGCCTGACTCCATGAGTAACGACAGGGTGGCCTTCGGCTGTTCTTCGCCGTACCCGACGCCGCAATTCGAAAGTCTGGCGTTTGGATCTATCTGTACATTCAACTGCTTGCTTAATACCCCGAAACCCCTCACGGTGGCGATCGACCAGAACTTCAGCGGGTTTGAGTTCCATGGTGACCGATTGGAGATTTGTGAACATCAAGGAATAGTTGGCACTGATGCCTTCCAGCAGAGTGCGTGCATGTACCGGCGACACCTTGGGGTTGTTCACACATTGGACTCAATCGCGATGGAGCTTTTTGGCCGTTAGCACTGGCCTTTGAATGCCACGCAGATGACGTCTCCCATTGCTTTCCGCATGGATACACGCAGGCGACATGTCTAACATGTGACTGTCGTGGAGCCAAACCTACGATTCCAGTCCCATCATGGATGTCGTGCGGATTCTGACATTGGGAAAGCGGTCTTCCAATCTTTGCCGAAACGTTGACATTATATATGAACTCAGATTGCGGGGGCGTAGACTCGTCCCCAGGCGGCCGCGATCCCTCTCCCCCTCGGGATGTCTCCTCCGTCTGTTATGACACTAGATGCCATTGTTTTGACATACTTTTGGATGTACGTGATTCACAGGTCATAAGATAAAATTCTAACGGTCTTTCTTTTAGGTCTGTCATATTCTACTTGAGCGTTGTGATGTCTGGTATGACTCCTCTCGTGCCAATGCATTTTTAAATTACTTTGATTAGTGGTGGTGGTATACGACTGGGTTCTTTCACTCCCTCGAAAACTGCGACTGTTTTGGGCAGGGAATGTCAGGTCTCTCTCCACTTGGCTTTACTTCGCAAACCGGTATATCACCCTTCTCTATGAAGCGTGTCAGCTGTTGGTATTCGTACCGTGGTCTAGTAAAGTATGTGTTTTCATTTCACCTGCACAGGGACATATCACTGACCACGATCATGAAGGGGTACCTTCACAAGCGTAGAAAGTCTCGAACGGCGCTTACGAGAGTCATCTTATTCAGCTGCACACGTATCATATGGGTGACAAGTATCTCGACCGCATTATCCATGCTTGCGCAAGCAGGTATTTTCTGAAAAGTGTGTGTCATGCTACTGCGATTAATTCTACAGTTGACAGTGTTCTATGGCTTGCGGGCATTTGCACTCAGTCAATCCTGGTGCCTATCGATATCCGTCTTCGCTCTCACATGTATGCCTTTCGCTGCCGGATTGGTTTGTCTTTCCCCCCAGCCAAACATTGCTGTAGTGAAAGGGAAACTCCAGATGGATTTCTGCTATCAATTTGCTGGAGCTCAAGTCGTCGACCCCATTTTCCACGGATGTATTCCAAGTTTGGACTATCCTCTTTCTCTTGTGCATACGTATGCCGTTTGTTCAGCTCGCCACTTAGGTTTTGCTGACGTTGACCACTACAGTAGTCAGTCCCAAGAAAGACGGAATAATACTCGTTGTCTCACTCCGTTTTATAGTCACAATCCTCAATCGGGCCTGTGCTATCGTCGCAGATACCTCATTGATTATTCTCACCTGGCATTCTCCCTAAAAACGTGTATCCCATGTCCTGACTGAGAACAGCCTCATTGGGGTTCTGCTGCGCAACGGTACGCTCTCGCGGTGGTTTGATTGGCTCGTTAGCTGACGCATGACCTTCAGGAATGATATATTTTGCGTGAGTTACAGGAAGGTCAGCACCGAGAGTTGATCTGATTCTGGCACTGATAAGGGCGCTCTTGATATCCAACATCCTGCTACTCATTGTGCTCCAACAACCCACGGTAAGCGTCAATACTTAGCTTGCTATTCGATCATCGCCCAAATTGATCCTGCTTCAGCTTCACGACCTCATGACTGGCGACACAGCATCACAGATCCTTACCTCGTGCGTCTCACACCTTTGTCACGCGTCGCAGTGTGTAATCTTGGCTATAGCCTGACGGTCCCTGCTACACAGGATATCATCCGTTCTCGTCTCGCACTTCATGCTCAATCTACAAGATGCTTACAAGAGAAGCTCCGAAATTTGCGTCTGGTACAATTCACTGTGTGCATCTCAGAGCATCATTTCGTCTGGCCTCAGCTTCGTACCGGCATTGGGCTCAATTGCAGCTCACATAGACGACACGGTCCTGGAAACTCCTGTCGCCGAGATAAACGATTCATCCTACGTACTTGCAGGTATGATGCTCCCCCTGTAGAGAATACCCGATGGAAAGTACATGTTCCTGAGGAGAGCTGCATATCCCATGACGTGAAGGTAGAAGACCTTACATTCACCAGGCCTCATAGACGATAACGAAAGGACTGTGTTGAATCGTTCATCAGCAGGCATCACAGTCTACATTCGTCTCTATACAATTATGATGGACGTCCGTGAAGAAGTTAAACTATTGAGTCCTCAATACGGCCTCCCCTACCCCTTCTGTCTCTTAAGCACGTCGACGATCTGACGCACACGCCTCGTGATCGTCTCTACGTACCCCTACACTACTACGCTCCACGCGCGGAGCCAGGGCAGGTGCCTCCGGAGGTGTTCGTTGACGTTCTGTACTTCGAGCAAAGGTAGGTTCGCCGTCGGTCCTACACAGTCCACCGCAGGTAATGAGATGAGGACTGAAGAGCGAGGAAATCAGGTAAAAGCGAGAGGCAAGCGGGTCTCTAGGCACCCACGCTACGGCAGCCATGATGGAGCTGTAGAGGGGTTAGAGGCGTAGGGCCGATGGAGTCCATGAATTCGGGCCTAAAATATCCATCTATTGCGTCAGCATGCGATTCGGGTATGTTAGGTGGGAGAAAACTCACCGACTCGGACAACGTCGCCGTACTTTTGGTGCAGCCCGTGGACATACTCATGGTCGTACCCAGACAAGCTCACGCATGCAAGAGTAGGTCTCGCACCGCCTAAGAACCTGATGTACCATCTGAGCGAGACATGTCTCATCAGCAGGAATCTCTTGAGGTGAAGCATGAAAAGTGTACCCGACCAATCAAATCGAGGAGTTCCACAAAGAGCTTGCAAAACCATATTGCTAAGTTCGTTTTGAATATATGCATCAGAGGCTTCCCTAGAATGACTTGGGAGATAAGCGACGTGGTCGATGACGTGACGGTCAGCAGGGCGCAAGTCTCTGCGTGAACTGTGACGGAAGACTTTTAAATGCGGGCACCAGTGATGCAGAGACCGCCTGAAGGACGCGAAAGGTACAGGTACAGCGACACCTTGTATAATTAAGGCCTACGGGATTTCGTGTCGCGCAACTCAAATTGGGACTCGCATACAGAGCTCCATGTATGGCAATAGCGACTGCAGAATTATCCGCTCCCTCTAATTACGAGCGACAAGGCTGAAGGTGAAGGAAAAGCTTTCAATATTACTAGCTGGGTAGAGACTGGGGCAACCTACTATTCCCGAGGATTGACAGAGTTGACCTGATATACGGCAGGGGAGTGGTCTTTGCCTCACATCGTCCGACAAAGGTGTATGTATGAACTATTTCCCGTGCTCAGAGGGGTACTCGAGCGATGCAAGTATGAATTTGACACGACGCGTCACCTAGCGCCAAAATCTCCTTGCCGGGTAGTGGCCTCATGGGAGGGCAGATTCAATGGCGCATAGATAGTCATGCTACTCTTTCCACCAAATATACCTAAATAAATGCACGTGTCCACGAAGCCATGAGGTCGGTGCGATTACGAAAGGCACGACAGCACTTTTCAATGTCGAGGTAGGCGTTTCTCTTGCCCAACGTAACGACGTGTGTGTAATTAGGAGCAGTTGAGAGCCAAAAGGGTGTCACGGGAAAGAAATCACTCACGTCCTGTCTGATCATCATTGCGGTTGCTGTGCTCGGTGGCATCTAGGATCCGAGCGGGTCTGCAGTCCTTCTGTGATCCAATCCCGAAACATAAACCTTTGATATATGCTGGGGTCAATGATCAAGGTCTGATTTATGAGCTCGACCGAGGACTATATGTCGGAAAGGTGCTATCCGGCACTTAATGTGCACATGGACAGCATGCTCCTCTTCTATGACAGGGCTGTCCAGGAAGATGCTGGTGAGACAGGAACAAAAGTTACCCACTACGAAGACTACCTGCATCCCACAGCGACTCGATCGCATCTACTCACCTGTAGAAGGAGTGTCATTCTTTTGGCTTGACGCCCTCCCCTCCCCAAGCTAGGCAGTGCCAGTGCACTAAGGACCACGCGCTCCAAACGTCAGCAATGGCAATCGACTGTTTGAGCGCCATAAGAGTGTCCGGTCATAGCTGAAAGCAAGGTCCAATCTGAGTCTGATGGAAATGGTAGGCTGAACCGTGACCTTAGGGCGTTCACAATCAGGTAGGGCGGGCGAGTAAAGGACGAACGAGTTACAAGATGGGCGAGGGCAAGTCGCAACGTCCCACGCCGTGACAAGCCATGCCGGCCCTCCCGAGACGCAGTTCCCGACGTCGGCCAGCTCGCTCAGCATCCTACCCAGATTCTTCGCTGTCATCCTTTGACAAACATTATAATTGAAAAGAAGATAGTTGAGACATCGACTCGGTTGAACGATGTTCCTGCACCCCCTTAACTTCGGATATCATTCACTTGCTGAACATATCGGAATGATCCATGGATACGATGTGTATCATAGCAGATGATAGGCATATAGCTGCATCTACCGATGACAAAACATGAAACAGTGATCATCCAGGCCGCATTGCCTGTTGCATGAGTATCCAGATATATCCTACACATACTAGAGTATATATATGGGGCACACGTATCCCTGATTCCGTACTCATCATTTCAATATCTCGTCTTGCAGACATGAGTTCTCTTTCAGAAATTTCAGTAGACGATCTCACATTGAAGTCTTTTTGGTTTGTCTCTAAATGACCACATTTGAACTCCTCTCACAGTTTTCTTAGGTATCTACAAGGCTGCTTAGACATGGCATTATCAGGTGAGCCTTCTTACACCGGAGGGAGAATACTGGCATATGTCTCTGTAGTATTGGTGATATATGATTGGATCTTGTCGCTGCCTCGGGAGGCGAAGCTATTCCGTCCAGGAACTGCCAGCAGACTCTCTACCTGTTTATACGTCTGTAACACCTATATCAATCTGATCAGTCAAGTTATCACCCTATGTACATTAGGCGCATTGCCCGCAAAGGTATGCAGATTATCTTTACTTGCACAGTATTGCCTGCTCACCACAATTGTGTGAAGAGGTAAGCGACACAATTATAGAGCATTCACACCTCATACAACAATGGACCATTCCAGGTGCACTGGGTTTACAGTGGCGGGTTATGTCTGCGTATATCTGTCTATAATCCCACCCGCATGTAAGTGACCTGTGAGCCAGTCGTTGACTTGATCTTTTGGTGATTGACCTATATTCTGCAGTATTCGCTAGCCTAAGGGCATTTGCACTGAGCCAGAATAGGGGTGTATCAATCCTGATCCTTGTACTATCATTTATGCCTGTTGCAACTGGGATGGTCAGTCATGCCCTTCTTTGATAGTCGCTGCTAATGCATATGGCTCATCAGATCGAGTTTGGATATAATTTCACTATTTCCGTCGACCCTATACTAGGTTGTTCAAGCGAGGATGATTACCCCTCCTCCCTAGGTCAAAAGTATGTGATGAAGACTTGCATTATAACCTGGTTCCAATTCAACTCATTGCAGAAGTATGTACCTGGATGCGGCTTTTTCTGGAACAAGGGTTTCACCCTCCCAATGACAGTAACCGTCATCACTCGCACTGGAACCATTATAGCCGACACCTTGCTTATCGCTATTACAACGCTGTCATTCCATGGAAGCACATTGAAGCAGACAGTTAGCGCGATATCTGCGAAAAGCCTCATGGGGGTCATGTTGCGAGATGGTTCGCTCATATTTCTCACTCGTCACTCCTTGTATTGATTACTTGCACACAGGGATGGCTTACTTTGGGTAGGCAGTAGCGCTGGATAACTCATAGTAGCTCTCATCTGATTATGGCCTAGGATATTACTGCTGCTGAATGTACTTCTTCTAACCCTTTCTCAGCTATCCCAGGTGATTGCAACTCTGGCGATGTCTCAAAGCTTCAACCGTGAGACTTACTGTAGAATAGTTCTCTAATATCAGTTCGGGAGACGAGATATCCCCATTGATTGCTCCGTAAGTCCCTCTACTTCCTGCAGACATACGGTTCGCCCAATATCCTACCTCCTGATGATTAAAACCAGTATATCGTGCATGATCGTCTCGCATTTCATGCTTGATCTTCAAGAGGCCCATCAAAAAACCGTTGTTTGCCTTGCTTCCAATGATCTACACATATCACAAAGCATCAACGCTGGTTCATTGTGCCACCCTTCAACACTTGGATCCCTTGCTGCTCGCATAGAAGCTGCAAGTTGGGACATAGAAGACCCAGGCTTCGATGCGGCGTGCAGAGCAGACATAGCCGATTCCGTTACCTTACCAGCAACTGTTGATAGCATGGTACAAGCCTCTTCACTGCACAATCAATCAGCGATTGGAGAAGTAGCGGATGGAGAAATCAATGGAGTGCCACAGGAACACACGTTGTAGACCATACTATACACAAGTCGTGGTTGGTTCGCCGTGTCAACCTCTCTTTCCTTATGATTATTAGGTACTCACACGTCTTGCTAAATAGTCCCCACGCCGTATGTCGGCTAAACGGCCCACCAATCTTGATAACAAACGTCACCATCGGTCACCGTCTGAACTACGGTAGACTCACAGCCACATGCCCTCTGATTGTGCAGCGTCAAGCGCATAACCCAAATCTTGCTCTTCATCGACCTCATTTCCCTCTGTTCCATTCTCTATGTCCAGTGCTTGATTTTTGTAAATGAGATAGGTACTTCGAATCTACTATACCGGAATCAGTGGGTAACTCGGAAGTCGTCGTCCCGCCCCTTCTGGCGTCGTGGAGGCTCTCACTTTTCTCGACGGAGGCTGTCATCCACGCTTGTCTTGCTTCTCGTTCTCAACCTCCAAGAAGCTCGTCAAAGGCAAGTGCTTGGCCTGGCCTCACTAGGAACATGCTGTACGTGCGAGGTGATGGATGGAAATTGTGGTCATTCGCGAATCGTGTATGGCAGCAGCCACAACCGTAGAAAGGTGTACCTGTATATGCTTCGTCCAAGTGTGGTAGCATTGCATCGACCATCGACGTCTCAACACCGACTCATGAGCGGTGGCTAAAAGACATATATTCACGCCCTTGAGCAGCAGTAGCCCACCCAACTCACCCCCTCACGCGCACCATGACGGGTACAGCCGGCCTCGACGCAACAAGATGTGCCTTGAATCCCCTCTCGTACTCCTCGGGATTCCACCCCTGCCGCAGCGAAAATTCAAGCCGTTGCATCACTGCACAGACGACCATCCGAATCTCTTGCAACGCCAGGTTCTTTCCGACGCAGTTCATCGGCCCAAGCGCGAAGGGAATGAACGCGTCTACGTTGTGCACGAACGTCTCGGGAGCCGACAAAGACGGCGATGAGGAAGAGGACGATGCAAAAAGCCAGCGATCGGGCCAGAAGGTGTCAGGGTGGGGAAAGAAGTTGCGCGGGTCACGATGGACGGAGAACGCCTGCACCGTGACAGACGTGCCGGGAGGGAGGAATCTAGACGCATGTGCACGATCAGTTGCGAACGTCATATCTACAATAAGAGGAGCGCATAGAAAGCATAGACGTACATCGAGTCAACGGTGGCGCCCTGACTCTCCCGCGGGACTTGGCGCTGGCTTCCCGTAGGTACGGGCGGATAGAGCCGGAGGGTCTCGTTGCTGTCCGGGCCGTCTTGGTCAATCCAAAGTTACTCGGGGTATCTAGAAGGAAATGGCTCACATAACGGCATTCAGATACTCCATATCTGCGAGATGCTTCGAATCGGCGACGTCTTCACCTGCAGGATAAAATTTGTCCACCTCGATTTGGAGTCGCTCGTACGCTTCTGGATGCGTAAGCAGGCAGTAAAAGAGACTCGTCATCGTGCTGGACGTCGTGTCCGCGCCTGCGACGACCGCCAAGCAGCCGTCGTCTGTCAGTTGGCGCAGAGGGACAACGCCCTTCTCGGGTAGGTCTTCGTTGTTCTACTCGCAGAAAGACTTCGTTTAGGACGGAGAGTACTGAGAGGATCATTCTCATACGCACGAGGTAGTGGAAGAGGTCCCGACGCGAGGACACGTTCTGGATGCGCTTGCTCGTTAGCGCTTTGCAGTGAGAGATGAGGGTGTGCAGGGGGGCGACAGCAGCGGGGATGTGGCTGAGGTACACGCCCAGCCACGGGACGTGCCCGAGGAATGTCCCTGCGCTGCAGATCGACCATGAGCGTTGACGTTGACGTCGAAGACCGACTGCATAGGAGAGCGGAGACACTTACACCATGCCTTCGTCAAGGACCTTCCACACGTTCGCGTCGTCACCGTCCCGCAGGAGCTCAGACCCACCCCCGAACCTACATGTCCCTTGCGTCAACAGATGGGGGAGACACGCAGACAGTCACAGGGACTCACGCCATGTCGCACATGAAGTCATACCTGCACGCAGTATCCGTTGATCAGCAATCATCAGGGTCTACAATCGTCGCCTCCCAGCTATTGACGGACTTACGCAAAGAAGTTGAACCATTTCCCCAAAACAACCTCCCCCACCTCCTTCTGTCTCTCGAGCGCATCGACGAGCTGGCGCGCCCTCCTCGCAATCATCTCCCCGTAGCCCTTTACGGCCGTTGCGCTGAATGCACGGTTCCAGGGCCGGCGCCGGCGGAGGTGCTCGTCGACGTTCTGGACTCCGATGAGGGGCAGGTTCGCGTCGGACTCGCTGAGCATACGCCCGACGTATTCTGCCGCATGCGCAGTACGGTGAGACCGTGTGCCTGAAATGAGCAGCAGAAAGGAAGAGGACGTACGAGGACCCTTGGGCACACCCACTGCAGTGGCCATGATCGGGTTCGCGGCAGACGCAGAGCGAATCGAGAGCTCGTTTGGACCTGGCCACGCGTCCGACGCCCACGTCAGCTCGCGCTCGCTGATGAATTGAGGGACTGGAGGAGAAATCGCACCAAACCGGACGACGTCGCCGTACTTCTCGTGCAGCTTGTGGATGTACAGATGCTCGTACCCCGACAAGCTGACGCACGCCATCCACCACTTCGACAGCTTCGCCCCAGGTGGGCCAGGGTAGCGCGCGAGTGGATGCCAGGGGGCGAGGCGGTAGAGAATGACGAACGCGATCAGTGCGCCGAAATAAGTCAGGTCACAAAGCAAGAGCGCATGGATGGAGGTATAGGAAGAGGGCAGTAGTGCAGACGCTAGAATTGGAGGCCCGAAGAGGAGAGCGAGATGTGCGCGGATAGAGTAGGTCTCGTACCGCTTGAAGATCTGGTGCGCGATCTGAGGGTAGGCCGTCCCGTCAGCGATATTCTCTTCAATTGAGGCAAGAGCTTGAGTTGGATGTGCGACTTACCAACGCCAGGAAGACAAGTCCACCAAGAACTTGGAAACCCATCTCGCCAAGTTCGGTTGGGTATGGCTACCAGGCGAGCTATATATGCTTGGGGGCGTCCGGGGAATACAAATGGGGAAACACAAACGGGGATAAAGGTGACATGACGCCTATCGGGACTCAGGATTTATAGACGTACCTCATGTCGCAGGTTACATAATGCCGCGAAGGAATGTTTCCGGGGTTTCAGTTGGTATGATTTGTGGCCTACCTCGAGGAGTCAGGAGAGCGTTCACGCTGAGAACCCTTGGAAGACGATGTCACAATAGGAGACCGTTGATGGGCACGCGCAAGCTGGGCGTGTTGTTCGCAGATGGTGATGTGTGGAGTGTTGCAGACGAACAGCAGCAGGATCGGGCAGGGGATGGGTATCAGCCAGGAGTTCACATGACAGCTCAGACTTTCACAGGTAGATAGTGGCGAATTCAACCTTACTTGCATGGGAACACGAGCTCACGATGCAATGGGATATGATCAAGCTCTAACAGTGATACAGACCTATTGGGTAACCAACCATGAGAAGTTGACGATCCACAACGAAGAGCAACTCACACCTACAGTCCCTCGCGGACTCATGATCTGCCGTATGGTATCGATATCTTAATCTGTGGGGGCCTTGGACATGGGCGGATGAGCACCGGGCTCAGTGTTCTGAACGAGCGGCTCTCGCTCGCTCGGATCAATCTCCAGAGAGGGTCGTCGTCTACACGAGCACAAGGTCGCCGTGCATGCATGTCCTTCAAGATGTGAGTGTCCCTGTCCGTGAAGGCTGCGGGGAACTAGAAAGATGGTACTCACGAACGCTCATGAAGTCAAGGCAGATTCCCAAGCAGACCTCATAGCACCCAAGAATAGCCACGGAACAGCAGGATCCCACGATATCGTCTGACATTGCAGTGAAGAAGAATGTGTGCTTGGTATCCCGTACGTGGGCAGCAGTCGAGGTGAGAGGTCAAGAAGCCTAAGCCCACTTCCCAGCGACCGCTTGCGCCGTGCGGGGCAACAGCGGCCGTAAGCAAAGATGCATACCCGCACAAACGCCCATTCTACCCCTGTCCGGAAGCTCGCTCCGGACATGCCCCTAAGATGGGGTTAGCGCAAGCAGGCAGAGAAAATCGTTCCTGCTCATCTTGCGGAAATCCTCCACCACAGGCCACTCTAGCGGAACCCACATCCATCCAGCGATGGCCCCAAGTAGTGCGTCCCTTATTATGAGACGTATACTTTGCTCATGCTCAGCTAGAACACCGCAAGCTTGACGTTCCAAGCAAGTCCAGTCAGTACATCCTTCGTAGATAAATCTTGTCGATCGCTGATCATCTCGTATGTAGAATTCAAGAAGGACCCCGGTGTCCCTCGTTTACCCAGCCTAAAGGCTCGAAATGCAGGAAAGCATGCTCGCCCCGTATGTCTGCAATGGCACTCCCATAGACACCAGTAGCTCACCCGCTGTCCAACTATAGCCACCCCGCGCCGACCCCGACGCCCAGATGGCTTCGGAACCGACCCTCTCATCCTTGGCCGCCCTTGCCGCATCTACCTCAGAAGTCGACGACGGAGCGTACTCTGCTGACCCGTCGTCATCCCGCGGCGCTCCGAAGACAAAAGAGCAGCTTCGCCGACACTACATCCGCGCACTTCACAAAGTGATCGACGAGGCGGACATCATCGTACTGGTTCTGGATGCACGAGATCCGGAAGGTTGCCGCAGCAGGCTCGTGGAGGAGGAAGTACGTCGGAGGGAGGCCGAAGGGAAGCGTTTGGTCTTTGTTTTGAACAAAGTTGGTGAGCGCATATCTAGTTCCGTTCACCCTTGGCCGATGCCTCTGGCCCCAAACATCATCCATCATATTTGCCCTCGTCTCTCCTGGCCTGCATCCATTCCTACGTTCCTTTGTAGCTAAATCTGGTCGAGTCCTTGTAAGCTCATATTGCTCGTAGATCTTGTCCCGAGAGACAACGCAGAAGCGTGGCTGCGCTACCTCCGACATACGACCCCCACCCTCCCCTTCAAGTCCGCCAGCTCCAACCAACGCACCAACCTCTCGTCCTCCACAGCCCCAGCCCTCCTCCGACTCCTTAAAGCGTACAAGCCCAGCGCGCAGAGCATCACCGTCGGCATCGTCGGGTACCCCAACGTCGGCAAGAGCAGCCTCATCAACTCGCTCAAGCGCTCCAAGGTCTGCGCCGTCGCCGCCCAGCCGGGGCACACCAAAGAGCTCCAGACGGTCCAGCTCGAGCGAGGGCTGCGCATCATCGACTCGCCCGGCGTCGTCTTCGACGAGGACGACTTCGACGACGGCAAGTCCGCGCGCAAGTCGAACCTCCTCCTCCGCAACGTGGTGAAGGTCGAGGACGTCGAGGACCCCGTCACGCTCGTCGAGGAGATCCTCGCGCGCACGGACCCCGCCACCATCAAGAAGCTCTACAACGTGGAGGACTACTCGTCTCCTCTGGAGTTCCTCACCATGCTCGCGCTGCTCACGGGGCGGCTGCTGAAGGGCGGCACCCCGGATATACTCGCGGCAGCGAGGCACGTGCTCATGGACTGGAACCACCAGAAGATCCCGTACTTCTCTCTGCCGCCCAGCGTGCACCCGTCGCTCGTCCCCTCGACCGTCCCGGGCACGAGTGGCGGGCAGGTCGCGCCTGGGGCAGAGGCGGTCGGGCAGGCGCAGATCCTCACTGAGCTCTCGCAGCCGTTCCAGCTCGCGGGCCTGTTCGGCCAGGCGGATGCAGGCGCGTTCGGCGCTGCCGCCCAAGGAGAGGGCGCGGACGCGGAGATGGAGGAGGATCCGGACGCGTTCGTCCCCGATGTGGAGTCCATGGACGAGGACGGGTGAGTGCTCGCCCTCGCCGCACCCTCTGTACGGCGTGGCTGACCGCGCGAGTACGACAGGAAACAAATGGAGTCGGACGACCTCGCCCCGCGCATCCCGCGCAAACGCTCCCGCAGCCCCAGCCCCTCTACGCTCTCCATCGCGACGCTCGCCCCCTCCGACGCCCCGTCCTATCAATCCAATAAGGCGACACGTTCACAGGTGACGATCGACGACAACGCACGCCCGCCTGCCCCGAAACGCCTCCGGCGCTCGCACGACGTGCCCGACTACCATGCGCCAGTGGATGAGCACGCGCGGCGGGGCATGGCAGGTGCAAACCCGTTAAGCAGGAAGGTTCTCAAGAAGGAGGCGAAGAAGGCGCGTCGGACGGCAAATCGCGCTGCGCAGGCCGAGCGGGTGCGCGCAGGACTCGGTATGGACGTGGATGAGGACGTGGTGCTCGAGACGACGTTCATGGGTTGAGCGGGGAGACGTTCGTATGGTAGGGTAGGTTGGTAAGTGAGGGGTGTATGATATTGGTCCACATCTATGCTCTATGTAGGTCAACTTTATTAAGGTATCACACGGCCCCACATCGTGCGGATCGGATCCAGCCATCTGCGCGACCATTCTGCCCTAGATGATCAAGGCTATGGTCGACTTGCTCATCCCGAGGTGCACGTTTGCAGACAAAGCAACATCCACATCTATTTTAGCGAAGCGGTCGCTATGATACAAAGTATAACAAGCGCAACATGGTACGCACGATACAGTCTCGACGATGGCGAAGATGAGAGTGCACAATGATCCGTATAGCGAGGAATATAGATCGGATACGTATGTAGATGTGAGCATGCCGCGCCATCCCCACCTCCCCGGCCCTCCGCCCAGAAGGAACGGTCTTGACAGTTGACGCGCCTTTGTCGCAGGTGGAAGAACTCACACCACGGGGCTGCGCGCACGCTGGCCTCGCGCGGCAATGGCCTGGTGGACGCCGACCGCGGATGCGGTACGGCCGCACCCGAGAAGGTCGGAACGGCGGGCCCGAGGTCGAAGTTGAGATCTTCGAAGGGGGGTTGACGAAGGGCAGTCGTTCTGGGAGGCCGCTAGTAGAGCGCACTGCTGCCGCTGCCGCGGCTGTGCAACGGCGCGGGGGAGAGATGGGAGAGAGGGGTACGAGGCGTGGGCGCGCCCCACCCGGGACACGAAGCGAGACGCGGAAAGCAAGGCTCTGAGCTGCTGCGAGGGACGACGTACAGCCGACGCGAGGACGCGCGAGAGGGGTTCTATACGCTGTACGACTCCGAGTGCTCCGAAGAGCCGATCTTGGTCTTGGTCGTCCCGACGACGCTGTCCGTCTCGAAGGGCACGGCGGAGATGACGGTCGTGAACTGCAGCAGCCACCGGTATGTTCCATCAGCACGCCGTCGACGAGTGCCCACCGCTCAAGGGCGGAGCAGGAGGAGAGATAGACTGCGAGGAAGCAAACTCCGAACCGACGATATCACACTCCAGGGAGAAGAACAAAGACACCGTGGGACCCCACAAAGACAGAACCCCAGCACGAGCACGAACACGCACCTCGATACCCGGCCCATACCCACTAGGGTCGAGCGCGCTCGCGCTCACGCCCTCGCGTCGGCCCGCCTCGCCGGCCGCGCTGAGCGTCGGCGCGCGGAACGCCCCCTGCTTGTAGTGCTGGCGCCGCATTCCCCTGGACCCCTTGCCGAGCAGCGACCCGCGCGCGTTCAGCGTCGCGAGCAGCGAGTTGACGTACACTGCGTGTCGGTCAGCACGTGCGCCATCCGTCATCATTTGGCGCGAAAGAGATAAGGAGAGAAGGAGAGGGGAAGAGAGGGGAAGGGAGGGGGAGACGCACGCTTGCTGAGCGCGAAGTAGAACGCGAAGTAGATGAACTTGCGCGGGGCGGCCGCGAAGGACGCCACTGCGCCGATCGCGCAGAAGCTGGCAGGGGGGGGGAGAGCTTCCGTCAGTCTCGCGTTCGGAGCAGGCGAAGGTGAGCTGCACGGCCACGCACCTGGTGAGGAGCCCGGTGTTGATGCTGTAGGTCATCAGGACGCGGATCACGGAGTCCGTGCTGGAAGGGGCCACGCATAAGCCTTCGTGCAGAGACGCGGATACTGGTAGCCGTAGCCACGCGATGGGGGGTGGGGGGGGACTCACCTGCGGATGCCCGTCTCGAACTTGCGCAGCAAGACGCACTGCGAGATGGCGACGATGAGGTCGACGGCGGACTCTGCGGCTAGGCCCGTGTACAGCGCCCACTACGCATACATCGAGCATGCGTGAGCACGAGCGCGATCATGGGAGGCCCGCTAGAAGGGCGCGGGGAGAGAGAGGGATGTGGACGCACTGAGAAGTCTTGGATGTGGGCATAGGAATGCGCGTTCCAGCTGCGGGGTCAAAGTCAGATCGGTCACGAGCAGGGCTGCGATTGGAGAGGGAGCAGCGTACAGTTTCGCAGCGAAGTCTGGAGAGGTCACGAAAGTAAGGGGGAGGGGGGGATCAGAACACAAGCATCGGTGGGTCGCACACACAGAGAGACTCACATGCAGCGTCGACTGAACGGATATTCGAGATCGACAATCAGGGTGCGCACGTCAGCATTCACTCGCAGTGCGCGCGGAGCAGGAAGCAGCGTACGAAGGATAAAGAGGGAAAAGGCAGACTGTTGGCGGGCGTCGGGGTCAGTTCGCGGCCGAGCGACGCGCGGTAGCTCGGGAGGGACGCACGATGATAGCCGGAAGCCACCAGTTCCCGTGGCCCACTGCAGGTGGTGCATGTTCACGTCAGCTTCGCAGTACGATTGGATGGCAGAGGGATCGAGACTCGCATCTGTAGAGGCGGACGCCGAAGCAACTGCGGCGTCTCGTCAAGGCGCGTTCTAGAGTTGAATTGGACTGGAGTACTCACCCTCGGACGATGGAGTTGCTGATGTTCTGGATCGAAGGCATGTGAATGCGCGTTCTGACATAAATACTGAGAACTTGCCGAGACTATGATCATCGTCTACGTGATCGTGAGGCAGGGTCAGTTAAATAGCTAACCGTCGCACAGCGAGCAGATGCAGCGTACAGTGAACGGCCTTCGGGATTAGCTTGTGTTAGTACCTACAGCCCGTAAGCGTGAAGCAGTGCCCATATACGCACCATATCGGCTTTTGGATAGCCTGCAAGTTGGTGAAGTTGGTGATGCAGTACCAGTACATGGCTCCGGTGATCAAAGCGACATGGACCGTGTCGAGGAGCCTTTTCACGCGCCCTGACATCAGCGCGAAGGTCCTCGTGGACGGGAGTAAAGCCGCGCTAGGGTTCTCACCAAAGCCCAGCAACCTGAAACGATCGGTTACCGCGTCAGTCTGTTGTCTCACGCTGGACACTGGGAAGGCTCACCGAGAGTTTGAGGGACTTGGAGTCATTGTGGTTATCCCTGTAGTACACATACGCTTGGAGGGACGTAATTCCATACAGCCTGAGACGAAGAGGGCAGGGACATTTCACTGTCTGAGATACGCGTGAAACTAGAGAGAAGAAAAGCCCGCACAAAGTGGAGACAAAATGGCCTATGAACGCGGCTCCCAGCGTGTCGTCGAGGGTGATATGGGGTGTCGTCGGGATGAGAGACATCTTGGACTTGACCTGTGCCTTCCTAGATGCTGCGCGCGATAATCAGACCAAACCGGAGGCGGTAGCGTGCAGGGGGCATAAGCAGAGGGAGGGAGATGGGGATGGGGTGACAAGGCAGCGCAGACGAGTACTACATATATGATCTCGACGATAGCCTCGAGACTAGCTCGCGCATATCACGACGGAGGATGGATGGACCCTTGCGACAGCCACTGCCGATCCCGATTGACAAGCCGCGATTAGTACTGACACAAGTATGGACTAGTATGGACTAGTAGAGAGTAATTAGTCTGTACTGATCAATGCTTCCCCAGGGTCTGATAAGTTCGAGTCGCCTGTTTCGCTCTCCTCGAGCTCCTGATCTGGATCTGAGATCTGCACCACGTCGTACCTCGACCGCTTCCTCCTCTCGCCTCACCCGAGTCACGGGTGCCCGACGTCGTCGGCGACTCGGTGGCGTCCCCAAAATTTGTTGGCCCCTTTCTATGGTCTTCATGCGGCGCACTGGAGACTGTCAAGTATGGCAGGTTCCGGGATGCATAGTATATCAGACCCCTTGGACACTCATCCTCTCTTCTTTGCTCTCGACATAGCGACTGAACAATCGACCAAACTGCCTTTCTCGGAGTCCCCCTTGACGCGAACGCTGTATACGCGTGCGCGGGCACATCAGAGCTTGGCTGTCGATCGATCCTCCCAAGTCCCCCATCCCACCCCGCTCGACTTGTCCATTCTGGGCTAAGCTGACCTGGCTGGCTGCTTTCCAGAAACTCAATGTTGTTGTTCTACTGTTACTACAGGCACGCAAAGCTAGGGAAGCCATAGCATGTCTCCCTTCGTTTCGCGGGAGCATCTACGCAATCGCAAGCTCGGGGCGCTCTGTCGTCCAAATGCTCGTCATATATCAACGCTTGACAGCACTCAAGAGATCGTTGGGTGTCGTTTGATGGGGGGCTGCGGACGCCGCCGGCACCACGCCGGACGTTTCTACGCGAGCATCCGAACAAAACGTCGACAGTGTATGTAGTATGTATATACACAATCTCACCGGTTGGCGAAACCGACTCGACGACTGCCGTCGCACATGCGCTCTGCCACGCTCCGTTACCTTGCATGTGCCGTCGCAAAAGCCTGAGCCGACTTCAAGCCTTCTCCTTTGGACGTCGCGGGTACACGAAACGCGCCATTAAGTCACTTTAGGTCGGACGTTACTTGCGTTCGGTACGTCTTCCATTCGGGCTGATTGCTGAAACCACTCATGCATGCATCTTCTGGGCTGGCCGCGGGCTGCGCTCCTGGACCTGTATGGGCTTCAGCGACACATGTCGCACACTGCTGCATCTAGTGACGGACATCTCCCGCAGACCATCGCTGACATTGTGATCCGTTGCAGGGGCATTGTGTCGACGCCGTACATCCTCCAACTGCGACGGTGGCGCACAGAACCCCGTAGGAGTCTTTTCCTCACAACACTCTAGTCACGCAAGCTCGGACCGCTGAGCCCCTCCCGATTCCCGTTGCCAGTACATACCATGGGCAGATAGTCCAAGTGAGTCCATGTGCGCGTCGGACGTCTCACCGGCATCTCGTATCTGTGCGCACTAGCAGCACGTCGTGCACAATCTTCCTTCTCGGCGCCGATATGGCGGGTGGACACAGTCGCCCTGCTCTCTCTTCTGGTAGATCCCTCGTGCAGATTGCGCGATTATCCGCTCCAGCGAGAATAGGCCTGTCTCAGCGGGAGGGTGCGGGGGGGGCAGTTCGCTCGTCCATCGGCCCAGTATTGCACCGCTCGCCCGCCGATCCACTCTCGCACCCTCGTCCCCAACGTGAACTGTCTAACGTATCGCACGGTTCTCGCACTTCCTCGGCTACCACAGCTAGTCTTCCAGGGCATCCGCCGATCTTCGTGCGACGTGTGCACGCACCGACCAACCTATTCCCGTCTCCCGCGCTCGAAACTCGTCCCCGTCCTACTGGCCCCCGAGCGGAGATATCGTTGGGACGAGCTGTTCGAGAAGCTCGAAGGCAGTGGGCGCAGATCAGGGCCAAGTACGAGCCCGAGAACACCGCTGCGGCTTCCCCGGGGATCCTGAGCACGGAGGGGCGGGATTCGTGGACGACGACGAGCTGATCACGGCACGTCCCTAGGTCTTGCGATTGAGATCTCATTCGTGAGCCAAGCAATGAACATGATAGCAAGGCGTCGCAAAGCGTTCATCTTGATCTGCAGATAGCCAGCACGCTCCTCTCCAACGACGGGTTTGTCCGGGAAGGCGCAGTTGAGAGCTATTTTGATGACCACCTGCGCGACAAGTTGCCACACTGTGCAAGCAATTTGTCTGTATCATGAAACCAACCTCATATCCTCACCTATTTTACAGCCTCTGCCATGAACTTCTACGTCTCATCCCCCGTTCAAGCTAGTCCGGTGAGAATGCCTTCCCTCCAGACGTCTTCAACGGCGATCTACGCCAGTGATACACGCGTTGCCAGCCAGGGTTCTGAGAGAGACCTAGGTGAACCATAAGGAATATAGCAGCACTGACGGCAACTTCAAGAAGTTTGGTAGTGGGCACAGCGGCTGAGCGAACGAGCGAGTTGATGATGGTCGAGAGCGATGTGACTCGGATGCCATAAGCGCCCATTGCGGCAATTTCTGGGCCGGGCTTCCGGTTGTCGGCCGCTCAGCACCCCATGCCATTGTCTCTGACATGCATCACACGGACATGCGATGGAGGTGAGTGTCTCAGATGTTGCGGACGTGTAGCGGAGGCCGCCATACATCGCTCCAGGGTATATTTTACGACTCCTACCGGGAGGAGCACGACGCGATAGGTACTTGAGCATCGTCATGCGTATATCGCTGCCATACAAGTTCGAGTCGTAGGTGCGCACATCCCCTTTGTTGGCGAGTCGTCGTGTCTGCCTTAGTATTGACGAGTGGTCTGTTTCAGTACAAACCAACCATCGTAGGGTCATGTTAACGTACCGTTTCAACACAAGTGATCAGGACAAGGTGCCCCCACAGATACCGGCCTTTCTCAGTGTCAAGTGTACTCTACAACGCCTTTGGTGCATGCTTAGTGCTCTCTGCTACAGAAAGAATCACGTAGCATGTCGCCCGACCTGCAACTAATGCGTTTCCTCTATCCCACTCTCGATCGTCAAGTTCTCATCTCCACGCTTGGCTTCTTCACCTTCTTTCACGACCTCTTTGGCAAGTGTTGTCCCCGTCTCCACATCCGATCCTGTATGCCATGTCAGCCTGCGCCGCAGGAAGAGCGCGACCCACGTGAGGGCGAGCAGCACGGGCACCTCGACGAGCGGCCCAATCGTCGCCGCAAGCGCCTGATCCGAGCCGACGCCGTACACCGCAATCGTCACTGCGATTGCGAGCTCCTGACAAATTTAATGGTAGACGGTCAGCGACGCTAGACACAGGTAAGGAATCTCGACAGGCGAGCGCCGAGAGGGAAATCAAGACTCACGAAGTCGTTCGAGGCTGCCGTGAAGCTCTGCACGACTGCCATCTCGTACGACCAATCTGCCCGTTTCTTCTTCTCCTTCTCATCCATACTCGCGCTTGTTTCGCGCACCATGGCGGAACGCGGCCGCGGCCGCGCACACCACCACACGAACGCGAACGTGGCGAACCACATGATGACAAAGTACAGCACGAGCGGAACGATGACGCGGAAGACGGGTCCGAGGTTGTGCACGATGTGGTGGCCCTGGTATGCGAACATGACGACGATTGTATAGAGAAGGCCGAGCAGTGCAAGCGGGCTGAAGTATGGGAGGAATGTCGATTCGAAGAAGCGGCGCGAGGTCAGGCGGAGCATCGTGAAGCGTGTCACGACGCCTGCTGCGAGCGGGATGCCGAGGTACTACAATTCACCGGCGCTGGTTAGCAACAGCAGGACGGGATATTTGAAGGCATATGATGTGGACGTACGATGAGCACCGGGATCGCGACGTCCCCGTACGACACGTGCAACGTCTTCTCCACTCCTCCGCCGCCCCCCAAGATAATCACGAACAAGAGAGCAAATGGCGCATACAGTACGATTTGCAGCATGCTGTTGAACACGACAAGGACGGCGCAGTACTCGCTGTCACCCCGCGCGAGCGCGTTCCAAACCATGACCATCGCGATGCACCGCGCGAGCCCGACCATGATCATGCCCGTGCGGTACGTGCGCAGGTCTGGCGGCGCAGCCCATGCAAGGGCGAGCATCAGGAACGGGGCAACGAACCAGTTGAGCGTGAGCGAGAGAAGGATGTGGGTCAGGGCGTGGCGGGTCGGCAAAAGGGCGGGGAGGGCTTCGTAGCGAACTTTGGTGAGGATGGGCCACATCATGACGATGAGGCCTATTGCGATTGCTAAGAGAAGTGGTGAGAGTCGTATCCGCGTTGTGTCACTCTGAGCTATGAGGACTTACGAGCAGAGACGGATTGAAATTGTGCGATGCTGAAGGCGGCCTGGACGCCAGGGAGGTAGTTGCCGATGAGGACGCCTACGACCATGCAGACGAGTATGGCTGGGGTGAGTAGACGGTCGAGGATACTGAGCTTGTTCAAAAGTGCTAGAAATGGTCAATATAGTGCTTGCGTTGTGCTGTTGGCTTTGAGCTACCTGCGGGGGCCCTGAACTCATCCTCGACGTTGACGTGCCCGTCGTTGACAGCTTCGACTTCACTGGCTGTTTGATCATTTTCTATAGGGGATGTGTTCATGAGGATATCTTTTTTTCTGTTCATATTTTTTGTGGTATTTGCGACGTTGGTGAGAATGAGGGAGATAGACAAGACAACACTCGCTAGGTCCCCAGCGCGTGGTAGTCTTCCCCATGCTCCGAAGACGCCGATTTTGAATGTGGACGTCAAATTCGGCAGAGCTGCACCTTCCCTTTTCGGGGCGTGACTTCATTCAAGGCGGCTCATAGACGCTCATGATCTGTGCACTCGAGCCATCGAGATCAGCTTATTGGTCGACTTGTTGAGGACGCCAAGATGGCATTGGCATCTTACTTCATGTCGCCTCTCATCGACTCGAACGATGTCCAAAGTTGCCGACGTGGTCATCTTCAAGGCTAGACGTAGGTATCGACCTCCCTCGCAGAATGAGACGGTTTTCTGACGTCAGCAAACGCTGGCCCCTATTGATATCTACTGGCAGACGAGCAGGGCATAGTATCGCAGGCTGCTTCGTCAGTCAGATTTATTTTCCTCAAGCAAGCAGACACTCGATGCTGATGTGACCATTGCAGCTTGAAGGCTTGTCGGCCCGATTGTCGGCTCATCTACGAGCTCTAGGCCTATTATTTTCAGCTGCATATGATCGCACCCGCGACCAACGGATGATTGTCCTTAGTTCATACCCTGACATAGTTCGTCCGCTCTCCTCTTAATCTCAACTTCTTGTAGACTTCGGGATTGCACAGAGAGGTTTACAGGTACATCGGTGTTTATTACGCTCCTCTATGGGACCCTGAATCCCCTAGATCACAGACTATTCACATCCTGATCGTAGGTTCATTGCGATTTGACTGCTTGCGATCAAATAAGCTCAATGAATCTGAGACTGTATAATACACGGGGATTTAACAGCACGAACAGCGCATGGCTCCGTGCCACACACAACCATATAATCAGCACGGTAAACCATCTGGGCAGATCATAATCTATATTTACCCAGGTAATGCAGAGCAACGCTTGAACAGTACCCGCGACCATGCTAGAGCTGTAACGGAAGGGTTCCGAATATGATGTTCCCGAAACAAACGCATAGACGTACTGCAGAATCACAATGTCAATACCCATCCTGGTCACCCCGCGACTACCTTTTAGTCTTTCTTCCCTTTGCATCCGTCTGCAATCCAGCAAGCTCCCTGCCAAGTGCCGAAACCTCCGTCTCCAGTGCCCGAAACACCGTCTCAGTACCCGCTGCACTGGTGTGCCACGAGATAGTGCGGGTATTCGGCACTCCGTACATGGACCTCTCCTGCTTGAAATCATTCGGCTCTGATGTCCCCGGGGCATCGTAGGTAGGCACATCCGGTAGCGTTGCAGGATAGTATAGATATCGATCCATGAGTGCTTCAGTCGAGGTGCCGGTGAGGGCGGAGGCCATAGGTGAGGATGGTCCAGCGCCGTCTTGGGCTCCATAGTCGCTCCTCTCTGATTCATGGTGTGGGTTGAATGGTGTTGGATTCGTGGTCGAGGAGAGATAGAGAGAGCGCCTCCGTAGAAGGAAATATACTCCTAGTGCTATCCCGATGAGGAGAAAAATACCTCCGAATACGGCTCCGACCACCGTATCGAGGGGCGCCCTTGAAGAGGGGGACATGGTGGTAGTGACGAATACTGTGGAGGCAGTAGTGGAGGAGGTAGAATACTTGGATGACTGGGTTTCGGATGCTGCTTTGTCCGCATCGGTCGTGTAGAGCAGGTAATCGAAGAGAATGAATGAGTGACTGTCGCCCTCGGCTGATATGACGATGGTGTGAGGAGCGAGTTCGAGTTCGGTGTTGGAGTACACAAGCTGGTTGTACAAGGTTACCCCGGAGTTGTTTGGCATATGGACGAAGCTTCCGACGACCGAGTCATCGATAGCGAACGTCATGTTGGAAGTTGTGACCGTCTCCCAGACCATGTTCGGGACGACATTGTATACGTAAACGGCAGTCCCTGTGAAGTTGACGACAACCTGGGCCGGTCCGTTCGCAGGGGTTGAGTCATGCCAGGTTTGATTATGTATCTTTAATACGTCGAGGATGCCTGGGGTCCAATGCGAAGTCGTCCAGTCGTCTTGCTCAGAAGAATTGCCAGAATGCCAAGCACCGATAGTTCCCGGAGGGTCTATGGGTAGATACTGGGGAATGATCCCGGTCGTTGGGTCCCCAAATGTATCATCAACAGTGACATTCACCAACACTGAAGTGGCAGCGGCGATAAAAAGCGAGAAAGTGAATAGAGCGAGCCGTATAGCAACTATTCAACCCGCCCATACATTCATCAATATGACGCACAGTGAAGCAGGAAGAGGGGCAATTACCAGTTGGGTGACCGGAACTCCTAGCGCCTGCTCCGAGTGCATCCATCTGTTCTTATGTGACACCGAAAGAGCCGTATGTGATGGTGGTTAAGGCTGAGTAGCTTGAATCGGTGGATGGGGTGGTTGAATCAGGGTAACGGGTGTACTGGCAGGCAAACTCTCCAGAACTTTAGGCTAGCTTTTAAGTCTGATATTTGGAGGGATGATTCGCACTCATGATATTGGAAATGGCAACGCTCAATTGCGACGTGTTTTTCGTGACGTCAACTGAGTTGCGATGCAACAGGTCTAGATGATCATGACTTTGCAGAATCAAATGGATTCTCAACGTTAATGAACTACGCTATACAGGGAACTGCTGGGCGCCATGTGACACTAATCAGTCCGTGCCGAACAATATCCTTGGTTATGCGCTCCGTCCACTGTACAATGACTGTTCAGCTTTCGAGCAAATATGGTTCATCCCTCACAAAGTCACCCTCAAAGATTCACCGAGCTAGTCAGAATGAAGAGCTCTGGCCTCAAGCCTACGTCTAGACCAGGGGTTCATGGGATGGCGACGCCGAGTTCAGTTTCTACTTTTCGCGCAGGACAGCAGGAGACGGAAATCAATTGTTCGCTATCAAGGGATAAAGGCAGGTTCACACCACGAATGACATCACACGTTGCGCAGAATCATTTCGCTGGTACATTTTGAGTTTCGCATTATCAGAAGAATATTGTCTAGCGTAAGTGCTGTACCGTTGTCCGTACTAGCCCCGCCCAACTCTTTCTTCAAGAACACTAGGCGGCGTACCATGAGATGCCTTCCATTACTGATTGGTGACAGCTCCAGGGTTTCCACCGCAACCATGCTGTAAACGCTTCGATTGGAAGACTCGGTGCCCTACAAGACAAGAGATTCCCTCAAAGACGACGAAAGCGGAAGATCTCATCCATAACTAACACACTTCCTTCCGATCCGATCGGAGCCCATCTGTCAATCACTCTCGCGGCTATACTCTTCTTACCACGAACACGTAATACCCAGCTTATTGCGAGGGAGCTTCCTTTCTCCGTCTCACCGCTGGCCATATACACCCCGCGGTCAGAACGTACCAAGCTATACTCAAGTCAACATTGCGTGCAAAACAAACCACGAATCGTGCAAATCCAGTCGTAGAGTGATCGACTGAAGCGTGGCAGTATATTTGCCTACCACCAGACATGATACATCAACGGGCGCGATCGTGTCCCAAGACGCGCGCTGGGACTCACTTGGATTTCTACTCCTGCTCTAGTATGCTGTTCCCTTAGAGCTGTCGCTACAGTCCTGTCTATTGCAAATGTGGTCTATACTTGTAGCGACCATGTGCTTTAATCCTACATTGAATCTAGCCCACTCTGGAGTATGGACCTATGCTGGCTTTACGAACGTCATGCGATGTCGCTTTCGGACAGGTAATCATATGTATAGGTTCGTCGCTATTGAGCGATGAGATTCTGATATCATGACAGTGCCGGGCGGGAACCATAGAGTCCCTGATGCTCTTCTCCCGAGCTATAAGGTTCAACTCGCTTCGTTGCGGTCCTTGGCATATAGTGCTCATCGTACGAGTCTCTCGTGCGAATCTCACTGTACGGACCCCTGCACGATCCAAGCCGCTGAGCTCCGATAAAGACCCTACACGACTCCTCCAAGAACGAAGAGGGGAGAATGGGTGGACGAGCAGTTGGGTCTGATTATCCAAATGGTACGCCCATACAGAATTCCTCACTATGCGGTATGCTGATGATCGGACGGTGCGGGTCGCCAAGTTGCCATACGGCCTGCCATATTCCCTCTTTCTCTTCTCGTGACTGGGGCCACCTCCCTCCTGGTGAACATAACCGTCGATGACACCTTTGGCGATCCCACAACCGGAGTAATTCCCCAATATCTACCAAACGATCCTCCTGGGGTATGGCATGCCGGTAATGCTACAGAGACAGACCACTGGAGAACCTCCCATTGGACTGCAGGCGTACTCGATGTATTCGAGATACGTAATCAAACCTGGCATGACTCAACACCAGCGAACGGACCGGCCCAGGTTGTCTTCAGCTTCACAGGGACTGCCGTCTACATTTATAATGTCGTCCCGAACATGGTCTTCGAGACAGTCACAACTTCCAACATGACGTTCGCCATCGATGACTCGGTTGTCGGAAGCTTCGTCCACACGCCAGACCAATCGGGGGTAACATTGTACAATCAGCTTGTGTACTCCAACACCACACTCGAACTCACTCCTCACACGATCGTCATCTCCGCCGACGGCGATAATCACTCCAACATTCTTTTCGATTACCTGATTTACACTACCGAGAGTAGCGACATAACTTCCTCGTCATCTCCGACCTCGTCTTCCACTACCTCTACAGCTGGCTCAACGCTATTCGTCACTACCACAGTGTCGCCCTCGCAGAAAGTACCTCTCGGCGCAGTGCTCGGAGCTGTAATTGGCGGCGTCGTGTTCCTCCTCGCCACATTGAGCGGAGCCTATTTCCTCTTCCGGAGGCACTACCAACTTCATTCTTCATTAACATCAGCTCGTGCAAATCCCGCAGGGACCAGCGGCAGCGATAGAGCCGAAAGGGGGGCCGATTCACGATCCTCCTCCATGACCGCGTTCGCTACAGCCCCAGCTAGAGCACTTATGCCGCAGTCTACAAACTCGCCACTGTCGCAAGGGGATCTCCTCCCTGCTTCTTCCGAGCCTTCTCCAAAGCCGTCAAAGCGGCTCGCGGCCATAAGCCGCAGAATCCAGACGCTACAGCGGGAGATGTCCGTACTCTCAGCGTCGAGCCCCTCCATCAGGTCAGGCAACACCGGAGAAGGTACTGTGACGGTGGTTCGTGCGCTGGAGACGGAGATTGCAGCATTGCGCCGCGAGCTTGCGGGTTTCGGCTTGCGGCTGCATGGAGATTGGACGACTACGGAGGCTCCGCCCGGGTACCGGGAATAGCTGCAGTAGAATCGCCACTGTGAGTTCATGAGTCACTTCAGGAGATGCCCGAGTCTGAAAGCTAAGGCCACAGCGGCAGTACCATCGCATATGCCAGAAACACGAACAAGGCGGCGCTTGCTTTATTTACCCGGACCTTGATCGTTCATAGCATGAGCTATGACAGCGTTGTCGAGTTAGTTCCTTGTGTAATTACCCATACCTGCGCCTCTATCCCTTCCGACGATGATTCCCATCCCGCAGGTTGCTTTACCTGCGCGTACGGTCTGGCTTGGTAGTTGCTTTAGGTCGGGGTCCTCGGATGCTTCTGTTTTTCGGGCATCCCTGTTGCGCTCGCAGGGAAACGAGGTGCGTCACAGGAACTCGAGACGCGGCTGCCGGTGGTGTCTCTAGAGAATCATGCTTGGACCCCCGCAGGGACTTCGGAATGCTGCGACTGCGACATCCACGTCGGTACGTCCGGGGACCATCGTTTGTAACTTAAGTTCTTAGCTGAAGCGTTACCGTGGTCCTAGGTGATTGTTGAACACCGCACAAGTTCTCTTCGTCCGTTTTCACGATCACACATTGCGTCGACTGTGGCAGGAGTCAGGTACATCTGCTAACGAAATGAGAGTAAGACGTGTGGTCGTGCAGGTGCCAGACGTCGAGTCAGTGTCAGAGGAGATAATGTGTATATGTTGTACTCCCCGGCATACCCAAGCAATCTTGGACCACTCACATCTGTCCTATTTGGCCGCTACGGTCTGCGTGACTTGGTAGAGAGAATTCGGAATGCTGAGCGAGCCCATCATGCATGCCGCAGCGTTCGAACTTCGAAACCGCGCGCTCGCGGTTGGCGGCAACGTGCGCTTGTCCTTTTCTCACGATGCGCTGAGCTCATCGCGTTCCCCAGGGCCCAATCGCCCTCTCCTCACTCGCTCGCCCCGGATGCTGCTCAACGCCTTAAGACCCACCGTCTCTGCCATCCTCGCAGCTCCGGTAATCTTGGAGCTTCCTCTCATCCATGGCCGCTAACGACTCTGCACGCCTCTACGCCGCCGAAACGCAGGTCGCAATCGCCGCGGTGCGAAGGGCGTGCGTCCTCACCGCGTCGGTCTTCAACAAGCTTGTCAAGCAGGAGACTCTGACGAAGGACGATAAGAGCCCGGTCACAGGTGCGCCTTTCCTTACTATTTGCGCGATGGAGACAGATGGTATTCGCAGTGGGCGACTTCTCCGCGCAGGCGGTCATCAACACAATCCTCGGCCGTACATTCCCGGACGACCCTATCGTTGGGGAGGAGGATGCTGCCGATCTTCGTGTAGATTCTGGGAAGGCGCTGCGCGATCGCATCGTCCAGCTCGCGAACGAGACTTTGACGGCGGAGCTCCGGCCTGGAGAGAAGGAGGAATGGGGATTGGGGCCGAACCATGCGCGGACAGCTGACCAGTTGTTGGACGCGATTGACCGCGGAAACTACGATGGTGGTCCAACAGGACGTGAGTGATGCATCCCATCTGTTTTCTCGCTTGCACGACAGAGTCAGGCATGCTCGGAAACATCTCGCACGCGCGACTGTGCAGACAACAGCGTGCTGTGGATGGTCTTCCAATTTTCACGATACCCTGCGCCTTCTCGACGTCGCCCCTAAAGCTATCCCACAGGAATTTGGACCCTCGATCCTATCGACGGCACAAAGGGCTTCCTCCGCGGTGAGCAATATGCCGTCTGCCTCGCGCTCCTCGTCGACGCCCGCGTCGAGCTCGGCGTCATAGGCTGCCCGAATCTCCCTGTGACGGCCTCGAACCCCTTCAGTACGCGTGGCTGCATCTTCTTCGCGGTGCGCGGGCAGGGCGCATACCAACTCCCGCTTGACAACGCTTTCGGTGGGGAGCGGACGAAGTTGGCGATTCCGTCGTCCACCCCAGAGACACTGAACTTCCTAGAGAGCGTAGAGAAGGCACACTCGAAGCTGAGCTTCAACGAGCGCGTCGGCGAGATTCTGGGCGTGACGCGGGCACCGACGAGGATGGACAGCCAAGCCAAATATTGTGCGCTTGCAAGGGGCGACGGAGGTGTGTATCTGCGGATGCCGGTCGGGTCGGGGTACAAGGAGAAGATCTGGGTGCGTGTCCTCGCCGAGCGCTGCCTTCCAGTGCTGAGAATTGCTGTCATCCGCAGGATCACGCAGCCGGGTCGATACTTATCGAAGAAGCAGGCGGCGTCATCTCGGATGGGCGGGGGGAGCCCCTCGATTTCGGCCTCGGGCGGTTGCTGGGCGAGAACTACGGGATCGTGGCGTCTGGGAAGGATGTCCACGAGAAGGTGATCGCTGCTATCAAGCAAGCGAAGGCGGAGGAGGAGGCGCAGAGCCGGTCGTAGGATTGTCTCTGTAATCTCGCACACCAGGTGAGGTGCTCGTTCCCGTGCGCGGTCTACCTGACCACAATACATTCGTGCAGTGGCGCCTTAAATGGACATAGATATGGATGAAACTTCGTGCCAGTTGACGTAGTAAAGAGGAGCAGGTACTGAGACTGGAGTATTCGAGGATTATGATGCAAGGCAGATTCTAGTCAATTGTCAAGCCAGACCGTACGTATAGGGCAAGCGACCTGCGGGAAGGGAGAGATGGTCGGAACCCAAGCGAGAGGGAAACAGGTATGGGTACACAAGGAACCAACTCGGCAACGCTGTCAATGTTCATGCTATGAACGATCAAGGTCAGGGTATATGAAGCAAGCGTCGCCGTGTTCGTGTTTCTGGCATATGCGATGATGCTGCCGCTATGGCCCAAGCTTGCAGACTCGGGCATCTCCTGGAATGACCCATGGACTCACAGTTTCGCGACACCGTTGCGGCTATTCCTGGTACCCTGGCGGCGCTTCTGTAGTCCTCCGGTCTCCATGCAGCTGCGAGCTGAAACCTGCAAGCTCGCGGCGCAGTGCTGCAACCTCCGTCTCCAGCGCACGAACCACCGTCTCGGTGCCTTCTCCGGTGTCCCCAGACCTGATGGAGGGACTGGACGCTGAGAGCATGGATAACTCCCGTTGTAGAGTCTGGATTCTCCGGCTTATGACCACTTGCCGCTTTGACGGCTCGGGAGAAGCGAAGGAGGAAGCCCCCTGCGACACGGGAGAGTCTGTAGACTGCGTCTGCGTCATAAGTGCCCCGGCTGGGGCCGTTGCGAATGCGATCGTAGAAGATTGTGAGTCGGCGCCGTCCTCGGTCCTATCGCTGCCATTTGTCCTTGTGGGGTATGCACGAGCTGATGTTGATGAAGAGTGAGGTTTGGAGTGCCTCCGGAGGAGGAAGTAGGCCCCGATCAATGTGGCGAGGAGGAGCACGACACCGCCAAATACGGCCCCGAGCACTGCGCCGAGAGGTACTCTTGATGAGGGCGACACTGTGGTAGTGACAAATACCGTCGAACTGGCTGTAGAGCTACTGGAGGACGAGGTCTGAGAGGATGAGCGCGAGGGAGTTTCGTCGCTACTCTCGGTAGTGTAGATCAGGTAATCGAATAGAATGAAAGAGTGGTTTTCGCCTTCTGCGGAGATGACGATGGTGTGCGTAGCGGGTTCGAGTTCGGTATTGGAGTACACTAGCTGGTTGTACAGGATCTCCCCGGACGGGTCGGGCGAATGAGTGAAGTTGCCGAGGACCGAGCCATCGATAGCGAACGTCATGTTGGAAGTTGTGACCGTCTCGAAGACCATGTTCGGGACGACATCATATACGTAGACGGCAGTCCCTGTGAAGCTAACGACAACCTGGGCCGGTCCGTTTGCCGGGGTAGAGGCATGCCAGGTTTGGTTATATATTTTGAAGAGATCGAGGACGCCTGGGGTCCAATGAGAGGTCGACCAGTCGTCTGTCTCCGTGGAGTTACCGGCATGCCATGCCCCGATAGTTCCCGGAGGATCGTTTGGAAGATATTGGGGAATGGCTCCTGTTGTTGGGTCGCCAAAGGTGTCATCGACAGTAACGTTCACCAAGAGGGACGTGGCCCTGGTGAAGAGAAGGGAAAGAGGGAATATAACAGGCCATATTGCAACTTGGCGACGCGCACCGTCCGATTATTAGCATAGCGCTCAGTGAGGTATTTCTAGATGGGCGTACCAACTAGATGATTGAAGCCTCCTGATAGTCTACTCATTCTTTCCTTTTTGCTTCTGGTTGGGGCTCAGTGGCTTGGATTGAGGAGGGGACTGTACAGGGGGACTCGCACGAGGGACTCGTTTGAGGAGCACTATATGCCGAGATGAACCGGGATCGTATGGCTCGGGAGCAGAAAAGCTACCTTTGCCATATTTCCGAGAACTGTCATATTATCCAAACCTCAATGATGACGATCTGTCTATACATACGATAACCTGTGCGAAAACAACATCGCATGACGTTTTTGAAGCCAGTATAGGTTCATACCCCAGAGTGAGCTAGATCCAAGTTGGAACTGAAGGCACATGGTCGCTACAGGCATAGAGCACGTTCGCGATGATAGTATCGCTATTTGTGCTTAACGATGACAGGCCTGTAGTGACAGCTCTTAGGGAACGACATGGACAGCATGCGGGCATACTGCCACGCCCAGGTCGATCATTCGGTGACTGAGTTCGCAGGCCTCCGTCATTTGAACTGCGTCCGTTGTACGCGATGTTGACTCGAGTACACCTTAGCACGTGCTGACCACGGGGTGTTTTTGCAACTAGAAGGCGTAAGAGTACTGCTTTTCATAGCAGAGAGTGATTGACAGATGGGTTCGGATCACATTCGATGGAAGCGTATTGGTCGTGGAGAACATCTTCCATGTTTGTCGTCAGCGAAAGCATCTCTTGTCTTGTAGAGCACTGAGCGCTCCGGTTGTAGCGTCCATCGCATGGTTACAGTGGCAACTATCAAACTTCAACAATCGGTAGCGGAGGGTATTGTGAGGTACGCCACCTGGTGCTCGTAAACCAAGAGCAGGGCGGAGCTAGGGCGCATGATGGTACGGCAATCACGCCAGATAAGATCCGGATCATGCAAGGATAAAATTAGATCATAGAATGCATGTTGCGCGAGGTGTCATGGTACTCGAGGTGTGAGCCCGTGTCTGCATCTCCTCTTTAGACCTCTATCGCAAAAATATACCACCCTGCTGTCCTGCGCGCATATTAGGAACTGACCTTGTCATCGCCGTCCCATAAGTCCCTGGTTGAGACGTAGGCTGTAGGCCAGGGCTTGTCATTCTGACTATCTTGGCGAATCTTTGAGAATGATTTTGTGACAGATGAGCCATTTTTTCTCAAAAGCCGAACAGCCACCGTAGCGTCGACGGAGGTCAATTGAATCAAAGTTATGGTTCGGGGTGGACTGATTAGAAAACGGCGCCCAGCGGTTCCCTGTACAGTGTAGTTCACGAAGTTGGGCGTCCATTTGATTCTGCAACGCCATGATCATCTAGACCTGTTGCACCCCAGCTCAGTTGACGTCGCTAGAAACACGTCACAATTGACCGTTGCCGTTGCTGAATTCACGAGTACGAATCATCCCGCCGACTATCAGACTTAAAAAGCTAGGCTATTCTGGAGAGTTTGCGTATCAATACACCCGTTCCCCTGATTCAAGCTACTCAGCCTCATCCGCCATCACATACGGCTCTTTCGTTGACACAGAAGAACAGATGGATGTACTCGGAGCAGGCTCTAGGAGTTCCGATCACCCAACTGGTAATATCCGCTTTTCCTGCTTCACTGTGCGTTGTATTGATGAATGTATGGGGCGGGTTGACTAGTTGCGATACGGCTCGCTCTATTCACTTTCTCGCTTTTCATCGTTACTGGCACTTCACTCTTGGTGAATGTTACTGTCGATGATACTTTCGGGGACCCAACGACCGGATTCATCCCCCAGTATCTACCCGACGAACATTCGGGAACTATCGGGGCTTGGCATTCTGGCAATTCTTCTGAGACGGACGACTGGTCGACCTCCCATTGGACCCCAGGCGTCCTCGATGTCTTCGAGATATATAATCAAACCTGGCACGACTCAACTCCACAAAATGGGCCCGCCCAGGTTGTCGTCAACTTCACAGGGACTGCGGTCTATGTGTACAATGTTGTCCCGAACACTGTCACCAAGACCACGACAAAGACAAACATGACTTTCTCTATCGATGGCAAAGTGCTCGACAACTTCACACACCCTCCCGATGAAACCGGAATCATTCTGTATAATCAGCTAGTATTCTCCATCACCGAACTGCCACCCAGCCCTCACACACTCGTCATCTCCGCTGAAGGTGAAGGCCAATCGTTCATTTGCTTCGATTACCTGCTCTACACGACCGATGCGGACAAAGCAGCATCCGAAACTCAGTCGTCCAAGTACTCTACCTCCTCCACTACTACCTCCACAGTATTCGTCACTACCACCATGTCCCCCTCTTCAAGGGCGCCCCTCGATACGGTGCTCGGAGCGGTATTCGGAGGTGTTATGGTCCTCATCGGGATAGCACTAGGAGTGTATTTCCTCCTACGCAGGCGCTCTCGCTATCTCTTCTCGATCACGAATCCAACACCATTCAACCCACACCATGAATCAGAGCGGAGCGACTATGGAGCCCAAGACGGCGCTAGACCATCCTCACCTATGACATCCGCCCTCACCGGCACCTCGACTGAAGCACTCATGAATCGATGTATACACTATCCTGCAACGCGACCGGATGTGCCTACCTCCGATGCTCCGGGGACATCAGAGTGGAAGGGTTCTCAGCAGGAGAGCTCCATGTACGGAGTGCCGAAGGCCCGCACTATCTCCTGGGACGCTAGCGCAGCGGGTACTGAGACGGTATTTGGGGCACTGGAGACGGAGGTTGCTGCACTTGGCAGGGAGCTTTCAGGATTTCAGATGGATGCGAAGGGGGAAACGACTACAAGGTAGTCGCGGGGGAACCAGGATGGGAATTGACATTGTCGTTCTGCAGTACGTCTATGCATTTGTTTCGGGAACACCACATTCTGAACACTTCAATCATAGCTCTAGCGTGATCGCAAGTACTTGTCAAGCGTTACTCTGCGAAACATACGTAGATATAGATGAAGATGCTAGTGACATGGTTGTGTATGTCCAGGAGCCATGCGCTCCTTGTGCTGTGAAATCCCCATGTGTCATGAAGTCAATCAGTGCTGTCTAAAGTGCGTCTTAGAGTCGTTAAGCTCAGATGATTACAAGCTTTCGAATCGCATTGAACCTATGGCTTGAATACGAATAGTCTGTGGGATAGGAAGCTCAGGATCCGGTAGAGAGGCGGAATAAACACCTATGTATCTGTATGGTCCAAGAACAAAGATCCGTTGGTCGCAGGTGCGATCATCTGTAAATGATATGTCCAGAGCTCATGGATGGGCTGACAGGGCTCCCATGGTAAAATCAACATAGAGTGTCTGCTTACTTTAGCAAGCTTAATCGGACTGACGAGGCAGCTTGCGATACTCTGCCATGCTTGTCTGCCATGCGACGTTCAGTCTCGTCAAAATTTCACGGAGAGATCTCAACATGACAGGTGTTCATATCAGAGGCTCTGCCGTCACCCATTGGTCGAAGCTCATGGAAGGGACCATGCTTCGCTTTGCGATGGTGACGAGACGAAGACGAAGGTGACATTCCCGGTGCGTAGACATCAACACCCACTGTGGGATGACGTCAGAAAATAGTACCATTCTGACGAGGGTCAATACCCGTGTCTAGCCTTGAAGATGAACACGTTGGTGACTATGTGAATTTTGAGAGTCGATGAGAGGTGATATGAAGTTAGATGTCAATCTGGCGTCCTCAACAAGTCGACCGGATCGTCCGATCCAAGGAGCCCATGTGGTTTGGCGCGCGCTGATTGGCAAACGGCGCCCAGCCAATCAGCACATGCTGACGTCAGGTATGCAATGCGCTGGTTTCTGGCTTGAGACCAGCGCTCCTATGTCCGTCTCCTCCTGGGAATTATCCATACATTTCGAGCGGTCCAGACGAACATCGCTGATTGCTCCTTATCATTCCAACCTGGCCGATGGGATTGATGTCTGGCGCTCTGCATTCTTTGTCCCCTAGTACTAAGCTCCGAGGATGGCGCTGACTGTGGACTACTCGTCCTTGTCAATCTCGATGTAAGACTTCCACCCCGACTTTCAGCCTGCCTAAGGGAGCTGACGTGTCTCTCCTTATGCCTGAATCTTCCCTCAATGTTTATGAGCACCGCACCATGTTCTACGGCATCATGATGGCAACTATCTGTCAGCGACAGTGGTCCGTCAATTGCCATAGGAGACAAGCAGAAATTCCCGGCACCTGACTAATCTAGCTACACGCATCCTCAGACTTCCAAAACCCGTCCATCTTCATGCGGTATCTCCTCGGTGTTCCGAATGAAATGCCGAGGTGCCCTAATCTGTTCTATTCCTCCAGAATTGGGTGAGGCTGCATAGAGTGTGATAGATGCTGTAGATTCTGTTTCGCCTGTTTCAACCGATTGTAAGGCGGAAACGTCCCATGTGAAAGGATCTATGTGGGCGGCAAGCGATCCAAGTACGGGAGCCACGTTGAACGAACCGAGGCTGATACTCTGCGACGCATACTGTGAGTTGTCTGCAGTGATGCCGAAGTCCTTCTTCTGATAGGCTTCTTGTAAGTCCAGCATGAAGTGCGATACGAGGATAGATGTCAACCTGGTTGATCGTGGTGATGAGCTCTCTACTCTCACTGCGAAAACAGGAATAGGAAGCGAGACTCACGGGGGAGTGAAGATGGAGATGACATCATCGGATTGGCCATTAACCTGAGGTACAGACATTAACTCGGATCGCATGGCTTAGCTGAACGTAACTCACAGAGAGTTGGTGGAGAATAAGCTGTAGAATATTCAGTGCAAGCAGCACGCTGGGTGTTCTTGTGAGAGGGTTGTGCTGGTGGATCAAATAGCTCCGACGCACATGAAGTAGAGAGTCCCTATATCAGGGGTATCAGCTTAGAAACTGTTGCAGCTATAAACGTTTGCCTACCATCGCGAAGGACTACACCAACGATGTCCTTGTCCTTCAACACCATCGCGGCTTTCTTCATGGTACGTCCTGAGAGATCATACCAGGTAATGGCAATGAGCAGCGTATCCGCAGCGATTGTACACGCCCGATTGATGATGATCCCTGCACAAAACACTTCAGTACGTAAACACGGCGTTACATTACAGACCTACATCTGCAACAGATCAGATAAGCCATAGCCACAATAGTGAAGAGAGAACGGACATACTTCTCTTCCAGGGAAAGGGGAAGGTCGTCATTCAACCAACACCCGAGGATCTGGTGAATTACACCAGTGGGATGATAGCCCAGCTCCATCTGGCAAGTCATGCTCGTTATTTGTGGTGGACCGTGCCGAGGTGCGGACTCTGCTTACGAGATTTGTTGCCACAGGGCAGAGCAGCAGCATAAGGACGAGGCCTGACAATGTCCAGTTCTGACTTAGTGCAAATGCACGTAAGCCAGAGAACACTAGGAGGGAAGCCTTAATTGAGCAATGGTAAGTCTCAGAAGACCCGGTACTCACGTGCTGGCGGCAGTAATGCCAAGCATAGAAATGGTTTCGTTGCTACGACGATCTCGGTACAGCTGATGATACCGAACATTGTCATCGATAATGGGTTGAACACCTTAAGAACGCATATCGCACCTCTTGCAGACATTTGATCAGTTGGATGTCGCTCCTTAGGTATGATAGATGGGAATACCTTTGTGGACAATGACGCATACGGGAATAGGCTAAGAACCTGACCCAGAAGGTTGATATACCGATTTGAAAAATACAGCAGAGCGGAAAGAGTGCCTGCTTTCCCTTTACAGAAAAGACGTCCTTCCCGAGGCACGGTAATAATCCAGTCATGCACGACCATCACTAGATGGTAACTCGTATCAGGAGTAATTCAAGCATTGTATGAGAAGACGTACCAGCAGCAGCGACGACGCAATAGTTGTCAAGGACTCTAACGGGAGTCATGTAAGCGTATCAGCCCTGAATCCCTGGAGAGTAGGATAGGTTGGCCCGCACCCCAGAGAATAGGAGGCAACGAGCTCGCTGACTGCACTGGGTGATGGTGAAGTCATTGTCGAAGGAATTGATGAGTTGGGTGAGTGTGTCTCAAAACCTAGGAGTTCGTCTTGCCCTTATATAACTGGTCTCCCTCTAGTACTCGAGCAAGCACTCAGTGACAGACACTGCTAGGGATCCCAGATTCCGGTATCACCTGAAAGGTACCGGTAAACAAGGCTCCCCGCCACACACTGATTCAACTGTCCTTTGCAAACTCATGGCATAGCACAAACCACAGAGGAGTATCAACGTCAGAGAAGTGTGGTTAGAGGATGCATGATATGGAAGAGCTCACATGAATGAACGTATTTGTGCGGATCCGGCTGGCTATGCAGCGGTGGTTGAGCTGCCACCGGACTGCGATCACACAGCCGCCAACTCTCGCTCAAGGTTTTTTCCGGAACATCCATGCATCCACCTCTGTATCTTTCCTCTTTTCAACTGATTGAAACGATATGTGATCTGCCGGGGGATCCGCGGTGCTTCGATGGCGATGCGTTCAACAATGAAGCAGTGCTGCTGTATATGGTTCGATTGAACCTTAACCCTACGAAAGGCTATAGCCATATACTTCTCACCACAAGAATCGGAAGGACGGAAAGATCAGCTGCCATCAGAAGCGAATGCGATTGCAGGGCTTTTCTTGGCTGATCACGTCAGCAGATAAGGAATTCATGCGGTGGACGTGATATGGACGATCGCCCTCCGAGAGAGCGGGAAGTCCAGGAGTGCGCCCAGCTCGCGCGTGACTTGGTGCCGGTAGTATCTTTGCTGAGCCTGACTAGCCAGACGCTGGCGAAAAATTTGTCTTCACGGCCTCACAAGCTCCGGGTGCGGGACCACAGGAACAGGAACATTCTTGTGTGGGTCATAAATTGTCAGTCAATCTCTGAAGACGTGATTTTGTGCTCCCGACTACCTACATTGTGGTGCGTGCCCAGCCACGTAGCCGCGTGTTGCAGGGGCTCGTCTACGTTGCTTCCGCAATTGACTCTTCTGTAGATCATTTGAGAGAAGCACAGCGGCCATAAGCGATATGAAGAAGTTCATCAACTCACGAAACAGCATCGGAAACTGAGTATGTACACCGACTCTGGAACGGGCTCAATGCGCAGGAGGTCATCATCACCGAAGGCGAGACTACCGCCTTGCTCAGTATTTTTGGACGCTTTGTGGCTTCTTAACTTCTCCTATGCACGAGGTTTATCGACTGCGTGCACAGCTATGTCAGCATAGCTATGTTTCCAAACACGTCATGGGGCTTACGATGTCCCATGATAACTTGCCTTCAACACGTTGAAGACAGTCACAGCATCCTACCATCTTGCCGAAGCTGCAAGAGCCGCACGGTGCATATACCTTTTTATTCATCGCACGCTACCCATGAGTAAGTGCGGAAATATGCATGTGTTATTCGACGCCTCGAGCCTCAGATAATGAGCGCTGAGTGAGCCGCCCACCAGAAAAGGAAGGTGCTGTAACTCTGCCGATTTTGACGTCCACATTCAAAATCGGCGTCTTCGGAGCATGGGGAAGACTACCACGCGCTGGTGACCCAACGAGTGTCGGCTTGTCTACCTCCCTCACTCTCACCAGCGCAGCAAACACCGCAACAAAAACATGGACAGCAAACAAGAAGACCTCATGAATACATCCCCTATAGAAAATGGCCAAACAGCCAGTGAAGTCGAAGCTGTCAACGACGGGCACGTCAACGTCGAGGATGAGTTCAGGGCCCCCGCAGGTAGCTCAAAGCCAATAGCACAACGCAAGTACTCCATTGACCCCTTCTAGCACTTTTGAACAAGCTCAGTATCCTCGACCGTCTACTCACCCCAGCCATACTCGTATGCATGGTCGTAGGCGTCCTCATCGGCAACTACGTCCCCGGCGTCGAGGCCGCCTTCAGCATCGCACAATTCCAATCCGTCTCTGCTCGTAAGTTTTCCTAGCTGTGAGTGATACAACGCGGACACGACTCTCACCATTCACCATTTTCATTAGCAATCGCAATAGGCCTCATCGTCATGATGTGGCCCATTCTCACCAAAGTTCGCTACGAAGCCCTCCCCGCCCTCTTGCCGAACCGACACGCCCTGACCCACATCATTCTCTCCCTCGCGCTCAACTGGATCGTTGCCCCGTTCCTCATGCTCGCCCTTGCATGGGCCGCGCTGCCAGACCTGCCCACGTACCGCACGGGCGTGATCATGGTCGGGCTCGCGCGGTGCATCGCGATGGTCATGGTCTGGAACGCGCTCGCGCGGGGCGACAGCGATTACTGCGCCGTCCTGGTCGTGTTCAACAGCATGTTGCAAATCGTGCTGTATGCGCCGTTTGCGCTGCTGTTCGTGAATATCTTGGGGGGCGGCGGAGGAGTGGAGAAGACGTTGCACGTGTCGTACGGGGACGTCGCGATCTCGGTGCTCATCGTACGTCCACATCACATGCCTCCGAGTATCCGTCTTGCTGACTAGCGTCGGGTGCAGTACCTCGGCATCCCACTTGCAGCAGGCGTCGTGACGCGCTTCGCGATGCTCCGCCTCACCTCGCGCCGCTTCTTCGAGTCGACGTTCCTCCCATATTTCAGCCCGCTCGCACTCCTCGGCCTTCTCTATACGATCGTCGTCATGTTCGCCTACCAGGGCCACCACATCGTGCACAACCTCGGACCCGTCTTCCGCGTCATCGTTCCGCTCGTGCTGTACTTCGTCATCATGTGGTCTACCACGTTCGCGTTCGTGTGGTGGTGTGCGCGGCCGCGGCCGCGTCCTGCCATGGTGCGCGGGACAAGCGCAAGTGTGGATGAGAAGGAGAAGAAGAAACGGGCAGAGTGGTCGTACGAGATGGCGGTCGTGCAGAGCTTCACGGCAGCCTCGAACAACTTCGTGAGCCTTGCTTGACTTCTCGCCGCGATGGCCATTCCTATGTATCGGGTTGCTGACTGTCTACCATTGGGTTTGTCAGGAGCTCGCGATCGCAGTGACGATTGCAGTGTACGGCGTCGGCTCGGACCAGGCGCTTGCGGCGACGATTGGGCCGCTCGTCGAGGTGCCGGTGCTGCTCGCCCTCACGTGGGTCGCGCTCTTCCTGCGGCGCAGGCTGACATGGCATTCAGGATGGGATGTGGAGGCGGGGACGATACTTGCCAGAGATGTCGTGCAAGGAAGAGAAGAAGCCAAGCGTGGGGATGAGAAGTTGGCGATCGTGAGTGGGATAGAGGAAACGCATTAGCGGCAGGGTCGACATGCTATGTGATTTCGTTCTGTAGCAGAGAGCACTAAGCATGCAAGCTTACACGTCATCAATGATAGTAGAGGGACTCGATTCAGCGGCAGCGAAGAGAACGACTGCACCGATGGCGTGATGGAGTACGGTATCTGTGGGGACACCTCGTCTTGGGTCCTCATCGTGAAACGGTACGTTTAAATGTCCCTAAGATGGTTGAGCTACACAGACGACTCGTTATTCCTGTGGCAGACACGACGACTCGCCAACAAAGAGGACGTGCTCACCTACGACTCGAACTTGTACGGCGAAATACGCATGAAGATGCTCGAGTACCTATCGCGCCCTGCTCCTCCTGGTAGGAGTCGTACCCTATACCCTAGACAATGGATGGCGGTCTTCGCCACACATCCGCGACATGAGACACTCACCGCCATCGTATGTCCTTGCCTTCGTGTGATGCATGTTAGTAAAGACAACGTGGGATGCTGAGCCGGAGCTGCACCTGGCCGACAACCGGAAGCCCGGCCCAGAAGTTGCCGCAATGGGCGCTCGTTTTAACGCGCTCTCGCCCGTCATCTCGCTCGTTCGCACTGTGCTCCACTATCAAACGTCTTGACTTCGCCGTCAATGCTGCCATGTCCCTCTGGTTAGCCTGGATGTCTCTCTGAGACATGTCCGGCAGTGCGTGTATCACTGGCGTAGATCGCCGTTGAAGACGTCCGAGGGCAGGCATTCTCACCGTACTAGCTTGGAGGGGGGATGAGACGTTGAGAGATTACTATGACGAGGTCTTTGACACAGGTGAGTGTATACGATTGAGTTGCGCGACGCAAAGAGATTGCTTGCCCAGTGAGGATCCTTCTCGCGCAGGCAATCGTAAAAACAATTACCAACTGCGCCTTCCCGGACAACCCCATCGTTGGCGAGGAGCGTGCTGGTCATCTACATATCGAGTACTGGGTAACACCTTGCAATCGTATTCATTGCTGGGCTCGCGAATGAGACCTGAATTGCAAGGCACTAGCCTAGACAGAAGGCGGAAGGAGTATTGGGACCGTATCAAACGAGGACTGCCGACCAGCTCCTTCGTGCCACCAAGCGCAGCGACTACAATTATGGCTGGGCGAGATGTGAGTGGGTCCGCTTTGCTTGTCTTCTTGCCCTACCTGATTCGCTTTTACTTGGGCACGCAACGTCCCGTAGCGCTTCTCTTGTGTTTTCTCGAGATTCTCCGAACTTCGCGGTCTCGATTCCACAATCTCGTCTCTCCATCCAGCACCAGTCTCAGTCTGATAACTTCAATTCGATTCTCCACACCGTACATTTAACTCGATGCCTCTGTGACATCGCGGATCTCACCTATCTGTCTCCTTCTATCAAGTCAACATTGTTTGCAGCCCATCAGTCGGGATCGACCCTGCTCAACGCCTTCCGTCTTCCTCATCAGCCTGCGCTCTCCAGGCGTGAACTCTAGAAGCTATATGCACACTGGCACCCGGTCGTTGTTGCTCCGCTTACGCTCCCTTCGTATTTCCCCATCGCATTCCCCGGACGCCTCAATGCAAATACGGTTCTCCTCATAGTAGCGTCGCAGGTATTGCAAACCGACTTAGCAATATGGCTCTGCAAGTACTTGGTGGGCTCGTCCTCCTGGCTTCAGTATGTCGCACCCTCAATTCGTGCTTCACACTCGGGGATTCTGCTGATGAGACAGCCCTCGCTCAGATCGCACACCAAATCTTCAAGCGGTACAAGGCCTACTCCATTCGCGCGCACCTTGTCCTCCGCTGGTATCCACTCGCGCGCCACCCCGGTGCTTGGGACGGAGCTGCCGAAGCGGTGGATGGCGTGCATCGGCTTGGGCGGGTACGAGTATCTGTATATCTGCAGGTCGGACGAACAGTACGGCGAGGTCGTTTGTTTTGGTGAGCTTCCGTTTGTAGTGCAAGGACCGAGACGCACAAACTCACTTGTGGGGTGCATGCGACAGGCCCGAAGGAGCTGTCTAAATGATTCTCTCCGCGTACGCCGCAAGCCTCATCACAGGCACCGTTGTGGATGTGACTAAACACCCGCTTGCGTTTCGCTGCTGCTTTCGGAGCAATGGTCACTGGGACCGAATCACGCAAGACTGCTGACCAGCTGCGGCATGCAGTTGGCCGCAGTAGCTGCGAAGTTGATTGGAGAAGATGTAAGTGGCTCCCTACCCTTGTTTGACCCTCCCTTCCTCCATCGCTCTGTTTTGCACGCGCATCTTCATGCCGTACGAATGCGCTAGTCAATTATCTTGGACGTTCAGGCTTTACCGCCAAACATCTTCTTTGCGTTGTCTTACCCGCGTGTGCGATTCAGCGTCGTCCATGATCGTGTACGTATACTCGATCCCATTCGGGCAAAAGGAACATGTGCGGAGCCCCATATATGCACCTGGCTAGCCCACATGTCCCTTGTCATGCGGAATCACAGGAGCCACAGATTCAAGAGAGCGTTTCGCGCAGACTATGCGCATATATTGCCTATGCAGCCTCCGATGGATTTGCCACTCCCGTCCTGGTAAGACGCTTCTCAACTACAAATGCATCACTTTGCTGACTCTCCTGTTCACCAGACATGTGGGGACCTCTATCCGAGCGATGATATGGAGGGCTTCCTGTGCGGCCATAATTGCGCGGTTTGCCTCACGCTCCTCGATCCCCGTGTCGAGTTTGGCGTGATACGCTATTTGATCTGCCTCGTTTACCCTGCGATATGGACGCGCCCCGCAGCAGCAGGCTCTTTGTCGCCGTCCGCAAACGACGCGCTTTTGAGCGTCTGCTTCACAAGCCGCTCAGTGGCAAGCGACCGAAGCTGACGATCGTGACATCCACGGCGGAGACGCTCGGAACCTTGGGGAGAAGGCCCATCGGAAGCCGAGCTTGCATGAATGCGTTGGCGATGCATATCCTTTGCGTGACGAGGGTCGAGGTGCATGAGGCGAGGTAGGCGGTAATTGCGGATCGTACGAGGAAAAGATTCAGGGTGTGTATGTTTTTTCCTTGTGGTGGCACTCGGTTTGTTCTTAGCGTATCATGTTGATGGACGACTGTAGGATCGAGCTGCGGGCTCCACAATGGTCGAGGAGGTGGGCGGCCATCGTTCCGGACACCCAGGGAGAGTCGCTTGATTGCGGTTCCAGGCGGAAACTGTGGCGTTGCCGTCTGAGTGCAGGTCCTGTACCCAGAAGTAGGCGCTTGTTTGCAAGCAGAAGGAGGAGGCGCGGAGGCGACCGTCGGTGCGTCTTATGCCTTCGTTTGTCATGTGGAAGCTCTGTGTGGTCATGGGTGCCACAGTTCGCTCTGTATACAGGGCCAGCGCAAGAAGGACGCCGGGTTCTTGGTCATTGCTTTAGTCAACAAGGTATGCGGGTGGGCAAGAACCGCGCATCATAGGACGTCTAGAACGTAGTGAGGAAAGCCGGGCGGAAAGTTTCCTTCGCGTGACGGTCTTCTGCAGCGCTGAGGGGCTTTAAGGCTGCTCTGATCTGTCGCGAATCAACTGAGCTCGTTAATGTATTTCAGACAAGTACACGGGAGCAATTGTGTGACCAAAGAACCCAGCAGATCTCTATAGCAAACGGGTTGTGATATCAAAACAAAGGAGGTACTGTACTACTGTGCTTGAGTACGACAGCACGATGTGTCGAAGATCCTCACCTCGTGTTGAGATGTCCTTGACTGCTTTGAGCGACGGAGGTTTACGGAGCCTCCCGCCGCAGCGGCCATGTGTCCTACATCGTTAATTATTCTCGAAGCCTCGAGGCCGCAGTCAATAATTGTTTTCGGGTTTGTCAAAAGGTCCCGAACTGTGGAGAGCTCGAAATGCGGCATAATTCCTCACTTGGAAAAGATATGGAAGGAATATAAGAAGGCCCACTGCCGCGCCTCCTACGATCTGGCTTCGGATGACGCAATCGGCGAAAATGGCATTTCATATTCCCGTATATGTATGTGTGAACTACAACGCTGGCTAGCAATTAGAATCACCGTGGGCCCTTGTCACTATGTTACTCTTCGGTTTCTCCTATGTTTTGATATTCTCAGTGCCGGGCGGCTCGCAGGAGAGCGCATGCTGACATTTCAAGCAAGGGAATCGATACATGTGTCAGCCGATCAAGGTTCTTCAGGCGGGGATAGGAGGCGTTAACCGAAAAAAAGAGCGTCCCCGGGAAAACATCGACGTTCGTACCATATGACCGAGTCATGTTCGGTACTGAACCATCGTATCCATCGCTCCATGAAACCTTCTGTGACTGAACTCACATTGGCTTGGGGAGAGCGAACTAGAAGGTAGAATCAGGCGTTGTGAAGCTTAAGCTTCGTCCTCGGATGGGACGATGATACATCTAACTACGCCCTACCTAGGGCCCTGCGTGGTACGATGTAGAAATCATGGAACCGTGGCATCGTCAGTGAGGTGACGGGCCAGAGGTGAAAGACACAGAAGCAGGAAAGCATGGAACTCTCCTCATTCAACCGATCAAGCAGCTGCGCAACTGGGAACATGCCAGGCGATTGCCGGGCCTTGAACGATCGACGGTCACTAAGATTCTCCTCCCTACGGAGGGGTAGTTGCATTGTTCAGATGAGATGAAATCCCAGATATTGCTCGTTGCTCGTTGAAAGCGTGAAGACGAGATAGAAGTCGCAGTCACAGCAAGTAGAGTCGCCACATCAGGGGGAACAACCAGAAGGTTTTTTGCAACTCGGCAACGAACGTCGCAGCCACGCTCACAATATTGCCAAACAATGGGGTCCCTTTGCCGCCGTTTGCCTCTGGTACTGGTCGCTAAAGCCTGGAGACAGCCACACTGGTATGTGCCCATTTCAAATGTTCCACTGCCGTCCGTTTGGGTAGCATCAGCATCGCTCAAGTTTGGGTGAAGTTCCGGACTACCCATCTGGTCTCCTATCGACCGTCATACTGGACGGCATCCTTCGGGTCCTTGCCTTGATGATGCTCTCAGGGTGGGATCGTTGGAAGAACTTCTTTCTGGGGTCATTGAGTCAGCCGCAGCGGTACGTAGGAGTTCGCACGCACCCTGCATACGTGCCCTTGAGCTTAACGCCACAGCTAATCAAGTATAAGGGCTCGCTAGTACTTCTCATCGCCGCATTCGCAGAACTCGTTACACACCTCCTGCTCATCGCCCCTTGTTGAATGCGCTCATCAGTTCTCGACATATAGCTTTTGCGAACTCAATGCAATCAATATCGTGGCGAAATACTTCATCGTCATGGGAGACACTTGTATGGGCACTAAGCATCTCGGCGCTGGTACGTCCAAGTTCCCTCATCTTCCACTTAGGCCCAGCTGACCTTTCGGTTGCAGGCTGGGCACCAGATAATGCGGAAATATGACGGTTTCTTCCTGAAACTTCATGCCTCTGTTGTCCTACTTCCCCCTGCCGTCGCAGCGTGGTACGCCATGTCCCTCCAAATCGGCCAGATGTCCCTCGTGTCGACGATGGCCCTCTGCTACGCCATATATCTGGGAGCTCTATGCACGACGGTCGTTGCCTACAGGCTATCTCCCTTTCACCCATTGTATCGGTACCCTGGTCCGTTCTGGTGCCGGACGTCCATGTTCGTTCATGCTGTCCGCACAACCACCGGTAAACAGATGACGTATCTCAAGGCCTTGCATGAGAGATATGGGGATGTAGTCCGAATAGGTACTCCCATTTACGCCAACTCAACGGGATGATTGGTGGCTTACTACCTTATGTACACCAGGTCCTAACGCGATCTCCGTGCGGGACGCGTCCCTAGTTGGACCGGTACTAGGTCCTTCAGGTCTACCCAAGAGCGCATGTACGTTATTTATGAGCTGTGTCTACCGTATTTGAGATTTGACAATGGCGTTGACTTTCGTGACAGTCTTCACGGGAACAGTCTTGACTGAATCGAATATCCACTTATCTGGCATCCGGGACCTCGAGGAACATGCTATCCGCCGACGCCCATGGGTCCGAGGGCTTGCTCCCCCGGCTCTCAGAGAGTATGAGCAAATCGGAGCAGCTCGGATTTACCAGCTGGTCAATAGGCTAGCAGAGCAGAAGGGAGTGGTGATTCTGGGTCAATGGTTCAACTACCTTGCGTACGTCACACAGCGCCTTCCCTTGTTGTTTACCTGATGCGGGCCCATTCTAGATACGATTTCATGTCGGACATGGCGTGCGTTCCCTCTCAATGTACCACATCCGCTTTCAACACTCATATATCTACAGTTTTGGTGGAGGGTCTGAGCTAATGCGGGATGGAGATCAGACCGGTTTATGGACCACGCTTGAGAAAGGAACAGCGTGAGCAATATTCTCCTTCAATCATGTGTTATACTGATTCCCGCACCGTGCACAGCACGGCATTGTTCATGGGCCAAGTCCCATGGCTCGGAGTATACCTAGGCCACATTCCCGGAGCTGCAAGAGCCGTAAACGAATTTCTTGAGTACAGCCGGGAGCAAGCAATGAAACGCCTCGCTCGAGGATCCATCACTCGTGACCTTTTCCATTATCTTGTAAGCGTACTGTTATTACGCTGCCAGTGTCACCCCGAGCTCAGTGTTCTATGACAGGCCAACGAAGATCTTCCAAAGAAAGACCCGCCTCCCACGGCTCAGCTCCGCAGTGACGGTCTCCTCGTGATTCTCGCTGGTTCAGACACAACATCGAGTGGCTTGACGAGTGTTTTCTACGGCCTTATGACCGACCCCTCTGCATATGCGTGTCTGCAGCAGGAGGTAGACCGGTTTTATCCTCCCGACGAGGATGTCTGTACTACAAAGCACCATCGCGACTTGCATTACGTGACAGCAGTGATGTACGAACATGCCTTACAGTCCTGGAATGGTGTTGACTAAAGCTCGCTTTCGCAGCAACGAATCCCTGCGACTCTTCCCGCCGACTCCCACCAACAGCTCGCGCGAAGTACCACATAACTCCAAGTCTCTCATATATAACAATGTGTACGTTCCTTATGCATGTCATCCAAGATATCATCCTGAACTGTATGCATAGGCTTCTACCGCCTGGGACGCTTATCCACATCCCGCATTATGTCCTTCACCGCGATCCCCGGAACTTCGTCTTCCCAGACACCTTCTGGCCCGAGCGGTGGCTCATCGCGTCCGGCCAACTGGAGCTCGAGAGCGCGCGGCTCCCTCACGGTCTCACGCAGCCGCCCCCTGGTCACGGAAAGCCGAAGTTTGAGTTCGTACACAACGATGCGGCGTTCATCCCGTTCTCGATCGGGCCGATGAACTGTCCTGGCAAGGGGCTGGCAATGCAGCAGATGCGGATGGTCATCTGTGCGCTCGTGCAGAGGTTCCGGTTCCGATTGCAGGAAGGGTGGGACTCGAGGCGATACGAGGAGGACTTTAAGGACTACTTCACGGCCAATCGCCCGGACTTGCCGGTCCATATCGAGCCTCGGTATTGAAGGTAGCGAAGCTAAGCTTGTGTGCTAAACAGCGTTGGGAGGCTTGGAGAAGTGAGCCGAGCGACTAGACGCAATTGATCCCCTACATGCTGTCATAATATAACGTCGAAACAGGCTTTGAAGCCAAGACTAGACCTTTAACAACGTGTAAGACATAGGTCAGTGACTAAGTGGCAGATCGTGTGAGAATAGCCAGGCCGCACTGGAAAAGAGAGGTGATTGTGAAAGAACGTTGAGGCCTTCCTTGAGTACTCATGAACCACAATCAAGTAGCGAGTATTTGCCATCACCAGCCTTTCCGTCACAGCGTATAGGAGGGTGTCACAAGTTCAAACCGTACCACCACCGAGATTTTGCCAAAGGTATACCACATTGTGACCAGAGTATATACGTGATTCCATTAAGAGACTCGGTGCATGCGGCGCAACGTGCGGCAGGTAAACCTACGTCATGTCTGGTTGCTTGAGCTTTGGTTCAACCGATTACTGATTACCTCTAGGCCTCGTTGTAACGCATTATCTTATGGAGAGACCAGAGATCGTATGATGCAATAAGCCCCTTGAGCTTTGAAGGTGGCTGCAGTGATTGAACATCGCTTTATTATCCAAGTATGAGCTCCTCCCCACGCCCTTCTCTGTGAGCGACGTGGTTTCCAATACAAAAAATATCACACAATTTATATGACTGCTGAAGCCCCCCGGTCCTACTCTGAGTCCAGCGATTCCACAGTCAGATCATCGATATGGGCCGCAAGTGAGCCAAATGTGCTGGCGAAGTTCAACGTAGAGGAGTTTATGACATGTGATGTGCGCAAGGGGTTGTCGGAGATTTGATTGAGGGTCATCGCCTGATACGCCTCCTGGAGGTCCAACATGAAATGCGAAACAAGAATTGACAAGAGGCTAAGCACGTGGAAGGAGGTATGAATCAGGCAGCTGGCAGGCGGTTAACATTATGGAAGGATGGGGACGTACGGAGAGATGAGAGTCGACAGTTGGTCACCATCTGATAGTACGCTATTGATCTAAAGCTGAATCAGAGCTACCTCCTACATTTCCAAGAGCAAGATTAGCACGCACCGGGGGCTGCTGCAGAAATATGACTAGTACAACATTGATTATCAATGATACACTTTGCGATGCAGGGCTCAATGTCAGCTCTGAATTGATGGCAATATGCACCCACACGAAGTAAAGCATTCCTGTCGTTCCCTGTAAGTATGGAGTGCAACAGAGAGTGAACATGCAGAGACCGTCTCGAAGTAACACTCCCATGAGATCTGCCCTTGACATAACGCTCGCTGCCGTTCTGACACTTGTGGGACGGAGTTTCCACCAAGTAATCGCGATGAGTAGGATGTCAGCAATGATTGTAGCTGTCCGGTTGACGACGGCCACTGAAATACTGGCTCAGTTGATTGTTTTGCGGTTGCGCTTTAATTACCTACTTCTATGATAGCTTTGTAAATGTGCGAAGAGTTGAGTAATCAGGCAACGGAAATACATATAACCCAATGAGAGTGGATAATCATCGGATATCATACACCCAATGACCGGGTAGATGGTTCCAGAGGGGTGATATCCGAGGTTCACCTAGGTTCAACTCAGCATGCATTAGCATAAGTTAATATCCCAAAAGGGTCACGCACGAGCCCGGTCACAAACGGCAGAAACGAGAAAGTGAAGGCGACAATGGATAGTTCCCAAGACTGGCTCAGTGCAAATGCCCTCAAACCCGTGAACACTGCAAATCTCAAGTTAGTGGGAAGGATAGATATGGGCACCAGAAGTGCAACATACTCACATGCCGGTGCCACTCTGGCCAAGTACATGGACAGATCGGTCGCGACCTGGATCCTAGCGCAGCTGAGTACATACATGGTTGGTGAAGCTACGGAATATAATCTTGAATATTCGCTAATCACCTCTATCATTGTGTGAATCAGCCTCTGACATCTGATCCAGCAGGTTACGAGTGTACCTCTGTAGATAGCGGAGCATAGGCCAGCATACTAACCACCTGGCTGACGATATTGGTATACTTATTTGCAAAGTACAGACAAGCGGAGAGTGGCCGGGCATCTGTGTTGATGAACAACTCCATTTCACGAGGGAGGGAGATCACCCAGTCGTACAACACCATCACTGCGACAAAACTCGATCTATCGAACTGGTGATGCGAAGTGTAGGCGAACATACCTGCGATTGCGACGAGCCCATAATTGACAAAAGATCTAAGGAAGCGACTGTCAGAAGTCTTCCATTCAAGAGACCAGGCGACTCACGACCAGTAATAGGACGAAATAATGTCAACCAGTTCACTGTTAGATGGCCACGACATCTTGCAAGGAAATAGAAGTGAGGGGTGCAAAGTGCGCTGCTTCAATAGCTGCGCACACTTCCGAGTCTACCGCTCCGGACTATATACACCGACAGCATTGATACGGTATTTGAAGAGTGACTCTGGTCATCGATATTTATATCACGTCTCCGAGTGTATTTCCCTGCTTCTTTGTGGGTTCATGACAGATCCGTCATATCACCGGTAGTGTGCTGCCACGGTGGACAAGCCTTCGGTGCCATGAGTCGCACAGCTATTAGATCCACCTTACGTAAACTACCGCCATGCCTTGCTCACTGGCGGAGTCTTACTGTGCGCAGTGCAGAAGCTCCATACAGTTCAAGTCATATGAGATGGAGGAGGCAAGCCGCCTGGCTTCGATAGGCTGCGGAGAAGCATAGAAGACTTGCATTAAACACAGCCTGTTGTTAGGTACTGGAAGTTCGAGAAGTGTTCTCGCGCCGACGAGGGGATAATAACGAGTGAATTCCGTAAAGGGCATCAAGGTCATTGTCCGATCATGGCATGAATATTGTATCTCTTGCATCTTCGAGCTTGGACTTAGTGCTATGGGTCATGAAGATATACACAGCCAAACTCCTGGGAAACGGTATCTCTTGTGGAAATAAGAACAGCTCAGAAATCGAAGCCACGAAGTGTGGCCGTGCCATGGATGTTGGTCCTGAACCCTTGACGAGAAAGATCGAACGTGGTATTCCCAAGTGATGGCATTGTGTCAAGGAAAATGCCGGAATACACTTCCGGATCAGCTTCGATACTCCGCTCCCTAAGTCACAGCAAGGAAGCACAGGACATCACCTACCAAACTCTACGGGTCTCTCTCGGATGACGTCCGTCTTCATCTCACGGATATGTGGAAGTCACAGAGAGCCTCAAGGAACCCGACTGGCAATACAATTATAAACCTGAAATACCTCCAGCGGATAGCTTGAACATACATAAGGAACTTCGTAATGAGTTTCGGGCACGGAGAGCGATTCCCTTGCTGGTTCTCCTTTCATCGCACAGACAACGCGTCGTCCTCGGGTAAGATCTCCGACGAGCTTCCAGAGGGCTGTCCATTATGCTGTGCAGCGGAGATGGAAGGGAATGAGCAGAATTTGATTCGATCATGTAAGCGTCACGCCACAGCAAGAAGCAGTGCTCACCACATTCGATGTGATAATTGGGGCGAGCTAGTGCTTCTCATCCCTTTACGAACCCATGTCAACAGAAACGCATGCACCGTGTCTAACGTGTGTTCCTCAGGCCCGACTCCATTTGGACATCTCTTCTCATAAATGCTACCGTAGTCTATGAGAACTTGAAAAGGAGCACTCACACTAAGTTAACAGAGACGCTCCCTGACCCTCGGACGAAACCTGGAGGTAACGCGCAAGACGCGATGATAGAGCATTTCATTTTCTCTGAAGTTGTCTGCGTACCTCCACGTCGGTCAGGTGCAGTCGAGAAGTGAGGGGACTGTTGGGCAACAGCTATGATCACGTTACTACCTGCTAGAATTTCTGGTAGCTAGGGATTCGATCCGGCAACGGTTGACAGTGTTGGAATCCTGGCGTCAAGATGGCGAGCTCGCGGAACGAGCGCCACAGGTCCCGCCCCCCGACGGATACCCGCGCTCTTATCTACCCCTATTTTACTGTGTATATAAGGTCTATTGTATGTACTACGTACGACACGCGTTTGCACCGGCCAAACGCGAATCCCATTTGTGCCCGCTTGCCCTCGAAACTTCTTCAGACAGTTCAATTCAGGAATTTCTGATGTGATGGTGACTTGGCTCAGCCTGTGGATAAATTAGATAAGAAGAATCTTGCACTGGCAGAAGCATACGGGCTTCAGAGGGTAGAAAGGATGCAGATACTGGAGAATCTCACCGCAATATGAGCGCCTATTAGGCGAACCAAGTCGGTTCGCCTTGTATGTGCATGTTTGGTTCCCGTCTTGCGGAGTGCTCTTCGCATGCATTCCACGCTGCTCGGCGTCGTGTTCACCTCTCAATCCGATATCTGCCTTGTTACTCTGTCTCATGGATTGCCCTTGGAATTCAGCAAACGTGGTTTCTGTGCATCATGTTCTTCCCAAGCACATCGTCCTACTTTTCAAGTCCCGTGCAGCCGTCAGACCGTGACGTTGCGCCGCGGGCGGCCGCAGCTCTCCAAGCCTTTGTCGGAGGTGCGGTCAATACTACGGAATGCCCACCTACAGACGTGATTGGGGCTCCAGTCCAGAAACCACTGCACATAGCCCGGCATAGTGATCAACTAGGAGACGCACCAGAAGTGTGTCGCACGCCCATCGTCAGCGAGCGGCAGCTGGAGTCTGATGAACCTGTGTGAATTCTGGCTTGTTTACCAGTGTAAGGGCCCTGTGGCAAGACAGCTGCTACGGACATGTGACGGAGAATGACTAGTAATTCGTAGTATCCACTCCTCAATGCGTGTACGTTTACGATATCCTTCAATGGAAAATAGAAGCTACTATTTCACAACTCATGAGTACCCCTACTGACTCGCAGCGACTTGAGCCATGCGCTAAGCTCTATGACTGTCCTGGGACAGCTATCGTGTCCTTGAACAAGCGACTGAGGAAATGCCGCATGCAGGTCAGCCGCCGTAGCATCATGCGGAGCACCGGCGGGAAATATAGAGCTGCTTATAGGGGCACCTGGTGCTCGTGTAGGTGCTGTCGGCTCCATGGCTGTTGGATGCCTAGGATGAGCAAAGTCGCTGTGGGCGGCATGGTAGGTACCAGACATGCATTCATCGCCCTTATCTTTCCTTGGATGGTTCGTGTAAGCAGCTACTAAGTTGACGTGTCTAGGAGATGGTTTCAAAGGACCACAACAAGTCGAACGCGGGGAAGTCAAGGATGCGGCGAATTTGGCACGCAGGCGGTTATGCCACGGCTGTAAGAGGCCTCGGCGCAGCTTGTAGAGCCGCTACGGACAACAAATAGGATGGGAAGCCATTATAGTGAAGGAGGTCGAGAGAGTGTCTAGATAAACAGTGCATCTACAAGGTGGTCTCTAGCATGTTAATGGAGCAAACAGAGAGGGCTAGGTATGAGAGTCGTCAGACGGCACCTGCTTCATATTGTACATCAGTAGCATCCCGGGTACCCGGAGAAGGTGCGTACCCATATCACTTAGTTCATCTCGTGTGGCGCCAACTATAACCGTCAGGCCTTCGCTCATACCGTCCTAACACGATCCAGTATCGACAAGCAGGGGGACTCACGTTAAACGTACACATTCGCCTGAAGTACTCCGATCAGCCTCATCGCCCATACATACCGCACGCCCAAGACCCGACCACGAGCGAGGAGACGCACCAGATATATCTTCGCCGTATGGCTCATATGCCCCTCCAGCTTCGACTTGTCGTCCACAGTGTCCGGCGCCCACGACGCGAACGGTGCTTGAGGTCGTCCTCTTCCTCGTCGTCCATCTGCGCCGGGGATTCTGAGCGCGGTATACCAGCAGACATCTCCGCGTAGGAGTCCTCTGGAGCGCTGTCATATGAGAAGAAGAAGGAGGAAGAGGAGGCGGAGAAGGCGATGGTGTGGTCGAGGATGCGGACGAAGAGATGCTGCAGGTAGTAGTCGGTCTTGGAGCGTGGGTGGGCGCGCTGGTGGAGGACGTCTTGGCATGCAGGTCACAGACACGTTCAGACGTCGAGTTAGCACTGAGCACACAAGATCGTCGCGGATGAAGCGGCGCATCGTACTTGTGCGCGAGCGCTCTGATGACGTCCTAGCTGACGCCCCCGACATCACTCCACCGCACGCGCACCCACGGCTCCCATGCCCCGCCCGCCTCGCGCTCGCCCTAGGCCCCTCCGAGGTACACCGCTGACGGATGTGCTCATACTCAAGGAACGCGGCGGCAGAGCCCCGGCTCCGCACCGACGCCACGCCGCGCGTCGAGTGAGGACATGGAGCGGGTGGTGATGGCATTGCGAACGGCGGAACGGAAGTGGACAGTGAGGGAATATGAGCCGTCGTTGCGGGGTGGTGAATGGGGCGGTGGGGGATGTGGGCGGGGAGGTGTAATTGCGTTTGAGGTGCTGCTGTTGCGATACAAACAAACGATAGCGACCTCTGGCGCGCGTTGTTTCTCACGACATTCGACGAGCCCTATGCGACGGGCGGAGGGCCTGATTGGATGGCACATTGCACGTCTTGAAGTGACCTAGCAAGGAAAAGGCGTATGATTAGAGCGGAGAGTGCGGGCGGCTCATTATATCAGGCGACGGACGAAGGCAGCAACTATGTTCGCCGAAGCCGTCACGGAGTTGACGCTGCGCGACGCGCGCGCGCGTTCGAGACGATCATCTCTCTGTCGTGCATTCTGCCCCGGTTCCCTATGCCCCGACGCCTGTGTTACCTTCGTTAGCTGCGTGCTACCGGCACCCCGATGACGCCAAGCACGAGCTACCCCACCTTCCCACTCTTACCACAAGCCGTTGACTTACCCGACTAGACCGAAACTTGAACACGAGGGCACGCCTTTGGCCAGTCCCTCCGTGCAAACAACACCGCCGGCTCGAGTTCTTGAAAGGCCTACACATAGAAGTCACTTCTACGTTCTCCGGCGACAAATGGTACGAGGACCTCTCCGGCAAGCTTCTCAACTAGCCAGAGTTCCGCCAGATGCAGGCCGCGGGGCGCATTATCGCCAGGACCTGTGATACCATCAGTAGGCTCTTTCTCTTTAGAACCGCTCTGTAACCTTTGGGAAAAGTCCCTAGCTTTCACCATGTGCCTGCGTAGTACCCGGAGCTCCCGTGGTCTTTGTATCTTCGGCCTGTTCACGGACATCGTTGAATCGCCCCTACACACAAATCACAGTCATTCGGTGGTATTGCCATACTGATCCTCGTCACAACGCGCCCATAAAATCCCTTCTGGCATAGTAGTACATGCTCTCTGTATCATTGATCCTTCGGCATCAGATCCGGAAGCTATCCAACCTAGCCTTGATACTCTCCAAGCACTTTCGCCTTTCTTCCAGGCGCACCCTATCGTCCCTTATCCGAGGGTCCTCTTCGAGTAGCATCTGGATACGCTTGGACGCGTTGTCACCTCCAAGGTCCAGCGCGTCCAACAGATATGTTTGCAGGCTATGCGCAAAGCCTTCTACAAAGTCACGGTGTATCGTCCGGGGGATCTCGTCGATCAATCGCTGTGTGCAAGATCCATGTCAGAGACAGATGATAAGAGAGAGCAGGGAAGACGTGCTTTGTATGCCACTTGAAAGTAGCCACGGACGTCCGCCATCACGTTCAGCTCATCTACAAACTCGTCTGGGGGCAGTAGCCGATGCAGGTCCCCAAAGCTGATGTTCCGGAACGGTCGCAACGCCCTAAGCGCATTGAGTGCGGTATACTCGGGGGCTGCGCAATCGAACATTTGTTCAGCCTTCTACCATATAGACACAGATAACGCACTTTTGGGGCGGGATGGTAGACCCGGCATGTTGTATTCGTACGCCACATGTCGGTTGAGCCTATAGTCATTGCGGCAAGCTCGTATCGCCTTGTAATGACCCATCCAGAGGTCTCGCGAGGTCTCGAAGTAATGTCCGTTCTGAGTGAAGTAGGGAGTCTCCTCGCGCTTGAGAACATCTTGCACCGAGGTTTCCGAATGGCGAATGTATTCTTTCATCTTGCTGAGAAGTCGTTCTCTGTATAGATGCGTGCACGTTTCAGTGGGAGACGAAGCACTCAGTCGTCGGATGCGCACCTCACGAAGCCCTGGAGAGCCGAGTACTGGGCAAAGTGGAGGGGAATCAACTTGTCGAACACATACTCGTCCAGGACCCTCTGCATGCGCAAGAAACAGCGCTGGGAAGGGTCCGACCAACGCCGCACGAATTGCCCAATGAGTCGAGTTTTGGCAGAATAAGGGATGTTGTGCGGGAGCTCCCAACTCGTCTCCCTGGAGAATCTTATGAAAACCTTTTCGTTCTAGATGTAGGGAATTGTGCTTACTCCTTGATCACTTGTCTCACGTCCATCAAACCCAGTACAATACCCTCGACTTCGTGATGCACTTCAATCGGTGAAGCAGGCACACTGATTTCGATGACTGGGGAACCAGGTCTTGTCTCACTCGACGGAGGAGAGGCCGCTCTTGGACTTTCCACAACTTGCACTGAGTTCTCCTGTACAGAGCTCGGATCTCCGGGCTTGCAAAACTGTGCTGGGTATTCAAATGGTCTGAAGTCGGGTGCCGTGGCGCGTATGGAAAATTTGAGGGAATTGTAAGCCTCGCGGCTACGATGTACGAAGCTCTTGTCCTCGCTAGTACCCTTCGCCGTAGCTATGACAGATTCACAGAATGCGCTGATGAGCTGAACGAGCTCGGAAGCAGTGTTCCTGGTACGCTGCGGAGGTAGTCTACGGAACTCCTGGAGACAAGAATCCAGTAGCTGATCGACAGTAGCCTTTAGCCGTGGGATTCTAGTCAAGCATGCATTCATCGGAACTGAACTGACACAATGGGATATTAGAGGACTTACGCATCAACAAGCATCTTCAAGAGCAGGGGGCTAATGTCATGGACTAGAGCCTGCACCCCTAGGCGCCCTGGACAAGTCGCTCTCAAGTCCATCCAAGGAGCGACTGTATCAAAAACACGACTCGCTTGTTGCTGAGCCTCGCGACGAGTGATATTGTCAGCACGCTGCTTGTCATCGGGGAGGGATACGGCGTAATAACCGAGACGGAGCTTATGCCTGGTTGCGCGGCCTTCAAAGAGATCCTTCCATGCCTTCTGTCGGCCAGTCGCACTAACGCTTACTCTGTCTGCCTTCGTGACAATACCTAGAGTCACACGTTGACATCAGTAAAAAGGGGAGAGATGAAGATCGTCCCCACCGATGGTACGCTCTCCGCTTTCATCTGCCGTTTTGGCCAACTTCATCGCCCCCTGGTTGTCAAGATCATCTAATATAGGCCTCAGATGGAAGATGCGCTCATAGGGGTTGCTCTTCGGCGTACCTTCTGCAGGAACAATGACCAGGATAATGGTGGACGGACGAGAAATCGACTCAGAAGCCATCTCCTCGACCATGTTGATGACACTATCATCTTCGCCGGACTGGATGAGGCCTGTGGCACGCTAAGTGTGCGATGAAAGAAGGACAGTTCTGACAACATACCAGGGAGGTCAACGAACATCAGGTCCGACCCTTCCGGGTCGGAGATCCTGATTTCTATCGCCTTCTTGCTAAACTTGAGGACATTGCTGTCGACGCTGGAGTCAGCGATGTCTTTAAGCTCTTCACGATTCTTAGTCTTGAAGGTATCCGTGGAGATGTGGGGACACAGTACGGCTGCCTGCGCCCGACGGATCCAGAGCTCAACTTGGTCCTTGGAATGGATGATGCCACTGAACTCTTGGCTGCTGCCTCGGATGGTGACTGTACAGGACCATTCTTGTGAGTCCGCTGTGATTGTGCATTCCGTTGGACATCTGTATAGGCAAGCAATAAGCATCGTCGCTGGACAGCAAGAAAGATGTGGGTAAGATTACATACCGAGTACATGTTTCGGCATCACGAGGGACTTTGATCTGATGTCATACACATGAAGCGTTATTGGATCTCAGGAACGAGAAGTGCGCACCCCAGTGACAGCTTCCACAAGCGAGCTCTTTCCCGCTGACCCCAGAGTACGATCAGCCTAAGCGCTTGTATCTAAGCGCAGTACAACCTACCTGACTGCTTTCCAATCACGGCAATCTGAGGAACATCGAGCTCCTTTTCAGACCTATGTATGCATGCCATTAGTGAATTTTTCTGCGGTGTGTCAATATTGATAGCCTGCGTACCCGAGCGCACGCAGGTCGTGGACGATCTCCAAGAGCTCCCTGCGCTTGTGCGCATACTCCCTATGCAAGATGCTAGTCGGATCGTGGTCCTCACGGTCCGTCTGGGCCGGAGCGACCGGTTCTGAAGTACGATCCTCGTGCTGATTGTTTGTGGTGGTGTAGGTCGCACTCGTGGCAGTGGACGAGGAATTGCCTTGGCGGGCATCGTGAGAGTCAGCACCCTACAACTGGGTAAGTGCTATCTCGCTCTCCACTTGAAGCTAATCCTATGATGTTCACGCACGTTTGAGCCTTTCGTCTGCCTCCTGCAGAGCAAGGAGCCATATTTCAGGGACAAATTGTGCGCATAGGGTAGCGTTCAAGATGGGGACGAACCTGAAAAATGACATGCTTGAAGCTGGAGAGGCGAGGTACAACAGCTGTGCCGCGTTTTCAGACTGAGCTTATATGCGACCAGGAATGCGACCCATGTGGGTATGTCGTGTACCTCCATCTACGCGCGAAACAAGGGCTGCCTTCGATACGAGCGCTATGAAGAACACGTGGTGCACGCCGGCAACCAGATGACAGTTGCTGCGGTAGACCTGCAGTAGATGCAATGAACGCTACTCAAACAGATCCACATAAGAAGAGACCCGTACACTATGAACGTTTGTCGATGATGATGTGATCTGGGTCTGAAATACGGCTGCAAGCATAGAGTTCAGTCTGCATCGTGACAGAGGTCTGCCGCTCGCTGTGCTCGAAATAGAAATGGTGTCGTACCATAGCATGAGCCAAGGGATGTCAGGGTCTGAAGGAGACACTCGCAAGCGAACATCGGCTTGGAGAAATTGGCACATATGCCCTAGCACTCTCAGTTCGTCATTCCACATGCTTATTTGAGGTTGATCGTCCCCTCCAGACAACGCATTCAACCACGCGGCGCGAGCTGCAGATCAAGCTTGGCGTAAGATCAGCGCTCCTTCTCCGAAGACAAGGTAGGAAGTTCTGCATAAGGAACAAGATGTCTTGAACGTCATACCACAGGCACCGCATTGTCAGATGAGGGCCGGGTGCCCCAAACGATCGCCTAAGGCAAGGGACGGACCTGTTAAGCGAAGTGACTGCGTAGGGACAGATCGCACGGTGCTAGTGCCAGGTATCAGGTGCAGGAGAATCCAGCGGATATACTCTGAAGCCTGACGGGTAGCGCTACGCACTGAGGTCCTGAGGAGAGAGCCTGCATCGCCCCATGAAAGAGCAGTAATCGAGGTCATTACTTGGGGAGGAGTCGAGGTCAGGTACGAGGTGAGCGAAACCTATAAGAGCTCAGGGTTTGATTTGGATGAACAGTATCAGCTGAGATGGGGGCGACAGCTCACCGTAGTCGGAAGGGGATTACAACGTACGGCGGTCAGATAAGACAAAGGCGCGCGGTGATAAGCAGGGGACTTATATAGGCGTTGATCTGCCGCAGCGGAATAGAGCGGATTGGATTAGAACGTCTTGATTGCCATCGTCAGGTAAGGGAGCGAACATGACACAGAGGACGGAGAGCAACACACAGGATCAGGATTCTCTTCTGGATTACAGAGCATGGAACCGAGATTATAACCTTTCCCGATCATGCGAGGAGACTTACAATTGAGGGCAAGAACATGCATCATGACAGTATGGGCAATGATCAAACAGGATAATAGATGCAGTCCACGAACACCTCCCAAAAAACCACGGAGTCAGGATCCTGAGGCTAACAAAGGAGAAATTCCGGATAGCTCTGCAGGGGGAGACGAGCGAGGTGCGAGAGCGTAAATGGGGATGACAGTGAATACCGTGATGTCGATTATCGCTGATGTCGCCGATATGGAACCGACAACGACAAGGGACACACATGCAGAACCCCGCAATCCCTGGAACGAGGGGATCGGAAGCGACGCATCAAAGGGCGACCTATGGCATGGCACTAGCAACCAACCGCCGTCAGGTCGAGTGAACAAGGACAAGACAGAGACTAGGGGCAATTGAGGATGACACGACGATCCGCTGAGACCGTCCCTAATGGGCGTGCCGTGCTCCTGTCAATTGTCGTGATGTCTTCAGATCAACATATGCATGGGGTTGGTTGGAGAGAAAATGGGGTCTGGAACGAGTGGGAAGGAAGTCGACGAGGATACGAGCCAGTTTGCAAGGACTGCAGGATTGAGCCGATTGTGGTGTTGTTGCATACCAACCGATAGCGGGCTAAACGTGCGATTGGTGGGGACCGCCGGCGAAGACTTGCGGATCATGTGGCCCAGGGAACGATGCCGGGCCGTTGGGGGTCGCCTCGTGAGTCAGTGGAGGTCAGTTCGAGGTCGAGCGAACTGTACCATTGCTCAAGCTGGGCATCACTTGCGATTTCTGCGATCTCCCTTGCGATGGACTTGCATCACTCACATCTGAGGAAGCACTAACGGAGCCCTCTACACAACGCGATGAATAGTCAGCTACAAGCTCTGACCGGTACAATGACACTGTAACCCACTTACCCAGACTACCTCCGTACGCAGGAACCAAATTAGACTGGATCTCGCTCACGCCGTCCCTAATGAAACCTGCAACGTGCGAGGGAAACGTCAACAACTCTCGCACAGGGGTAGACTCCGACAAAAGCAGCTCCACCTCTGCCTCGGACGCGCTCTGCGATGGGGATCCGATGAAAAGCGGCCGCATGAAAGTGTTTTCCAGATCGACGGGAGTGATGGCCCGCTCGCGGCTTCCGTCGTCCTCGCCTGGGTCTTCTGTCGTGTGGGTAAGCGAGACATCAGCGCGGCTTCTGACATGTAGTATCAGGCCGCGAGACTCACCTGAATGCCTCTCCGCATCAAGTGGCCGCTGAGTAGTGCTCGCTTGCTTCAATAGCGCATACGTCAGGATGTCATCCGGGTTGATCGAGATAATTCCGCCTCCAAGGGTGGCCGCCCACCGCGCCGCGTCCTCGTACGTCAGGCTAGGATGAGATTTGAGGAGTGTATCAAGCTGGGAGACGACACTGACGTTAGGTAGGGCATTGGGAGCCTCTTTTGACAGCGCAGCACGGTCAGGACGGGACGCGCGCGAGCTCTGGCCAATGCTTGTGATGGCCCTAGTGTCTTCATGCGTCCGACGACGTTGTCACTACGCGCGCAATGCAACAAACGTGAAAGCGAGACGGTACCTCCAAAGCGTTCCCCAGGCAGCCTCCCGTCCTCCTGCAAACGGCGCATGGCCTTCGGAACGTGCCCCTCGCGCGTCTTGAACCGCATGTTCCCAAAGTACGCGTACACCTGGCGCGAGGTGTAGTGTTCGCACCCAGGGATGTCCCTCACCCTCTCCGCCAGCTCCGCACGAGCATCTTCGTCCGGGTGCTTGTCGACGTTGCAGAAATAATCTGGGGAGGGTGGAGAGGAAGGGAAGTCATCGTGAATCAGACTCCGATCGACTAGTCACTGTATACAACATCTCCATGCAGCGCGTGAAGAACGCGAAAACAGGCTCACCGTTGAGGATATCATACGCAGCATCGATCAGGTGTTTTTTCTTCTTCTCGCCCCTATCCCTCCCCGGCTCCCACTTCTTGCCCTCGTTCTCACCTCCCTCCTCGTCCGGCTCTGGGGAGCAGCGCTCGCGCCGAGGCCGTCCCCTCGTCTTCGCTTTCTTCCGCGTGGGACGACTACTCGCGCCTTCGGTCTCGCTCTCATCCGGGACTCGACGAGATTTGCGCTTCTGCGTGGACCGGCGATTCGGAGTCTTGCTGGTGCTAGCAGCTGCGCTGGGCTCTTCCGCCCTATCGTGCATAGAGTTGACCGTTAGGCGGAGGTTGCTTAGGTTCACGCTTGATGACATCCTATTAGTGCTGAGAAGGCTGGACTGGCGATGTCGACTGGAGGAAAGGACTCAAGGCTCAGCGCGGGGAGAAAGCGCGATGATGATGGATTGCGTCAGAGGCGTGTGCACCAAATATGGAACACGAGCGCTGAGAACGCAAAGTGCTTGTCTTCCTCCATCTGCCCCCCGCGACGCCTGTGGCGGCAACTCAAGTGCATGAACAAGTAGGTTTGCCCGCTAGCTTTTCTCTCTCTGTCTCTGCCCCTTAGGCATCGTCGCGAACTAGCTGCACACGTCCTGCGCTGTGTAGTGCGCTAGACCGGGGATGAACCCCACGCGTTTTGCGAGCAGAGCACGCGCGAGCACGTCAAGGGAGGGAGACCTTGTTGGAATGGGCTGTTATACTGTGAGAAAATGGAAGACAGAAACTCGATCAATGTCAGACGTATCTTCGAGGGCATTCAATGCAGCTTGTGTAGCGGGCTCTTGTGGGACGTCCCTTGATGAAGCGGTACGTTGTGCACGGCTTGCAGCATTGCGGCCAGTGTAGATGCCACCAAGGGTTGTGCTGGTCGGGTCAACCCGGGCGGAGGCGCAGAGCTCTGAACATACAACCTTCGGAGAGCGGTGAGCGCAAATAGCACTCTGTAACCAGCGATGTATGGTACCTACTAGTTTACAACCGGTGCGGGCGTGGAGAATTGAAGTCGTTATTATGACGATGATGAGAATATTGTAGACATGCCTATCCCATCGTCCTGACCGTGCTCCGACTAGGGACCGTGACTATATCTGCATCAAACCCACATGTACGGGCATCTCAGCATACTACTCCGGTGATAAATTGTCCTTTTGTGATTGGAGTATTTCTCTATATGCATCGCCGCTCTGTCCCATTGATACTTCGTGAAGGGTGACTTGAATATGGTGGAGAGGGATTTCTGGGGCGACGGGAATGGTGCCGTCCGTGAGGTGCGCCTCCCATTGCGACTTATTCAGAGCAACAAGAATGATAATGCTCATCGGGTACATGCTCTGTAGCCAAAGCATCAACTGATCTATAGCAACGGACGTCGAAGACACAGAATGCACAACTGACCACGAAAGCACTCAGCCCTCCCTGAACAAATATGAATAGGTACAGATCCAAGTTCGTTACTCCATTGCTGAACGGAGTGCCGAACTCGGAATTGCCGGCTCTGAGCAGATACACTACGGGCGGTAGCTGGGAAACTCATCAGCGAGAGCAAGAAGCAGATACAAGACAGGTTTGTGGAGCTTACCCAGATGATGATGTATATGACTCCAGATTCGACGAGCAGGGCCATGACCTTCCCGACTCTGGTTCTATAAGAGGCCCCGGAAAGATGTGATCGCATTGTCGGTCTATATTTCCTAAGACAGCTTCATGAGTCTCTCGAAGAACCCAGTAAGTCAGAGGACTCTGACCATGCCTTGAGCCCTATGAGAGATGTTGCAATGGCATTAAGTGCAACCGAAACCACAGTTGCAGGGGCTGCCCAACTGAAACCTGAAGATAAGAATTCCGCTGTTCTTGAACTAGCCGCTGCTCTGACATCCAACGTCAATGCACTAGGGAGATTCCATGTACCACAGACATGGACTGTGTTGACCACGCTCATAGCTAACAGAGAAAGGGAGTGAGTGCCTTCTAACGTTGGATTAACCGTTACATACCACATGTGGCAGCCAATAGAAAGAATCCGACCATGTATATTGAACGGTGTCCTCCGCAAATCACGCAAACCCTCCATCATACAATGGCATCTCCAAGGGTGACCTGCCAATGGATCGAAAGGCTTAGATCATCTTTCACCAGAGTACTCCACGAGTCGACTAACGTTAATGCTCAAAGTTGCCGTCCCCACACACATTTGCCTAGCCCATGCCCTGAGCTCCCAGGACGAAGTGTGGTATGACGAGAGCGCGTGGAGACAGACAGGTAACGCTGATGCATAGCATTCAGAGTTTGAAGTCTGCAGCCCGTCTCTAGTCCCGTTGCTTAGCATGCCTCCTTGGTCGAGTGTATATACCGTGTTTTGAAGGACATATATCCAGTAGCCAGCCCCGGAGATGTACATAGCGACAACGGCGAAAATGATGGCTTTTGAGGTTGCCTGCTTTGTATTCCTTTGGCTGAGACCTGCGTCACAACAAACTCCACAACGCAGCTGTATCAACAGGCACGCACATGAGTAGATATAAGGCAACTGCGGAAAGCAGCGTCAGACAACCTTATGACCCATTGAGCTCCCAAAGATCCGCTGAGGATTACACTGTCTTACCGGTTGTAAGGGATGAGATGATAGCAACGAGAACCTGGTCCTTTGTACTTTGGCCATTGTGTGTGAGGACGTTGGGGGAGACACCTTCCATGGGACAGCTATGAGATCACGGGTTTGCAATACTTTCCTAGAGTGCCAGAGCTTCTGAGAAAGTTCTGGTGGCAAAGCTGATGCGAGCGGATCTGCGCCATTTGACGAGCCTCTGCACATGTATATATCACGACTTCCAGCCATATTCGCATCGGTCATCGCATTACACCGACCCACACGTACCGCTGATGTACAATGCTAACCAGTCTCTGACGCGTGAGCTCCACCTAAAAGTTTCCCATGGCTCGGAGATGAACAGGGAGCCGGTCCGAGTACGGGGACTCAATACGATACAGCGCGGAACATTCAAAATTTCCCGGAGTCATCGGTAGTTCTGTCAGCGATGTCTATATGAGGGGATGGGTTTCCAGATCATAGCTGGTAGGTGGAACGCTTGATTCTCCGCGTAGGATGGACGATCTAGGGTAATCGAGTCACAACGTGAGATACTGCTCCAGAGCCAGCCAATGCGCTCATGACCGTACGACCCCGGGAATAAAATCCACTGTGATGTGGATGACCAATGTCCGTGAAACGGAGATAGCTGGGCGATACGCGCGTGGCTCCCACGTTACTTCAGGCTAGTCAATAGCGGCAACGAACAGACAACGGCTCAACATGCGTCCCTTAATTCTTCACGATGTTCCATTATATGGGACCTCTAAAATCTTATCGGTGTCAATGAGAAAGAGGGCGGTTTGCACATCCATTCCATGGTGATCCTACAACGCCCAGACTACTTCATTAACAATAGCCATGAAGCACTGGAACAGGCACGCATAGAATGCTCATAAATTATCTCCTCCTAATACTGACCCTAGAGACTCTTTACCTGTGATACAATCCGATATTTGTGTTAAGCGACCAGCGCAATGTCGCCACTATGAGCAGCATACCGAATCACAGCATAGTTACTCCGGTCTACAAAGCTTGTATACTTTTCAGCACCATCCAATCTTCTTTGCAGGTTTCCCCTACCGAGAATCCACCATATGCTCCAGGAAAAGTCGAATCAATCTAACCCCGAACCTCAAGTTCATGCTAAAAGAACAATGCCCATTCACGTGGTCGATGTTTGCTTCAAGACATGACTGTACTAGGAGTACTCACGCTCACGAAGAGATTGTTTCAGAGCGTCCGCCCGTAGACTATTCTATTGCGGGCCTGCTAGAAGTAGGTTTAGAAGCGCCGCGAGGTGTAGCCAGTGTTCTGCGATGTCGCGCCGACTGCATTCACAAGCGCCATCAGTCTACCTGAGATGCGTAGAGACGTCAGTTACGAGGACCGCTGCCATCAAGCAATCTTTGTAAAAGAACCAACAGGTATCAGGTAACGTACCTCCAAGTCTGTGTAGCCTATGGTTCATGTAGCACATCGCCAAAGAACTTGTCGCATTTTATCGATAGCAGCTTGTGCGACCTCGCCCGTGGCATGAGTCGCATCATTTGCTATCTGCACGGTGAGTCAAGGCAATGAGTGCGTCTGACAGTTCATTCCGGAACACACCATATGCAATACAATCGGACTAGCCGCGGTGAGAGTTTGATCTCAATGGAACCTGTAGAACGGCAGCGATGCGGAACGTGCGGCAAAGCCCTTAAGCGCCCTCCGGCGAGCGACGCAGTGGAGCCAAAAACACGTGATGTAACGAGTTGGGACATCGACGCGCGTTGGGCACGACGTCTTCTTCCTACGTCCTGGTGTGATGTCTATGTCGCATCTGCAGCCTTTCTCTACAACTAGATCCTGCCATGACTGCATAGTGGATGAATCTCCTATACTATAGCCAAATCTGCTCACACGCTGGACCAGAGGCTCGCTGAGTCACCTAACTTGAACCTGGCCCGGGCCCGACCCGCCTCTGCACACGTCTAGGTAAGCTCTCTGTTCTCTGTTATCTCGCACACCGATTGCTCTTGACTGTCCCGATTGCCTTTGTTTCCTCCGCTTTCCCTTAGATCTTTCCCTTCATTACGACATGAGATGAAGCGCTTCGCGACTGCCCCTCCTTGACGGGGAGACTTGTGTCAACATGCCCACTTTCCACCCCTTCCGCCTCTCTGCCCACGAACACTGGCGGTCTCAACGCGCTTTCCGTTCTATCCGAGATCTATCCCAGAGCAATCTGCTTATAGGGAGCCGACGCTAGCGCCGGGAGATCAGGTTCGTGTTCACGTCCACCGCGCCGCCTTGCGCCTCAGCAAGCATTGTCAGGCGCCAAGGTCATCATTGTCTGCCGCAGCGGCGGTTCGACATGTCTGAGATGGCAGTACCGCCCTGCGGCGGATCGTAACTTCATCCCGACTCTCAGGAGCGTCGACGTCGCTCACGACTGCCGGGTGCCTGGGTCCTCCCACACCTGACACTGCTACTAGATCCTTCTCCCGGGATGCACACTTGGATCCTCGCTGCCTTGTTGTCAATCCCTGCTGTAGTGGCGGAGGCGATCTCGGAGATTTGAGCACCCAAGGTCGTCATCATTGGACGATCTTACGACAGAGTAGCCCGAGCACTGCAAAGATCCGCTACGCTAGACTGAGTTATGATTAGCATACACCCACCACATGGTATTTGATCGCGCTGTAAGTCACCGAATGCTATGGAATACCGGTCGATCTCCACCCACTATTCTCGGAATCCACGGGTAAAGCCCAAATTACTTTGACAAAGTGTGTCGAAGTCCGTCCATCTCTGACTCGCCCTAACTGCCAGGTACAGTCTTTTCACGTGGCCAGGAAGTGCTGGCGTCATCCCCTGTCCCGCCTTAACGTTACGATCCTCGTTGATCTCATGTCTGGGTGATTGTCGCCCTCGATACCCATCTCTCCCAAGTTCTCGATTCATCCGCCACTCACACACAAGTTTCGCATCTCAGGTCTAGCGACTCAGAAACAGCATCCGCAGTTGACGCTGCGCGCTGGATGTACCCGCTCCTGCCCACCGCCCCTGTCGCGAACGCAGACGTTAGGCCTGCTTGGCTGTAAATAGTTCTCCGCTTATGATCAACGGGGACCCACGCACCGCAAACGCATGTACGCTATTCGATGTCGCAACGCCAAGCTCGACATCCGCCTCCACCTCAGCCTGGGTTGATGCAACCAGCGCAACCCTTGCTAGCATTGACGCTGGCCGCAATGCTGCAAACACAACGTACCGCTCACCAAAGACATCCATCCCACAAGAGCCCAATGCTACAGACTGCATCGAGCATCCTCATGAGTATGTCTATCATCCATCGCGTTGTTGTGTGGCCGCGTGCTCATGGGTGAACAGCCTATTCCAATGAAATCTCCTAGTCTCCCGACGTTCCTGCGCGGGTGAACGCGTGAAACGTATCTTCGGTATAGCTCACTGCATAAGGCACAACGTATGCCTCACCAGAGGTCGCGCAGAGCTGGGCAAAGCAGCTCAGGCTCGGAGTGTCTATACGCTCATGATGGTGGTCACGAGGCGGCGAAGAGCGAGCAGAAGATACGGGCTACGCAGGCTGCCAGTGTGCGATCCGAGGTGAGCATGGATCCCAAGCCGTTGTTGGTTGCCTGAGATGTGTCGATGGGGCACGACATTTGGAATGGCCAGGGCGCGCGCCTTGCCTTCGTCTACGCCGTCCGTTTCGACTTTGCAAAACCCGTCAAGATCGCATGTGACCGCAATATCTCCGCCTGCATTTCAAACCACGTCGTATCTTGCCCCTCCTCAAAAGGGTTCTAGTCCTAGTCCTTCGGTCCCATCCTCTAGTTCTGCAAAGTCTGTACTCACGAAGCTGAAGGGAGTCAAGGCACGCGAGAACCTGCTATGTCATCCACGGTGATATTACTCATTATCAGCGTCCGATAGATATGGATGTCACTTCAGCGCACGAAGACACCATCATGGTGGACAAGTTGACCGCACCCGCAAGAGTACCGGGTGCTTCTCTGAGTAAGTCCACATCACCCGGAGATGCCTCCATGCTCTGCATCCACCAGTTGACTGCGAGCGGCATACACTGGGTCGCTCGTCGACGAACGTAATCGCTATTCAAGGACGTTCATTGACCTTGTGGAGTGGCTCGAATTGTTGCAGTAGGAATGCTTATCTCTTCCAGTATCTCTTATTTCCCCAGTGTCTAGCAGTCACGGCGCCGGGTGTAGAAGTACATGTATTGAGGTCTGCATACCGCGAATTCCCGTTCTTTACCGCCATGTGTCTATAGTAGCTATCTCGTCACAGGGTCCTTGCGCCGTATTAGGAGCCACAAGCTACGCAATTCCTCCAGGCTCCATCTTCCAAGTGTCGGCGGTGTGCGTGCTGGACTCCTTAGACCCGTCTCGGACTTGATCCCCTTGCCGTGCTATATGCAGCACAGTCGCGCCTTGGGACTGAATGCCGTCCAAATGTGATAGCTGGGGGGTCTTGACCGCACCCCCACTGAGGAATACCACCATATGCGACCGGTTTTGTGCGACGAGTATGATCACGACGGCCGGGTAGATGGCCTTCGGAGGTTTATGAGAGGTGCATTCCTTGAAGGAGCTTCAACTCACAATGATAGGTACAAGTCCTCCGCTGATGAAGTAACCGAATTGGTAGTAAAATGCTTGAAAGTTCGCCCCGTTTGTCGGCACGTATGAGGAGAGCTGCCAAACAACCAAAAGCATCTGCAAGCAGGACATTGAGTCTCGCTCCTGAGATGTCGATGCAAAACACTTGGCTCACCCAAATAGCACAATACACCATTCCGGTTTCAAGTAGTATAGAGAACAGCCTCTCCATTCGGGCAGTCGTGTCGCCCCATACCACCAATCTCCGAAGGAACCTTCTCGACGTCCTGAAAGGTTGGTGAGATACTGGATCATTGCCGTTGTCGACCTGAGAGATTATTTACCATGCCTTGTACGCCACTATAATGGTTGCAAATACATTCACGCTGAGAGACAGCATAGAGGCGGCGATGCCGTATGGCGATCCCTGATACATGCCTCCCGACTCGCTGGCATTGATGTTCAAAGCCTGCTGCTGGGGAAGGGAACATACGAACCCGAGATCCACTGTTCCCAGAGCTAATGACCCGGAGACAATGGTTATGAGAACATACAGAGATTTCTATACCATCACAAGCTCACCGAAAGTTGTCATCAACAGCATAATGGAAATAACTCGTACAACACGGTTTCCAGGCCAAAGCAACGAAGCTCGCCAGCATACAACTTATCAGTAAACATGGGAATCACTTAATACGTCTTAAACACGTGTTTAAGGGCATTAAGACGCCTAAGACGGCATTAAGCGTCAGTAAGTCGTAAGAGTTAAGATGCTCGATTAAGACGGATTAAGACGATTAAGATGGGCGAGTGCAAAAACGTTCTGCATCATCATCGTGCACGCCGGCCTCTGTCATAATGTCTGTACAGGCTCCAATTGACCTCTCTTGGTCTCTCTTTCTGCTACACTCCATTATTTGGCACGCTGTACGGAGTTGAGGGTGAGCAGCTCGAAGATATGCGTGGGAGAGCTAAGTGCTTAAGGCGCTAAGCCATTAAGCTAATGCACGGTTTACTGATGAATTGAATCGCCCAAGAGCATCTTGGGGAAACGTCACAAAATGAGGTGTGATAAGAAGACCAGCACGTACGTTGACTGTGAGTGCCGCCGTATTCGCACAGACTCCATAGCTGTTGGGACCAGAAGACAATGAGTCTAATATTGCCACTGGGAACTCGGATATGGGCCAATCATTCCAGATGTATTGAATAGACGAGATCATGCTCTGAAGAATATCACCCTGTATTTCTAGAACAGTGGTGACGACAGCCAGGGTGGTGGATGCATAGAGGAGAACGAGTGTCGAACCGAGGACAATGGTGATGAAACAATGTGTATGCCGTTGCCTTCAGATAAATGCGAGCGTTTTGAGCACACGAGTATGGATTATGGGTGTAAAAACGGCAGGCTCACTTTAGAAGAGCCATAAACGCTAAGAGGACTAGAGTCGTGAAGCAACCTAATAATAAACTCAGTCAGGTTGATTACTAGCGGGATCTAGTCAGCTGCTAGGAACCATATAGTACAGCAGACAGGACCATCTGTGTTATCGCTCCTGTGGTGTTAAGTTTGACCATGTACCACCCAAACGTATCCAGGGTGACTGTCGAGCTTGACATGAGAACAATCTCGTGTGGTCACTAGTGGTAGAAAGTGTAAGACCGGGATGATGTGTTAGGGCAGGATGGCACTGGAGAGCCCTAATATATGTACGCGAGCACAGGGCAACTGAAAGGAATGGTAAGAGTCTTTCCCTGGTGCTTCGGCACAAAATCATTAGTATCAAAGCACGATGTCCGAGTCACAGCTACGGCGCCAGGCTACTTTCCGATAATCTTTTCCTTCTGACTGATTGTCTCTGATCATCTGATCATGTCCTTGTGACGGTGTCATATTCTGTTAGTGAGTGCTGCAGGAAGGATAGCCCGGGAATCGATGATGCCAAACGTAGACTAGGAGCCTCAAACCATACCTTGTCCACAACACTAACATTGTATTCAGGAAGGCTTCTTGGTGGCAGATACAGTCCCTACTCCCAGAGAACATCCATGGCTTCGCACAATTGCGGTGCGTAGAAACTGCTTGGGCAGAAAGCTCGCTGTCCGATTTTTACCCTCCATACCGTCTCAGTAACTGACGTAACACCGGCACGTCCTTCTACCACACTGGTCATGAAATTTTGCGCTCGTCCCATGCCATAGAGATTTATCGCATAGACTATGTATCGACAGATTCAAACTACTAGACCTTTCATGGTTCCAGGCTTGAAACGTCAACTGGTAGTAAGGACTACGCCTATGGACTCAACCACTCACTATCAAAACTTGAACCTCGGCATGGATTCTAGCAGGAGCGGGTGATGCTCTCAGTCAGATGTTAGTTGGTTGAATGGCAGACAATCTGCAGGCGATGGAAAACCCTACGGCACCCTGGACTTTCAGCCCAATAGAGGAAGTCGTTGTCCTCAATCGATGGCATGCAGCCTAGCCGGTGCCCCTTGGCTTGACAGATGACGATGGGAGCGCTGGTCTGAAGATGTATCTGATGTATCGGCTGTTATGGCATTGTGATCGATGCACCAGTAGTCTTGGATTCCTTGTGCTTACACTAGTGAGCCGCGAACTTGACTGCTGAACGATGGATTGTGGTAAACTCAGACATGGGTGCCGAGGTGATCCTCGTCCGAGAACCCCACTTCGAGGTGCGGCTTCTGGTCGCCAGTGCTGAAGGATGGCTTGGCAATTCTCATCTGTATCCTGTCACGGAAGCAGATTTGTGTCACGGACGTTGGACAGACGCCCCTTTTTGCCGCCCATTCCCCTCCCCTTGACGCCCACCTTCCATTTTCGGACCATTTCCTTTCTTAGCCCATCCCAGTTTGGACACTGCAGATACGTTCCCACACCCGCATGCTACGTTCCCGTGATCGCCATGCCTTTGCCTTTTCCTTCCCGCCCTTTGTTCTCCCTTTGTCATCTTCACTGCCTCGCTCTCGCGCCTTGTCTTTGGTTGCTAAGCAGCCCTTCTAGTATATAAGGACCCCTTAGGCACTCCCTAGTCCCCATCTCGACCTCTTGGTCATTGGGACTAGGTGAGTGACCATAGCGTTGTATCTCCCTCCGATTGCTAATGTAT